CAAGCAGTTTATGTAGTGTATGATGAACATGCTCCTTTGACTAAACAAGTTGTTCCATCTGATGTACATGTTGATAATTATGATGAACATGTTGCATGTGTAGTTCCAGTCAAGTCAGCACATGATTAATCTCTGCAACTACTAGCAGTTGTATCCCAAGTACAAATACCAGTTGAAGTAATGGCTCCAGATGTTAAAACAGATCCTTTATCATTGAAATAACATCCTGCTTATGTAGTGTAAGATGAACAAGCACCTAATGCAATGCAACCAGTTGTTCCATTTGTTGTACACTTCTTATTGGCAATTTAACAATCTGAATGAGTTGTGTAGAAGGCATCAGCACAAGATGTATATGGTTTACAAACCTTTGGATCTGAAGAATTCAAAGCTGGAACTGATTGAATACAAGCTCCATCATATCCTGTAACACATCCACCATCAGTATTTGTTTCAGAACATAATGTAATTCCAACACAATTAGATCCATTAGTTGTACATTAGTTACTAATCCATTTACATTATGTATCTGAATTCCAAGACAAACTCTTACATGATGTATATCTGAAACAAGCACCTTTTGACTAATCAGAGTTTACATAGTCACTAATCCACAAACATGGTCCATTAGTTCCTTCAATGCAAGCACTTCTGATAGTAGTTTATTCACAATTTTAAACTCTAGCACATTTTCCATTTGCACCAGCAGTACATCCTTGTCTTTATGTTTGACATGCGGCATGAGTAGTTCCACTGAAATCTTAACAATCTTTATCTCTGCATTTATTTTATGCACTATCCCAAGCACAAATAGTTCCATTGAGGGCAGTTGTACAAGCAGCATCAATATTAGCAGCTGAACAAGTAGACTTAGTAACACATCCACCACCAATCTTTGTTGTACAATTAGTGAAATAACCTGCACAAGCAGCTTCTGAAGTCAATGTAACTGGGGCAGTATTACAAGTCTTGACTGTACAATAAGCTGGATTGGTACCAACAGCCGACATCCATTCACATTATTGATTAGAAACTGAAGTAACACAACCAGCTTGGCTTATAGCTTAGTAGCATGTTCCTCTTGTGACACAATTTGTACCATTTGTTGTACAAGTACTCAATGCTTATTTGCATAAAGCATCAGTAGCAAAAGCAAAATCTTCACAAACTTTTGTCTTACATTTTACTGAATCTAAAGTGCATCCAGCTAAATAAGTATTGTATTCATCAGCAGTAGCTGTTGCTTCTGGAGCATTTTCACAAGTTCTAGTAATACAAGCTGTTCCATTCCAATAACAAGATTTTCCATTCTTATCAGTAAAACATTATTTTTCAGTCATAGTTTCACATGTATCTGGTATATCAACACATCCTTATCCTGATGATGCAACTGTACATTTATTACTAAAGTATGCTCTACATTTATCATTATCATCATAATCTGTACTTGCAGGAGCAGTAGAACATGACTTATCTGCACATTAAGTACCATTCCATCCACAAGGATCTCCTATAGCATTGAATTTACATTATTCTTAATGAATGTAAATGGAACAAGCAGCTGTTTATTAACAACCTCCTAAAACTGGTGCACCTCCATTTGTATCTGGTGTTGCAACTACTGTGCATTTAACGGTAGCGGAGATGAAGTAGGTATCACAATCAGCATGTGTTGCTGTTGCAGTTGGAGCAGTTGTGCATGATTTATCTTAACATACTGGAGTAGTTAAATTTGTATTCCAAACACAAACACCTCCACTTGAATTAGTCTTGCATTAATCTTCTATTGAATAAGAGCTGCAGGTTCCTCTAGCAGTACAACCAGCAATAGCTGCTCCATTTGTAGCTCTAACTGTACAAAGTAATGCTGCGTCTACTGCTACACATTCAGCATGAGTGTCATATGAAGTTGTTGCTTCAATATTACCACAATTCAAATCGACACAAGCCTTATTATTTGGATTCCAGAAACATTTTCCACCACTTGTATTGAATTTACATTATTAACTGGATTTATATGCTGAACAAGCAGCTCTTGCTTAACAACCTCCAACTCTTGCAACAGTGCATGTAGATAGATATGCAATACATTCATTATGTGAATCGAAGCTTGTATCTGCTGAAGCTGTATCACAAGTTTTTCTGACGCAAGATGTTCCTGAGACAACACATTCACCTTCAACTGCCCAAACGCATGCTGCTGCAGTCTAACTATCACATGTGACTGGCAATGTTGCACATGCAGTTGGTGATGAAGCTGCATTGGCAGTACAAGTATTCAACCAAGTATTACAATCTGAATGTGTAAATGGTGTTGTTTTATTAGCACATGTCTTGGTTTCGCATCCTGTTGTTCCTTATGCTATGCAACCAGCTTTGAAAGTATTACATTTTCTGTCATCAAAACTAAATGCTGATCCTAATTTGATTGATTCACAAGTTGTTGTAGCTGTTATAGCTTGGCAGATAGTGTCACTACTATTAGAAGTACAAAACCCTGCCATTGATTTATAACAATTACCCATTGTTGTATATCCAGTACATGCAGGTTAAATTGTTATGCAACCAGTTCCATCTCTTTTAACACTACATGTAGTACTATAATCTTAACAAAGAGCCCAAGTGAGACTTGAACCTGTTAATGCTTCACATGTGCTAAATGCTAGACATGCATTTCCAGCTACATTAAGATAACAAGCTGTGCTATATGCTTAGCATGTGGCATGAGTTGCACTTGATAATCCTGTGATTAAAGAGCAATTAGTTGAAGTAATATCTTGGCAAGCAGCAGAAGTATCACTAGCATTCCAAAAGCATTTTAAGCCATCTGTTCTTTAAGTACAAGCAGTTTACGCTGAGTAACTAGAGCAAGCTGCTTATAATTCTTAGCATGCTGTTCCATCAGAATTAACAGTACAAGCAGTACTATATGCTTAACATGTGGCATGACATGCGTTTGTTAATAATGTGAGTGCATTACAATTAGAAGAACTAATATCTTGACAAACAGCAGGAGTAGGAGCAAAATTCCAAAAGCATTTAAAGCCATCTGTTCTTTAAGTACAAGCATTTTACGATGTGTAACTAGTGCAAGCTGTTTATAATGCTTAGCATGCTGTTCCATCAGAACTAACAGTACAAGCAGTATTATATGCTTAACATGTAGCATGTGTTGCGCTTGTTAATGATGTGAGGGCATTACAATTTGATGTTTTAATATCTTGACAAGCAGCAGGTGAAGCAGCAGTATCCCAAAAGCATTTTAAGTTGTCTGTTCTTTAAGTACAACCAGTTTACGCTGCGTAACTCATGCATGCTGTTTATAATGCTTAGCATGCTGTTCCATAAGAAATAGAAGTGCATGCAGTATTATATGCTTAACAAACCGCATGAGTTAAACCTGTTCCTGTGACATTACCGCAAGTTGTTGAAGTAATATCTTGACAAGCAGCAGGTGAAGCAGAAGCATTCCAAAAGCATTATAAACCATCAGTTCTTCTTATGCAATCACCTTAGTTTATATAAGTACTGCAAATAGCTGCTAATGTAACACAAGCAGTTTTAGATGAATTAGCTGTGCAAGTAGTACTATATTCTTAGCATGTAGAATGAGTTAATTCTGATCCTATAATCAAAGTACAAGAAAATGTACAAATATCTGTTTCTTTAGCACTTACAGTGTTAGTGCAACCGATTTTGATAGATTCACATTAATATTTTGTGCCTTAAAATATTGAGCATGCACCTTGAAGATATGTATTGGAAAAGCATTTTCCATACTCTGATTTCCAAGTACAGTCATCTGCAATAGCTGTTAAAGTTCTATAGCATTAAGCTTATGACGCATAGTCACTACAATAAGCCGATCGCTTTACACATCCTAGCCCTCCAGTTTTGTATAAAACAGTACAGGTTTCATTTGGAGTTAGAAAATTTGAACATTCTAAATCAGAATCATAAGAAGTGTTATCAGATGCATCTTAGCAAGTTACATTTCTACAAACTACACCAGTCCATATGCATTTATTTTTGTTTAAAGTTATTATGCAATTTTCTTATTACCTATACGAATTACAATTAATTGCTAAAATTTAACAACCTGTATTTCCATTATTGACTGTGCATATATCTAATATGGTTTAGCAATCATGGTGAGTAGTTAAAGCAATATTTTTACAAGTTCTATTAACACAATTATTCCCATTCCAATAACAATTTCCATTTATTTTCGATCCCAATTAACAATTTTAAGAATTTAATTTTGAACAACTTGATGGTTTAGGCATGCATCCATCTTAGTTATTATTAGAAATACAATTAGAAAGATAATTTCTGCAATTATTAAATGTAAATAAATCTGCTTATAGTACACCTTGAAATCCTACAACATTAGCAGTGGCACAAGACTTTTCAACACAGATTGATGTGACAGTATTCCATAAACATGTTGGGAATCCAGTTCTTGAGATTTCACAATTTTCAGTTGATTTCCTGGTTGCACATGTTTTTGGTAAGTCTTAGCATCCTGCAATCGATCCATTAACTGGATTATTAGCTACACAACCTGTTTTGTAAGTACCACAATCAGCTGTTGTTGTTGTTGTCTTTGGAGCAGTGGAACAAGCCTTATCAATACACTATGAACCATTCCAACCACATTATGGGTATGATTTAACCCCATTAGTAATTTATAATCTAATATTACATGCTGCTTCAATTGAGATAGCTTCACATTTAAGTGGTAAAGGAACACATCCAGAACCAGTTTTACTCAAAGTACAACCTACATCATAAGTTTAACAATCAGCATGAGTTGCTGTGGTTGATGAAGCTAACACACATTCCTTTTTATAGCATTTTCCTTTCCAAATGCAGGCTTTATTATTTAAATCTTTGTCACAAATAGTTTATACCAAAGAATTTTCACATGTTTTATCAACACAACCTGCATTAGTTGAATTTACTGTACAAGTTTATAAAAAGGCAACACATAAATCATGAGTATTATTAGTTGATGGAGCATTGAAGCAAGTTTTATCTTTACAAGTTGAACTTGCAATATCCCAGAAACAAGTAGCTCCAGATACATTCTTTATGCAAGCAGCTTCTAAGGTAATTACTGCACATGTAGTATTTGTTACACATCCACCTCCAGTCTTTGTAATACAATTAGTATTAGGTAAATATGCTTCACAGGCATCGTTTGTTGTTATTGTTGTTGGAGCATTTGCACAACTTCTATTTTAACATCCACCTCCTGTTTTAACGGTACATGATGATAAGTAAGATGTACATAAATCGTGAGTATTATTTGTTGTTGGTGCATTTGCACAAGTCTTTTCTTTGCATGTTGTATCCCAAATGCAATCAGTACCGGAAGTATTTTTCACACAAGCGGCTTAAATATTGGCAGCTGAACAAGCACCATTTGAAACACATCCTCCTCCTGATTTAGTGATACATCCTGTCACAAATCCAGCACAAGCTGAATTTGTAGTCATTGTGGTTGGTGCATTTGTACATGTCTTATCAACACATGCAGTTCCTGTCCAATAGCAATCTCCACCTGAACTATTCTTAATACAAGCAGCTTAGATAGTAGCAGCTACACAAGTAGTTCTAGTAATACATCCTCCATTGGCTTTTGTTGTGCATGTTCCGTCAGTTCTAAATTTCTTGCATGCATCATCAGTTGTTATTGTTACTGGTGCATTATTACAAATTCTGTCTTTACAAGCTGCTCCATCCCAATAACATGCAACTGATTTTAATTTATTCCAAACACATTGAATTTCTAATGTTTAATCACTACAATTATTTCCACTATCAACGCATCCACCTCCAGTCTTTGTTGTACAAGTTGATATGACATCTCTGCATTCTTTATCTGTAACAAAACTTGCTGGTAATTTATCACAGGTATTAGCATCTACACAAGTGTTATTTGTTGTATCCCAATAGCACAAACTTCCAGCAGCATTTTTCACACAAGGAACTTGTTTTTTGTATGTACTACAAGCATCAAGTTCAACACAGTGAGTTCCATCTGTGATACATCTATTACTTATTGCTTAACAATCCTAGTCTGTTTTTCTTGAAAAAGCTGTACATCCTGTGAAGAGTGTACATCTACTATCAACCCAGGCACAGGCAGCATATTTTCCACAATCTTCACATGGTTGAGTTTTTGAGCAATTTTCTTGAGTAAATAGATCACAATATGTTTAATACATTAATACAGAAGTGGTTGAAACTGCACAAATTCTTTTAGTTCTATCCCAAGTACATCTAAGTGAAATATTTTTTATACAGTCTTCTTCTGATAACAGTTATGCGCATGTACATGATGTGATACTAAATTCTTGACCAATTACTAAAGGCAGTACCAATGAAAACAAAATAAATAATTTATTCATTAATAGTATTAAAGATGAATAGACTCACTAAGACAAGAATGATACTATCTAAATCATAGAAAAAAATTTATGATTTCCTTGGTATTGTAGTTAATTACTAAATAATACTATTTACTCGGATAAGAAATTTGTAATAAGTTCAAACTTATCTAAATTTTATTACAATCATGTAGGTGTTTCCTAAATTGATCTATAAAATTGATCCAAAAAAATTAATGAAATCTTTTTTATGCTCCCTTTACAAGGAGATGTAAGGATTCTTAATAGATTTTTGAATATATTTTCTTGAAAAAATCATTGGATTTCAAAATCAGAAAATATTTCAGGAATCTTTATTATCAGAACCTATAAATATAAACTATTTAATATATAGATTAACTATCTAAAATGATGAGATAGATTTTATTATTATAACATTGGCAATAATAGCATTAATTGCTGCAAATATTTAGCACAATTCAGAATATATTTTTAAAAACTGTTTTAATTCAAAATACTGCCAAAATCATTGAATTATCTTTGGAACGGGTAATAACTAATTATTTTTATAGAATGAAGAACAATAAATAGCTAGTGATTTGCTTTTTAGAATTATTGCTCATAACTGTTGTAATTTTTATATTTTTAATATATATATCGGTAATAAATATGGATTAAAGGTATATTTTCCTTGTATTTAATCAATTATTTTGTCAAATAATAAGAAAAGTGATATTGAAGATAATAAATTGTTGAATTATTTTATCTATTTCTTGAAACAAAGGAAAGTAGGGACTAGGTAATAGTTTAACTCAAGTAAGTGTCACATATTGCATTTGTATGTTCTTCTACGGTAGCAAATAAACAATCTGTTGAGGTAGTAGTAGTTGCAAGACAGACTGTTCAACTCAATGCCCATTTAGCCGCAGTTCCTGAAGCTACTTATTTAGTAAGAGAATTCTAAGTTAAATACAGACTATATGTTGATATCTTCTCTTGACAGCAGTTTTTTTTTGAATTAGCTATACAAGATTCATCATAAACAACAAATTTTGTATCAGTTAATCCTGTTCCAACAATTGAAGCACAATTAGAAAAACGAACACAATTCCTTATAATGTTGTTGCACAAGCATTTGAATTTGGATAATCTGAGCAAATTGCCTTATCCTATTAAAATCCAGTGCCATCTGATAAAGATATAAATAATAGATTTTATGCATATCACTTGGAATGATCTAATCTCGTGAATAAAGAAACACAAATACATTCTTCAGCCTTGATAATAGACAAGCAAGCGATACTATTTTTTTAATAATTTACTTACTGAGAATCTTTCAGTTTTTATTATAATTGCAACAATTTATGGATCTCTAATTCCTTTTCAATCAAAAGAATAAGATTTAGTTCTCCAATTACAAAATTATTGTAGTTGTACCAATTTTTGAAATCATCCCTGTTATTTATTGAAATTATTTCTCTCCTATCTTAATTGCTATTAATTGTTATTTTATTTAATTATTATGAAACACAGAGCATAAAAATTTAATGTATAAAATTAACATCAGCAGAAATTTATTTATTTTCATAATAAAATTAATAAAAATTTTTATTTAGATATATGATTGCTCGAAAATATTTATAGACTTTATTCACAATAGCAGAAAAGGCTTAAGAACCTAAAAAGTCAAGATTGCTTCCAGTTTTCTAAGTGCAAATAAGAGTACAAGCAGTTTATGATGTAGCTTCATTAATATTTGTGCATCCTGCTCTATATCCTTAAGACTTTAGTTAGGTACCTTTATATGAGTCCTCATCTACACCATAAACAAAAAATTGTTTTGTTGAATTCCAAATATATATCTATTTTAGAGTATTTTCATTTTCCTTTTAAGTTTGATTTAATATCTATTTCAAAAAAATCTTTCTAATAAAATTGACAATGCTTTCAATCAAAGTTTGCTTTTAAGTTGGTTGTTATAAAATTATAATTATTCTGCATTTTTCTTTTCTTAAGATTAACATTTATTATTAAATTCAATCTTTTAGGACTTATTTTTAACCCCTAAAATTGTTTTTATACTTTTTTCTCAATAGGGTTTATAAAAGTTGTTTTTGAATTTTTCTCAAATTTTATTTTGATCTAAAATAATAATAGCACTAATTAAGAAATTTAATATTCTTTCTAATATCAATATCATTAATTCTATCCTCAGAGATGATAAGGAACATTTTATTGAAAAGATTGTCGAAAAGAATACAAAAAGTTGTATCATTATCATATATTTAATTCAATATATAAATTCATAATTTGAAAAGGTTTCAACAAATAATTTCAAATTTCATATGTGATTCAAAATCAATACAATAAAAATGAAAGTTGTAATTTCTTATGCACTGACTTACCACCCTTTGCATTTTACACAACTATTACCATCCCAATGATAAAACAACTCTGACTTTTAGTAACAAGTTTCTTCATTTTCTTAAGATGGATCAAAATTCACACATTTTCCATCCTCTTGTTGCCTACAAAGTAAATATTAATCTCCATTTATTTTTTATTTTCTTGGACCACATCTTGAACTGAGTTCACTATCACATTTATCAAATGTGTCGCAAGAAATGGTTGGTTGCATTAAGCATGCAGGATAAGCCTTATAACAAAGAAAGTCTAGTTTAACATCTTCACAAGTTGTCAATTCTTAACATTTTCCATCTTTGACATTGCAAAGTCCTTCTCTAGCAACATAACATTCATCTACAGATCTTTCAGCGCAAGTCGGAATAGATTTATCAGATGATGGCTAAGTAAAACTCAAACATTTTTTTAAATTTGAATCATAAACGCAATCGCGATTGAATAATGAACTACATTCATCTTCAGTTTACTCACTGCAACTTTTTGTCTTATAGCATTTGTTATTTTTAGCAAAACAACCTAGATGTATACAAAGATTAATATTGTTAATGTTTTCACATTTTCGAGTTACGCACTTTCCTTTTTCAATATTGCATCGTCCCTACATCCAATTACTTTCAGCTTCACACTCTTTTTCATTCAATTCCTCGCAACCACAAACACCTTTGTGAAATGTGACAAATTCTTAACTCAGTACAATGGTAGCTGCCATACAAAATATGATCATTATTGGTAGAGTATGCATCATTTTAAATTAATATTAACTTTTATATGAAATGCATATGAAGAATAAATAAATCTATATTTTCTATAATTTATATTTGTTAAAAATTCTATGTTGTTCCAAAATTGTTTAAAAATTAAAATTGCTTATTACTATTCTTAAATAAAAATATTTGGGCTGTAATTTTCTTCATACAAAATTTTCTATGTTTTAACAGTCAATAAAAACTTCAAATCGGTTAGATAATGCCATTAAAAATTATCAAGTATTATCAATTTTTTAATAGGGTTCAAAATTAATACAGTTTATTTAAGCTTTTGATTTTATGAAAAGATTAAAATTCTGATTAATATTTCAAATAAATTAAATCAAAACAAAAACTAATGTAATGAGCATTTAGGAGATTGATAAATTATAAAAGTAAAAGTTTTATATAAAGCTTTTCTTGTTAATAGATAAAAAAATTGATTCAAGAATAGAAATCAAAAGAACAATTGTAGAATTTCAGGAGAGAATTTTATAGATAATAGGAATAAGGAAAAGACCGAAGAAAATAGAAGAAGTGTTCAATTTTCTATGAAAATTAAAATTTTGTTTTTGGAAATCTCTGTGATAAAAAAAAGTAAACTTCATTCATCATATTCGACATATTCATCCTTCTAAACTATCAATTCTAATTGTTGATTTCATTATCCTAAATATAACAGATTTCTTATTTTTTAATTATTTATCAAAAAAATTTGCGCTTGAATGGTCAATAACTAATTTATTTGAACTTTAATTAATGAAATCAAAATTTAAATTGATATCTTTCAATTAAAATAGGTTTAATAGTATAGGAAAATAAATCGTATATTTAAATAGGCCTAAATTATATCAACTCCTCTAAGAGAGGTTTTTAAGCTTAAAGCAATTTTTAGCTTGTTTTGAATTTCAGAAATTGAGGCTTATCTATAGAACTGTATTTGAATGAGTTCTTATAATTAAGATGCCTAAATTTTATTTATAAATAATTATATTCTATTATTAATATTTTATTCTATTAGATTAATTACCAAGATCAACAACTTTAATTGATTTGAGGATAAATAAAATATTAATGCATTACTAGTAAGACGCGATTTCCAATTACATCTATTCTGGTGAGTATCATTAAAAATATAATCAAATTTAAGTTTATAGACAACCTAATCAAAGAATGCAACCAGAATAATAATAATAAATGGAATTACAACAATTAAAATAGAAAAATATCGAATAGGAAGCCTTAATTTAATATTATGTTTACGAAGACTTTTAAAATTTGATTAATCTAATATATTCTTATTAAGCTGTAAAAAAGCATTTTAAAAATCACCCTGGGCATCCTGCAATAATCTTAAGTAAGAATAAGATAAAGCTACAATTAAATATTTCAAATTCAATTCATTCTGATTTATACTAAACAAATAAAAATTCTTAAGATCAAACTATTTTAAAAGTATAAAAGTAGAACGTTAAAAGTATAATAAAGAAAATGGGGAACGATATTTAGATGAATGATTTAGATAAAGAAAGTTAAGCTTATTTAGAATAATATATTAAATATTCTTTGGGGGATTATGTGGAACTTAAGTAGTTTGAATTAGAAAAAACAAATTGGGATTATAATTTCAATTAAGGCGTGTTAGACAAAGTTTTACCTTAAATTTCTTATGTGGATGAACAAATTAGGAGTTTAAGATAAAGAAAATGCTATAATATTCCGACTGCACAGTAAATTAAATTGAAAGCAAAGTAATATTTAATGATATTCACATTAGAGAATATGAGAGACTTACTGAAAGTAAATTATTAATTAATTATCCATAAAATAGTTACAATTACAGAAGTCCTTAGAGATAAGATAATCAGAAATTTTCATAAGAAAATGCAAAATAATAATTCAAATAATTTACAAACATAAGCTAATCTTTAATTTTTAGTAGTGGGTCTCGAACTTAAAAACAATAACAATATTGAAATTAAATTATGGATATATATAATTATTACTTTTTATTCTCTTCAATAACTAATTTACTATTATTGAATAATTAGATTCTATTTTAAATGCTATTCATTCTTTTTTGAAATATAATCATGTTTTCTTATCTCACGCTTAATTATTTTTTATGAATAGTTAATTAATTGTTATATTTTTTTTTGTATGTAATAATTTATTAATTAAACCTTGAATACGATTATTTTTGACACATGTTCTATATTAAATGTCATCAGCAGAATTAGATATAGAAATCCAGTAATAATATAATATGACATAGACTTTAACTAAACATTGCTTTCATAGAAACATATGCTTTGAATTAGAAGAAGCTGTGTAAGAAATTCGATAAAAAAAACATTATTAATGCCCACATTGTAATTAATAAGCATATAGTGAAAATGATTTTGTTTAAGATTGGAGAGTTTAAGCTTATATTGAATTTAATGAATATGTTGAAGATGTAACAATAATTAAAGGAATCATGGTTAATAAATATTAGAGAAATAAAACTAAATATTTGAATTTTTTTACTTCGACTGAATATGTAAATCAATTTCAACAAATGTTCAATAGTGTGGAGAATGATATGTCTATTGTATCATTAATCAGAAGAGATATATAATAATAAAATTAAAATAACAATAATAAAATAATTTATTGGTGTTTTTGTTTGTTAGATAAAGTGAAAATCAATATCCCTGTTAGAATAAGAAGATGTCAACATTATGAATGCTATGAATTAACTAGTTTATTATACTTTTAAGATTAAAATAGAAAAAAAATACAATATTTTAAATGCAAACAACCAGGATGTTCAAATCAATTAAGAATTGCTCATAAAAACTATGAAAAAAGTTATGAAATAGATGAATAAGATAAAATACTTGATATCTAATAATTATTTTCAGGCATATCTGTGGATTTGGATTTATTAAATGTCATCAAAAAGAGTAATCCTAGCTCTTTCAAATTTTACTATAATAAATAAACCTAAAATATTGAAGAGGTTATAAATAAAATAGATGGCAAAGTTGTAGATCCATTCATTTTTTAATTCTATTAATAACATCCAGATTTATAAACAAAAATGCAATACAAAGAATTCCATAAAATAATATAACAATAGACAATTGTAGTGAGTCAAGGAGGTCTTCTTTAAGAAGATTAAAAGATAAGCAAATAATTGGTTTTATACAGATACAGAAATTATTAAGTAAATATGATAGACAAATTCACATAATTTGTTATTGAATATCCAGTAAGATGTAAACTTTGTACAAATTTAGAAGTTTGTATGGATATCAGAAGTTATATTGCACATTTTAATTATTAACAAAATATGTATCCAAAAAAAGGTTATACTTGTCCATTATGCAATTAATAATTAAGCAAATAAATTTTTAAAATGAATATTTAAAATTACATATATTTAGATTCAAATATGCTTTCATACATGTATTAGTATATGCCTATTATTTAAAATACCAAAATTTTTAATTATCAAGGTGAATAATATTTGCTGTAAGAATTTTAGGATAGATACATAATTAAAAGAGAGAATTTTGTTGCAAGATTACCAGATAGATAGGTTGTATTCAGGCAACTGTTTTGTATAGTTAATATAGAATTGAGAATTAAATAACCTTTAATTCTGTAAAAATGTCCTGAAAGAAACATTGTTGATTTTAAATCATTTTATCAAGAATTAACCAAAATTAACTTTGATTTAGAGAATTAAGGACTTATCTTATGTAGATGCAACTATTGTAATAAAAATCCCATTAAGTCCATCGCAGGATAAATCTAGTTTCATGAAGCCTTTTAAGAAGCTTTAAATAAATATCATCAAATCTAACATAATAACTAAAATGAGAATAGCTTTACTTATAGATTTGCTGATACAGAGAGAGATAGTTTAGTGGTAAATAATAGAATTCCTACTTTCAATCTATAAGGAATGATTATCATTCCTAATATTAATTTTGAAAGGAAAAATGGTAGTTTTTTGGATTTGAGGTCAGATGAGGAGTATCAAAGCATATTTAGAAGATCTGAAATTTCAGGGTATAAATTTAATTTATTTGCTATTAAAACGGAAATTATGCAAATCCCAATTATATTAGACAAATAAGGTGTACACGCAGATATGGAACACTTAATGTATAATTTCAATTACCATATTAATAAAAAATTAAAATAATATGGTTTTAGAGTTAATAATATTACTTTAGAACTACATCTTGGTCTTCGTTTCATTGGTCCAATGGAATTTTTTATAAGAATGAGTATTTGATATAAATATTATATAATTGGACAAAAGATAATTTATTAAGATGCGCAATAAATCTATAGATAATATTCATTTATTATAGATATGCAATTTGTAATTTACTTAAAAATTAAATAACAATTTTTCAAAAACAATTTTGTCATCAAAGTAGTACGAATTAACCAAAGAGGAATAAATTAGTAATTTCGATTAGATTCATCAATTCCATAATTATTAATAATTTTGTAAAAATTCCTTTTTTTGATCTCTTTTTAAAGTATTAATATATATTATATAATTATTAAAAAAAAAATAAAAGAATAGCACTAAAAATGCATTAAAGGACAAGCGATTACCCTGAAATTAATAACAATAAAAATCTTGAAAATATCTAGTTGGATACAATAAAATTAAAATAACTCAATGGATAATAATATGAAAATCCTGTAATCATTATTTATTATTTAGGTAATAACCAATCGTTGTTTGCATTTGAAAGAATGTTTTGAATTAAAGGAATTTGAAGATTAGATTAACAATAATTAACTATTTTTTTGTAAGATCTGTAATTAAAATGCATACTAATATTCTGATCTAATGTGGGATATTCGATATTACGCTTATAAAGAATTTCATAAATCTGTTGATGAAATTCACATCATTTATGGATTGATGGTCAATAAATACTAAAGAAATAAAAAATATATAGACTTGTTCACCAAACCTAGAATTAAAGAACATTTTTTGAAATTAAGGTAAAGAGATTCTAATGCTCATCAAATTAATGAGTATTTGATATTTATAGTTTTGTTTAAAATATTCTTTATATATCTCTTTATTGTATTTTTGTTTAGTTTTAATATTTGCTTTTCATAATTTATATATTATAATTAATTTTCTAAACACAGTCAAATTTCCTTAATTTATTCTTTCTTATATTTAATATATTGTGATTCTTCAATATATAAATTATTTATTTACTTTTTCTTTAAATAGAACTCAATTAATAATATTATTTAATCTATTTAGTTTTAAGATTCTTATAATTATAAAACAATATTAGATTATTTTCTAATACAAGCATTAGATCATTAAAAAACTGAACTTTTATTTTTCAACATAATTATTCTTTTTGTAAGTTTAACTGGTTCTAAATGAAAGAGGATATTGTCATCACTTAAGTAAATTGCAGTGATATGTTTAATTTTTTTTAATCTCTTAAATGTTGATCTATTAATTTTGACCAATAAGAGTTGTACTATACTACTTAAATTGCTTATTTACTTAAATAGCATCTAAAAATGAAATTATAAATAAATTAAATGAAGCCTTTAATATTTTTATAGGATAAAGCAGAACAAGAAGGCATTGGATTTATTCCATTTAAAGATGAACTAGGAATCTAAAGGGATAGACAAAAAGGAACTTTTTCAAGAACATATAATAAAAAATAGTGAACATATTTCTGATAGAACAACTTTCAATACTTCCAAAACATCTTAAAGGTAATAAATTGAAAGTTATGGTGCAGCTTAACTCATTTGTGTCACCATGATAAAACAATTTAATTAAATATTGAAAAAGAATTCTTAGTTTAAAAACCACTCACAGAGTTGGATTAAAAATTAGAATTTAACGATGGAATAATGAGAGAGTTTACAAATAATATATGCAATTCACTTTGATTGGAAAAAAATATAAACTGAAAATGAGAGTCGTCCTTTAGGGTATTATCAACTGTAAGAGATCTTAAAAAGACAACCTATGCTTGTTTTTATGGATCAATAACTTCCAAATGGAAATAGATTATCCCAGCATAAATTCAGTAGAACTAAAGCATATACTGCATAACTTGGTATTAGGCCAAAATTATCACCAATAAAGGCTCTCCAATTCCATAAGAGATTCTAGAGATAGCCTTTAAAGCTGAAAGAATAATAACGTAGCAAAAATACAAATATATCCCTTAAATGGTTTTTGAAACAAATCTCGAAAATATAGCAGCTAGAATTAATTGTATAAGGTAAAAAATCTTACATTAAAAAATAAAAAGTCTATCGAATCTATTTTATTTGACTTTAACTCTACAACAATCAAAAATAATATTTAAAAGTTTTTATTCTATAGTATATAGTTTTATTGAATTGTAAAATAGTGATATTACCAATTCAATAAAATTAGTGGATTTAGATAATGTTGGACCTGTGAAAAAGTATAATTCATAAATAAATTGTATAGAAATAGTCATGCTAATCACAATTCATATTTTGATTTATTTGGTTTCTTTGGATTATGTATTTGGTTAATATTGAAATACTTTTTTGAAGGATTTAGATTCAATTCCATTATTATTATGGCAGCATGCATATTCTTTATTTTTGATAGAGTATTCAATCATTTAATATTAATAGGCATTATAATTTGCAGATAAAATATTATGTAAAGTAGCAGCTGTATTAACAATTTTATATATTTATACTTTAATAAGTTATCCTGTTTATTAATTTCCAAAGACTACAGGTAATTATAGAACTTGTTATAAACAAATTAAATTACATGATACTTATTAAACTGATGCATCTGTTTATTATCCATGTGTTGATAATTAATAAGAAGATATTGAATTTAAATGGTTACCTGATAATAAATTTGCTAAATAATTGTATGAAATATCAGTTTTATAAACTAAATGGGTTCCATCTGAATGGGTATTTGATATTGGATTGGGTTTCTTAAAGTAATTAATATAATTTAATATAGTTTTATTAATTTTACAGCAAGTGTTGAATAGCCATTATTAAAAGAAGAATTAGATGTAATTATATTTAGTCATGGATTTTCATAACATAGAAATGCATATACAGCATTATGTTAATAATTAGCAAGTGAAGGTTATGTTGTATTTTCATTATAACATTATGAATTAGTATATCCTTGGGATATTAAAGCAACAAAAATATATAATACTGGTAATCATCCAGATACAATTGAAAAATATTAAAAAATTAGATCATCTCATTTAAAATGGAGAACTGAATAAGTTTAATAATTAATTAATACTTTGAAATCAAATCAAATTAAAGATGTATTCTTTGATTTTAACCTTTATCAATTAATTTAATTGGTCATTCATTTGGAGGTGCCACTGTTCTTAGAGTTGCTTAAGAAGTCAATGTTGATAATGTTATTGCTTATGATCCATGGTTATTCCCATTTACTTAAGAATAAATGCATAAATAAATCAAATCTAAAACATTGATTCTTAGTAAAAATAAAGTTAGAGTTAAATAAGAATGTTTTGATCCTAAATTACTAAAGGACTTTTTAGATTTCAATACATCCATTGAACATTATAAGATAAAAGGTTTAGATCATGCTTATCCAGTTGATCTAACTTATTTAATTGCTGCTGAAATGGTATTAATTGGTGAATTAAGAAATGATGACAATGTATTCAAAATCAATAGTCTAATCAACTCATTAACATCCAAGTTTTTACAATAAAAATTATTCAGTATTGAAGAAAATAAATTATTTTGTTGAAATTATTATAATATTCAATCAAAAAATTTATGAATCACAAATAATTTATATATCTTTTATTTTATATAATATTATATACTTATCATGAATACTTACTTCACCTCTATATTTATTATTAATATTATTAATAAAATCAAAATATTCACTTACATATTGGGATAGTATCGATAGAAAATTAGATATTTTCAGATTGAAGACTAATATATATAAATCAATAAACAAGTTGACTGTTTTAAAAGCAAAACATGTTAAATATTGTTCCTAAAATAATCTAGTTTTCTGAAATTTAAGAAATTATGAAATAATATTCCAAATAATTAAACAATTTATTTGGAATATTATTAAGCATTAATATAAAAATCATTACATGCTCTTAAATTGTGTTGATCCTAATAATATTGCAGTGAGCAACAAAATTTTAGCATTTTTCTTTAGATTTCCCAAAATAGTTGAATGTAATTTTAGAATGTCTGAATGGTTCATTTAAAGACTACTTCTATAACTTCAATTGATATTATATTTTATTTTGTATTATATTATGAATTAATTTATAATTAATGAATATATATTTCTCTTTATATGAATTATTATTAAAAAAAATTTTAATTTCAATTTGTTAATTCTTAAATAATTATATCTCAAAATCTTTTGCAATTAAGTCTTAATTCTTGAAATTCAATGAAAAACATCTCATTTTATATTAGATAATTTATATCTAATTAAATTTAATAAGAGTGTCGTTCAAAAACTAAACTTAATAGAATTTAAACTAATAACTTTCTGAAATACAATAATTTTTGTAATTTAAAGTCTATCAATTAATAAATATATATTTAATTAATACACAAAAATATTTAACTTTAAAAATATATATTACCATTAATTAGGATATTTAGTTATCTCATAGCAATTTTAAATAAAGAAGTTGATTTTCTAATTTGTAATTCAAATCCTAAGGTAGTCTACAGACTGTGCCGTTAGAAATAATCACAAAGCCAATGAGAGGATAAATATAAGTACACATTTTTCATGAACTTTGTAATTTGACTTTGATTCAATAAAATATTAAGACCCTCCTTAATTTTTATCTATAAATTTGAATTTTAAGTGGAAAATGATTTATTATTATTATTTAGATAATAAATCAGAATGCTTTATTCTTCTCAAATAAGAGATTTATTAATTCGAGAAAAAGTATCTGTCTTTTTAAATTTCTTAGTCTAAACCAATAAATCAATTGAATGAATTCTATTAGAATGATTCGTAAGGCATATGTAGAAGAGATATTCTCGTTTAATGGATTGTTGCCGTATCTATATTCAATTATAATTAGTAAGCTTCGTAATTTAGACATTCTCTAAAAACTATAGAACTGGCAGTCATATATATTGATTCTTATCTTAATTATTTTAAGATAACTTAGGAATACCTACAGTTACTAGGAATTTCAGCTTATTCTTTAGCAACTAAAGTAAAAATGGAAACAAATTATAGTTTAATGAAACAGAAACTGTGAGTTAGATTAATTTATATGATTCTAATGGTCAGAATCTATACTAGAAGAGAGAGTACGATGAAATGGAAGAGTAGATAATCAAAGTTATGGGGTTTCAACTAAACTACATTACCTCATCAGATTATCTATTGGCAATGAATATTGAAATAAATGAAAATGTCTAGAGTTTATTAATGTTTATTCTCCTAGGTAATATTTTTAATTAATGTAGATTTCGATATTTACAAACATTCTCATATAGAACTTGCTCTAGCAATTGTTGCATATCTTCAGGAACATTCAATCTAATTTACTGAGAGGATTCTTAAACTATCCAAAAATATACATAATAAAATACTCAAGGCTTAAGAAATAGAAATAGGTAAATAAGAAAATGAAGATTCTAAAAGTAAATTAAGAAATTAAAAAATAAACAAAAAGATTACCAAAAACAAAGATTTACCTCATTAAAGGACTCCAAAACAAAAGATTTGAAGTTTTATTATATAAGTTTCGTTTCAATATATCTCTAAATAATAAAAAAAATAAGGTTTTTTGTAAATCCAAACATGATAAAACCTACTCCTTAATAAAATCTACTTGTGACTCAACTAATGGTTTTGGTATTATATCAATTCTTTATAGGTAATATACATATACAGGTATATCCTTCTATTAACCTTTCGTATAAATAAAAAATACTAATTTTTATAAGAAATTTAATTTATATTTATACAAAAGCTAAATCTAGTGCTATAAAGCAATTGCCAAAAGTAGGATTTCTTAAAAGAAAAAAACTTCTGTTGAAGTACTAATTGAGTTAATGTAACAATGTTGAAAAAAGAAACTTAAAAACCACATCTTTTGGTTACAACCAAACATACATCTCGATATAAGTATGATAGAATTGAGATAATGGTTAAAGAAATAAAGAAAACTTTAGTATTTTTATATGGCTGACACATAATCAAAGAATTTAAATAACAATAATTAAGTATCAGTTCTTTTCACTCGAATTATTAGAGTGAAATGAAGTATTGTTGATTTTTTCATAAAGACTAGCTTCCAATCTGCTGAATTCCTTTTTTGTATCGCCTAACATATTCTCTAAAGTGTGTAACTAACTAATAAGGAACATCATTTTTTAATCAATTTTAGCATCCTAAACCATTTAATTTTCAGTTTCATTTTTCCCCTCATTTACATTAGCTCTAAAATATATAATTAGAATGGTACCCTAATTGAGTGATTCCAATTTAACCAAGATGATTAAATTTTTAAAGGAATGTATTCATAACCATTTAATTTTATTCAACTTCTTCTTCTTTGACTTTAGCACTCTTTGCAATTTGTCTTTTAGTTTTTTTTTTACTTTCTTGTAATTATTATTGTTATTGTTATTATTATTATTATTATTATTGTTATTATTATTATTATTATAGCTATTATTGTTATTACTATTAAATTTTATTATTATCATCAGAAGCGAGAATCATTTGCCATTTGGCTTATTATTTAGGATCACCCATTTCAACATAAAATTTTTTCATCACTTCATTTAATTGTTGATTGAAGAATGCCAATAATTTTTCTTAGAACTCATTCATTTTATCAGAATCGCCATTTTGAGATTGGGCATCTATTTTTTATTGAGAAAAATTAGCTAATTATTGTTCAAGGTTTTATTAGAAATCTAATTCTTTTTCTTCTGAGGAATTTTTATAATCCTCCTTTTTAAGTATCATCTTTCTTAGATTCTCAACTTTATCTGATAATTTTTTATCTTTCTTTTTTTGGTTGTACCTTTTTTTATATTTTTTATAGATTGTTGAATAATCCTTCATACAAGAAGTTCTTTTTATTGGTCCTCCCTATTGTTTAAGTAACCTATAAAGTAGGTTCTATTCTTAATATGTTTCTGCTTGCATTTTCTTTCTTGATTTACTATCATCATCATCTTCAGATTTAATTTCAGATTCTTCCACTTTTTCATCTTACATTGATTTATCTGACTCGGGCTCTTCTTATTCCATTTACATTTACATTTGCTATTCATATTTTTAGAGATGCTCTTTGACAAAGGTCTGTAAAGCAGAAGTGCCATTTTCTCCTTGTGCCTCAAGCATCTAAAATAAATAAAATGGATTTACCTTAAGTGATATCCCATTTTTTTCTTAATCAGCCAATAATTTTCTAACAGTGGAATAAAACCTGTTCTTAACAGAATTTTCAGTTCTACCTGATAAGTTCTTAGCAATTTTTGACCAAGATGATGAGTACTATAGATACCCTTTAAATATTTCATGATCCTCCTCTACGAATAGTGATTAGATAAAAACCAGATGTCCAGCCTCCTTTTTTAACATTTGGATTGAGATTATTGAACCATCGTTCTCTGCACTGCTTTCCTGACCTTCCGGCAATATTTTCAGCACATAAAGACCATTTACAAGGCCCATTATTCTTCACCCATTCCAATAGCTTCTCATCCTCATCATCTTGCCAAGGTCCTAAACTATAAACACACCAAAAGTACCTTTCTTCAGTCCTGGTTTAAGTATTTTAGTCCATCTATGTAAACACTGTATGGCACTTCGACCTTCCATCATGTCACTTATGATTCGCCAACTCTTTTCTCCATATTCTACAAATAAAATTCAATAGAAAACCTTCAATCAATTTTTAAAGCTTCTCATCCTCTTCAGGTGTCCACCTGCCCACCTTTTTTTTATCATTTTCATAATCTGCGATTGGAGATTGCTGATTTTGTTTGCGTTTATCGTTTTTTCTTTTCGATTTGCTTTCGTACATATCTACCTCATATTTTATTATTTAACCTCTAGACATCTATTGTTTTTTTTGTTTAGTTTTCGTTTTTATTTAATTTATCCGTTTTTACATAATTCTAAAACGATTAGAGGCACTTCCAATTATACGTCATATCATTGTTGTTATTTTATATATAAATAAGTAGATAATCAATCGACAGAAGAGGTTATTTGTCAAACACTTTTTTTTGTTTACTTCATATTTAGTTACTTTAATTATTAATAATCACACAAAATTACGTAAAAATCACTGAGATCTAGAACGATCACTATTAGATTCTTATATATTATTGCCAGCTCTGTCAGGCTTAAGTCTATATCATAATTTAATAGTCCACTATTGCATTTTCTTAGATTTTAAACAATAATATTTTAGAGAATTTTTTGGATTATATTACATTATTCTAAAAATATACTTCGCTTATTTAAAAAAAGAAATTCTTTTTATCCTTTTGCAATTAATTTTAGTATAAAGTATTTATAAATATTATTTGAAATTTATGTAAATGAACATATGCTTAAAACTTAGAGGATATGAAGAATTCAATGCAATCTTAATTAATTAACCATCTAGTATGAAATCGTAAAATGTTTGAAGCTGTAAATTGAATATTGCCTTATTTTTAATTAATAAACTAAAGTAGATTATATTAATATTGATATATTGAGAAATATTAGATATACATTAGAGTAATATGTTTAAATTCATTTTGTATTTTTATCTAAACTTCCTTGAGACAAGGACTATGGTTTGAGTTGTTAGAATAACAATTTTTATTATTTTTAGACCTCATAGATATGATGGATAAAGTGAAGTTTAGAGTGTGTTAATGAGTCGATCCAGCATTAATTGAAGACGTTGAGTTTGAATTATAACTTAAAATTAATTAAATAATGGGCAATTGTAACATTACTGACAAGAAAGACTTTTCAGATTCATCAAGTACTTAAATAGACATTTCATAGTTCTTTCTGTTCACAATTTTGAGTTTATTGAGGTGTTAGGAAAAGGAGGATTTGGGAAAGTTTGGAAGGTGAAGAAAAGAAAAAACAAAAGTTATTTTGCATTGAAAATGATGTCAAAGGCGAAGTAAATTAAAGTTTTGAAACTTAGAATTATTGCAAAGAAAAGCGTAACTTCAGTTATGAACGAAAGGACACTTTTATGTCAACTTAGACATCCATCATTAATAAATATGGTTGCCGCATTCTAAGATAGAGAGAATTTATACTTAGTTATGGATTTATTAAGTGGAGGAGATCTCAGATATCATATTGGCAAAAATAAAAAATTTTCAGAAGAAGAAACAAGTAACATCAGTTTTTATTTTAGAATTTTTTTGTGCCTGCATCATAATAGCCTTAGAATATTTGCATTCACAAGGAATAATTCATAGAGATTTAAAGCCAGAGAATTTGGTGTTTGACTCCGAAGGCTATTTGCGATTAACAGATTTGGGTATTGCGAGAATTTGGAGACCAGATAATTCAGCTGATACCAGTGGAACTCCAGGATATATGGCACCAGAAGTATTGTGCAGATAAAACCATGGGATTGCTGTAGATTATTTTGCCTTAGGAGTGATTGTCTATGAATGTATGTTGGGGAGAAGACCATATGTTGGAAGATCTAGACAAGAAATAAGAGATAGTGTGTTAGCAAAGTAAGTTTAAATTAAGAAAAGTGAAGTACCTACTTCATGGTCCTTAGACGCAGCTGATTTCGCAAATTAGGTAAATTTAAAATGTTGATTAATTCAGTTAATTCAAAGAAAACCTGCTTAAAGATTAGGCTCTGATAATCCAGAAGCTGTTAAAAATCATTCATGGTTCAACGGATTTTAATGGAACAAATTACTCAATAAAGAATTGCAGCCTCCATACTTGCCGCGTAATTATAGCAATTCTGGTGGGTCAACTTAGGATACTGAGTAGGATACAAAAGAAAATGATATTATGCTTAGGCGTAATTCTATTTAAGGTATATTTTATAAATCTATAAAGCCTAATTTGATGGATATAGCCATGATTCAAATGAACCTATAACAGCTGAACCATCAAAATTCTGATTAATATATTATCAACTTATATTTGTACCAATCATTCTCATTATAAATTCATTACTTCAATGTTATTTTCCACAATAAGGTCATATTAAGTTGAGAAACTGAATACTTTCATTAATATTAATTAAATGAGGTAACTAGAATACTTGAAATGTGTGTTTCTTATACTAAAAAATAAAGAATTAAGGAAAGAAATGATAAGTAAATTTTACATAATTAATAATAATTATGTAAATGATCAATCTAATCGAACTCAATAAATTATTCTTCTTGGTTGATTAGTAGTATTTTGAATACAAAATTTTGAAAAGTTTGATTGATGATAAAGATGTATATATTAAACTAGAAAAGGAATATTTCAAAATAATCATATTGCTTTGCTTAAGTTAAACCAGTCTGATACTTGAGATAAAGTACTAACTTCATTCGAAATTAAATCAAATCGGTATATTGAATACGGTTATATCCTTAATAAATAACTTGAATAAAATGTTTCATTTTCGAAACAGTAAAAATATATATCATTTTTTTTACTGATATTATATTTAAATCAAACACTCATTCATTTAGCGCAAATCTATAATTATTACTAATTAATCCAGAGATTTAATCTTATTTTAACTCAAAAACAATCTTCTTTATTTGCAAAAAGGGTCTTTCTGATCGTCTATTATTATTTTAATTGATAGATCGCATTACACTTATTAAGTCTACATAAATTCCTTCATTCTCTAACTTGATTGAGAAACTACCAATTTATATTTTAATATTTTATATTTTAAAACTATGACCTTTTCTATATTGTCTGGAATATACCCTTTGATATTTCTCGTCGGTCCATAAATCTAAAAATTCTTAACGTAATGTATGTTGAGGTTCCCTCTTAGGAATGAGAATACTGCTTTAAAGATTGAAAAAAAGGGGAATTCGATTATTTACCACTGAACTATCTCTCTCTGTGTCAGCAAATGTATAAGTAAAGCTATTCTCATTTTAATTATTATCTTAGATTTGATAATATTTATTTAAAGCTTCATAAAAGGCTTCATGAAAATAGATTTATCCTGTAATAGACTTAATGGGATTACTCTAGCAAAATCTACAATTACATAAGATAAGTCCTTAATTTTCTAAATCAAAATTAATTTTGGTTAATTCTTGATAAAACGATTTAAAATCAACACTGTTTCTATCAGGACATTATTATAGCATTAAAGGTTATTTAATTCTCTATTCTATATTAACTATACAAAACAGTTGCCTGAATACAACCTATCTATCTGGTAATCTTGCAACAAAATTCTCTCTTTTAATTATGTATCTATCCTAAAATTCTTACAGCAAATATTATTCACCTTGATAATTAAAAATTTTGGTATTTTAAATAATAGGCATATCCTAATACATGTATGAAAGCATATTTGGATCCAAATATATGTGATTTTAAATATTCATTTTAATAATTGATTCACCTAATTATTAATTACAAAGTGGACAAGTATAACCTTCTGCTGGAAACGTTTTTTTTTAATAATTAAAATGTGCAATATAACTTCTGATATCCATACAAACTTCTAAATTTGTACAAAGTCTACATCTCACTGGATATTCAATAACAAATTATGTGAATTTGTCTGTCATAATTACTTAATAATTTCTGTATCTGTATAAAACCAATTATTTGCTTATCTTTTGCTCTTCTTAAAGAAGACCTCCTTAACCCACTGAAATTATCAATTATTATATTTATCTTTGGTATTCTTAGTATTATATTTTGGTTTATAAATTTGGAAATTACTCATAGAATTAAAAAATGAGAGGATCTACGACTTTGCCATATATTTTATTTATAACCTCTTTAATATTTTAAGTTTATTTATTGTAGTAAAATTTGAATGCGCTTGGATTACTCTTTTTGATGACTTTTAATAAATTCACATCTACAGATATGCCTGAAAATAATTATTAGATATCAAGTATTTTATCTTATTCATCTATTTCATAACTGTTTTCATAGTTTTTATGAGCAATTCTTAATTGATTTGAACATCCTGGTTGTTTGCATTGAAAATATTGTATTTTTTTTCTATTTTAATCTTAAAAGTATAATAAACTAGTTAATTCATAACATTCATAATGTTGACATCCTCTTATTCTAACAGGGATATTGATTTTCACTTTATCTAACAAACAAAAACACCAAAAAATTATTTTATTATTGTTATTTTAATTTTATTATTATAAATCTCTTCTGATTAATGATACAATTTACATATCATTATTCACACTTTTGAACATTCGTTTAAATTGATTTACATATTCAGTCGAAGTGAAAAAATTCAAATATCTAGATTTATTTCTACAATATTTATTAACTGCAAATCCTTTAATTATTGTTACATCTTCAACATATTCATTAAATTCAATATAAGCATAAACTCTCCAATCTTAAACAAAATCATTTTCACTATATGCTTATTAATTACAATGTGGGCATTAATAACGTTATTATTATCGAATTTCTTACATGGCTTCTTTGAATTCAAAGCATCTATTTCTATGTATACATCGTTTAGTTAAAGCCTATTTAATACAATAATCTTACTGGATATTCATATCTAACTTTCGTCTCGAGATTCAATAATGAAAATCTGTCAAATTATACATCTTTCAATTGTCTAATTGGTGAAATTTATTTATCATTTTTTTGTTTTATTAATTTTAATAATAAGATTTAGTCGATATAAATGTATTTATTTAGATTGTGATTTGCCATAATTTAATTTTAAGATTAATTGCACAAAGGACATGAGTACTTTTATGTATTATCAATTTGTTTTTTATAAACAAAATCAAAAACATATGTTAGTAAATCAATTGATTTGTTAAAATCTTGACATTTAATACATCTGGTTGGGAATTCCATTTTTTATTTAGTAATTTAATCAACTAAATTATCTTATAATGAGGATGTGCTTTAGGATAAACTTTACTTTAATTCTGGATTATCAAGTAATAAATTACTTTAGGTAATTTATAATAAGGTTTGGTCAAATCTAACTTCTAATTCTTATTATTATTATTTTGTAAATTATTAATTGTATTTATTAGAGTATTAATTTAACATTTCAGAGAAAGGAAAGTATGAATTTTAACTAATGGTTTAATTTATATAATTAATATTAAAAATAATTGAAGATGGGTTGTTTTTCTTGATTTCTTTTAAAAGTTTATCATCAAAAAATATTCCATTAAAAAAAGTATCTAAACTAAAAATATTTAATTGAATTTTGCATGCTGGATAAAGACATTAGAAAAAGTTCTAATTTTATTAATTATTTTATTAATAATATAGTAAACTTGTGAATTCATAGCATTCAAAATGCAAGCATCCTTTTATTCTAATGGGAATATTAATTTTTACAAAATCTAAAAGACAATATAATTAAAATGATTATTCTTAATAGGCAGTATTATTAATCAGAGACTCCAAATTTGCAATAGAATCTCCTAACCTCATTAATTGCAAAAAATATTCTTTAATTCTAGGTTTGGTGAACAAGTCTATATATTTTTTATTTCTTTAGTATTTATTGACCATCAATCCATAAATGATGTGAATTTCATCAACAGATATATGAAATTCTTTATAAGCGTAATATCGAATATCCCACATTAGATCAGAATATTATTTTGCATTTTAATTACAGATCCTACAAAGAAATTTTTAATTATTGTTAATCTAATCTTCAAATTCCTTTAATTCAAAACATTCTTTTAAATGCAAACAACGATTGGTTATTACCTAAATACTAAATAATTATTACAGGATTTTCATATTATTATCCATTGAGTTATTTTAATTTTATTGTATCCAACTTGATATTTTCAAGATTTTTATTATTATTAATTTCACTCCAATGGCTTGTCCTTTAAAGCATCTTTAGTGTTATTTTTGTATCTCTTTTATAAAAATTAAATATTAAGGTAAATAAACAATCAATTACGATAACTATTTATATCAAAAAGGTTGGGTGTAATATAAGGAATTAAATTGATATTTCAAAAGAAATCATAAGTGAATTTACAAAATTAATAATAATAATTGAATTAATGAATCTCATAGAACTCATTAAAATATTCCTATTTGGTTGATTAATACTACTTTGATGACAAAATTGTTTTTGAAAATTTGATTGAAATTTAATTTTTAAATCATTCTTAATCAAGTATTTTTATAATTCATTTTCTAAAGTTTTATTCTTGTGCTTCAATTCTTCATAATATTATTTTATAACACTGTATTATTTCTACGTGGAATCATTTATGTACTTCAGATCTTAGATATATGTATCAAATAATTGTTTTCATTTTCCAATTAATTATTTTTAGACTTCAACTCTTAAAAATTATTTTCCATTACTTTTTACAATTAATTAACTTTATTTTAGCTTCTTCATATTTTTATTGAATAAAGTTTGATTAAATTTGGTAGAAAATAAGATTTCATTGATTTCAATCGTCCCTTTCTTTTATTTTTGATCCTCTATAACCAAAACATCTCTTTGGTAATAAATCAAAGTATTTATATAATAATAAAATGATAGATCATTTAATGGATTATTCATAGTATATTGATATTTTAGCAATTCATGTTCTCTTTTTCAAAGAATAACAAAACCATCATTTCTAAATGTTCTTTTTTGTGTTGAATTCACATTTAAGAATTTTTTAGCTGTAAAGATTATTTTTAATGACATACTTTTTCCGAACCTTTTCTCTTTGGGTGCTTAGATATTTTTATCGTCACAATTCTGAAATTTAACTACATATTTTTTTTCATGGCAAATAAGGGTATCATTTCTCAACTATTTGAAATTGGAAATAATTGATAAAATTTTTGATCAAGGATCACTTTCATAGGATCATGATTATTAATTCTGTCACAATTCCTTTTATTTCTATCAATTTAATTAAAACTAAGCAGAAGAATTATTTGGAGACACATTACAGACAAAATTGCAATGCTTTATTTCTAATTTATATAAACAGATATAATAATTCTATATATAATTATTGAAGATTAATTATTTTTCATAGAGTAAAACTTTTGATCTAGTTATCCTAACCTTCAAATCCTATTATATAATTAGGTTATTTCACACTAATCTAAAAGTACTCTTCTGTTTCCGTGATGTTACTAACTTCTGAAATGAATAATAAACCAGTATCCCTAAAAATATAAATAAAACTACATAATGAATTCTCTTAATGTTTATTGGATTGATGTTAATTAAACTCTATATAATTTTTATTTGATTGATGAATCTATACTAGTGTTTGACAAGGAGTCATCCGAGATATTTGAAACCTAAATGTTTTTTAGTAATAAAGGAACATAAACATCATTTTAAGCTGGAATGAAAATGCTCTATTTACCAATTTGAATTGTAGATAAATCAAATTAAAATTAAGGATCAGATAATTTGAGTTTTTATTGTACTTCAATAATGTTCTCTGATTTCTGTTTTTGATTCAAATAGTCAATCTAACCCTTTAAGGATTGAATTTAAATTGTCATATCCAAATTTTCTTAAGTTAAAGAATTAATTTTATCCTCATATTATAATTGTATTTCTTTGAAATCATCTTTTGCTTTCAATAATTGCAATTAGTCATGATTTTTCATCAAAATCAAATCATTATTTTTCTACTGTAAAGCTAAATCCAAATTGTCTATTTTGTTTTAAAGAGCCTTTTGATCTTCTTCTAATTTCAAGTCCCTTTATACCTATTCGATTTAGTCTTGATTTAAATTTTCCAATTATGAATTCTTTTCTAAATATTCCTCTAATAATTCATTGTAGACTTATATTTGTTTTTCCAATTCAATTTATTTATTATCCCTTTCTAATTCGACCATCTTAAGTTTCTATTTCAACTTTTCACTTTCATTTTAAAGGGTTTCTACTTAAACATAATAATCCTCCACCTATTGTAAATATTATTTATTTAACAAATCTAATTCATTAATTTGGTCATTCTGAGTTTCACATTATTATTAGATTGACTATTTGTGCTTAATCAAATCTTATTATATTTGTTTAGATTAATTTAATTGATCATTAAGTTATTTCTACAATTATTGTAATTTAGAAATTTCACTATTCTTTTAAATTAAATTAATTTCTAAATTCTCACATTTACTTACATATTTATTTAAGTCATCCTTTAATTTTACGGTGTTGTTTTGTAGGAATTCTACTTTCTACTAAAGTTCTGTAATGGCATTATTTTTATTATCAATTTCCACTAATTTAGACTCAAAATCTTGTTCCTACTTCTAGAGTTTAATTTTCAATTTTTCGTATTCTTGTTTTTGGTTATTTAATTATTCACTAAATTCATTTTTCAAGTTTATTAATTTTGAATCATTTTCTCTTTAAGATTTATCAGTATTGATATCAATTGATGATAATGGTTTATTTTCAGCCCTTTAAATGAACATCTTCATTGAATTTTTGGCAGTTAATTAGAGTAAATCAATATATGTTGAAGATTTCTTGGTAGTTTTTTCTTGATAAAAAAGATGAGTTTGCTTGCATTGCTAATTCAAGTCTTCTATTTATTGTTTCAATTAATCAAGTTCATTATCTTATCTTTTTTTAAATGTGTCAGTGTGTAAACCAGTTATGTTTGGCAATTCAGCATCTGCAAAGGCATTAATAATCTAGATTGATGGAGTCAAATTTTTTAATTATCCGATAAAATCTTATGGCAATATCCTACCATACTATTATAAGAACTTTTTCCTTTTATCCTTTTCTTAATCTATTAATGACATCAATGATTTTATTTTCTTATCGAAAATATCTCTAAATTCTTTCCTTCTGCTTGTTTCTATTAATGCTTATTAGTAAGCCTATGGTAATAAAACAGGATTCAAAAGATAGGAAAAGTCTTTCTCCATTTTCTCCACTTCTTCATCATATTATTTGATTTTTTCATTATGTTATTCAAATTCCTTGTCAAGAGCTCTTAAGTTTTAGAATACCTTCAATATCTTAGACATATTCTATTATTTTAGTTAAGTGAATTACATAAATACTTATTTAGCTAAGATTATTTAATATCAATACTTTTTTCTAAATGATCACCTATATGAGTAACTGCATCCTCAAATTATTTCATCTGCTCTTAAGATAATTCAAATTAAGATAAATAATACATGGCTGGTTCATCATTAATATCCTGTGAAAAATCAATCATATATTGTCTTAAAGTATTGTATTCTAATTATTAAATTACATTTACCATCAATAGTGGATTAGACTACAGATTACAATAATGATTTGTTTTCTTGTATGAATTATTAATATTATTGTTAATTTGCTTTGTAGCTTGATAAACATTGAGTCATGTTTTCTGTTTTTTCGTTCTTTATCTTTTATTTTGATTTTGATATTGCTTAATTAAGTTTATCAATTTTTTGTTTTAAACTTTATTAAGTATTTAAACAACTATTTTTCCATTTAAGCATTGATTCTGGTTTGTAATATATGTCACTTAAATATTTTTGTGAATTTGTCTGTAATGCAGCATGCAATTCTATTTTTTTTAGTTGCTCTAAACTGTCATCAAATTTTTTAACTGTTTACAGATTTCTCTCCAAGGACTCTTTTTATTTTTTTGTCAGCTCTTCTTTCTTGGCTTTGGTGTTCTTGTAAGTAGTTCTACTCATTTTTAATACAATATCAAACGATTAAATTTGATTTTCCAAATCTTGTCCAATCTTTTCCAATTGTTTAACCTTTTACTAATAAGGTATGTATTTATTCTTTAAATTTTGTAAATGCTAAAAGAATATTTTCTCATGATTAATTATGTTTGAGTTCAAATTAATAAGAGTTTCTTTTGCTTGTTCTGACAGTATCAACTATTTAAGGTCCATTTTAGGTTCATATTTTGGAAACGGGTAAACAACCTGTTCAGGATTTTCGCTTAGATCAAATAAATATATAGTCTATTCCAATATTATTTGTATATTACATAAAATTTTTATTCATCTGGAAATTATTACACTGTTTGTTGCAATTATTAATCAACATCAAACTAATTTAAATCTTCCAACTTGACTCCTTTCTTTGTTAAAAGTAATTAATTCTTCACTTCAACTTTTGTTTCATTCTAAATTTATTCTTACAGATATTATAATCTAAAATCTTATGCAATGAATACCGTTTATTCTCTGCTTAAAGTGTCAAGAGGAATTGATGACCATCTATTCCAATTTTTATAATGAAGTCCATTTTTCTATTTTTTTTGAATTTGAATTAATTAATTAAAAAGGTTGTTATATTAATAATAATCTTAAGGTTCTATATATATAAGATCCAACCATTTCTAATCAAACACAGCAAAAAGAAAATCAATAATTTATGAAAACTAATCTTAAATGAATTAAAAAGCGAATATTTTTCAGATTAATCTCGAATAAATTATATTTAATGATAATTGATGTGATTATTAAAAATAATAAATATTTTGAATATGAGAAAGGTGTTTATATTAGAATTTATATTGGCTGCCCATGTTGTATTTTGTATTTTGATTGAAATGTAATCAGTGATATTTCCAATTCAATAAAAATTAGTGGATTTAGATAATGTTGGACCTGTGAAAAAGTATAATTCATAAATAAATTGTATAGAAATAGTCATGCTAATCATAATTCATATTTTGATTTATTTGGATTCTTTGGATTATGTATTTGGTTAATATTGAAATACTTTTTTGAAGGATTTAGATTCAATTCGCTTCTTATTATGGCAGCATATACATTCTTCTTTTTTGATAGAGTATTCAATCATTTAATATTAATAGGCATTATAATTTGCAGATAAAATATTATGTTAAGTGGCAGCCGTATTAACAATTTTATATATTTGGACTTTAATAAGTTATCCTGTTTATGAATTTCCAAAGGCTACAGGTAAATATAGAACTTGCTATAAAAAAATTAAATTACATGATACTTATTAATCTGATGCATCTGTTTATTATCCATGTGTTGATAATAAATAAGAAGATATTAAATATAAATGGTTACCTAATAATAAGTTTGCTAAATAATTGTATGAAATATCAGTTTTATAAACTAAATGGGTACCATCTGAATGGGTATTTGATATTGGATTGGGTTTCTTAAAGTAATTAATATAATTTAATATAGTTTTATTAATTTTACAGCAAGTGTTGAATAACCATTATTAAAAGAAGAATTAGATGTAATTATATTTAGTCATGGATTTTCATAACATAGAAATGCATATACAGCATTATGTTAATAATTAGCAAGTGAAGGTTATGTTGTATTTTCATTATAACATTATGAATTAGTATATCCTTGGGATATTAAAGCAACCAAAATATATAATACTGGTAATTATCCAGAAACGATTGAAAAATATTAAAAGATTAGATCATCTCATTTAAAATGGAGAACTGAATAAGTTTAATAATTAATTAATACTTTGAAATCAAATCAAATTAAAGATGTATTCTTTGATTTCAAACCTTTATCAATTAATTTAATTGGTCATTCATTTGGAGGTGCCACTGTTCTTAGAGTTGCTTAAGAAGTCAATGTTGATAGTGTTATTGCTTATGATCCATGGTTATTCCCATTTACTTAAGAATAAATGCATAAATAAGTCAAATCTAGAACATTGATTCTTAGTAAAGATAAAGTTAGAGTTAAATAAGAATGTTTTGATCCTAAATTACTAAAGGACTTTTTAGATTTCAATACATCCATTGAACATTATAAGATAAAAGGTTTAGATCATGCTTATCCAGTTGATCTAACTTATTTAATTGCTGCTGAAATGGTATTAATTGGTGAATTAAGAAATGATGACAATGTATTCAAAATCAATAGTCTAATCAACTCATTAACATCCAAGTTTTTACAATAAAAATTATTCAGTATTGAAGAAAATAAATTATTTTGTTGAAATTATTATAATATTCAATCAAACAATTTATGAATCACAAATAATTTATCTTTCCTATATTTTATACTTATTCTATATCTATCATCGAAGCCTTTATTTATTAGATTGAAAAAATAATTAATTGATATTTTCTTTTAACTATTTGCTCATCCTTTTTTGAAACTTCAACTTACGTTATGAAAAATAGTAATATACGTCTACAACTTTGAAAGATTTTGTTCTTTCACAGATTATTTTTTGAACAAACTAGAAAGTTCATGTCAATCTGAAGGAACTTCAAATATTGACATCATAAAATAAATTTTAAGTGTATCATCATAAAATTTATTAAGAAGACTATTGTATATTCATAATTTTTCATCTAGAATCACCTTTTGATCTTGAATGAATATAATTCAAAATAGTGACTGTAATATTTTTTTAAAATAAAAAAATTTTGAAGAAATCAAAGAATTAATCCAGACCACAGAATTTATCTTTTATATTCTCATCTACTTTTCTTATCTAGTGAAAAATGGTAATCTATTCTTGAGTGAGAAGATTAGAAAACTATAGTATATTGATTTATTAATGATATTTATTTAATTTAATTTTTGTAACAAAAAAATGTATTATGATCAATCTATGCAAATTGGATTATCCATATTTTTTCCATTTTTATCCTCATGGCTGCTGCTGGGTTGAGGAGATTTAATTTTTTGTAAAGATTTTTCTTTCACTTTTTATTAAGGAACTTATTACTATTATTATTATTATTACTATTATTATTGCTATTATTATTGTTATTGTTATTATTATGGTTATGGTTGTTATCCAACAAGGGTTGGATTCTAATTGCTTAACACTTTTTAAATTTAAGCATTAGAATCTGATTATTTTTAATTGACTATTTATTATTAAAATACAGATTATGGAGTAGTAAATCCTTAAGGGAGAAAAGCTTATAATGATTTTAATTACTCCTCTCCAAAAGATTTCAAATCTTCATGCTGCTTTTCAATTTGACCAGGGTTTTGCATAATGATCTGATCAGCCAACATTTTTGTGAATTGAGTAGTAGTATTGATTTTAGGTTTCTCTTCAGAAAGTTTATAGATATATTTTTTAGTGGCACTTTGTTATTATTATTATGTCTATTAAGGATTTTTAACATTATTCTCAGCAGTAACATTTATATTGTTAGCAAAATTCTTTCTAATAAATTCAGAAAATTATTTTTTTATTACTCTAACCATTCTTTCTTTCAGTCTATTAGATTTCTATATCGGTTTATCATTTTCTTGATGTGTAGTTTATAATTATTATTGTTATTATTATTGTTATTGTTGTTGTTACTGTTATTGTTATAGTTGTTGTTGTTATTATTATTATTGTTATTATAATAATAATTATTACTGTTGCTATTAGATTGACTACTATTATTCGGATAATTATTATTATTACTTTTCCAATTATAATGAATCTTATTATTATTAAGATTAATTTTGTTCTAAATTTTATTAATCTTCGTTTATTTGATCATTTATCTATTTTTCCAAATTCTTCTAAGCAAGTTCTTGTTGGGATACTTCATCTAACCAAGTTTCAAATTTTTTAAATTTTATGAATTTAGGCTTCGTAATTGTCTATTGAGTCAATAATTATTGTAATGAATTTTACTTCCCTTCAATATTAGATAAGTTTGATTCAACTAATTATTTTAACTATGACTTATTTTAATAAGTGTTGACATTTTCATTTTTCTCTTTATGCTACATCTGTTATTATTAAATTTGTTGTTGCTACTACAGGACAGAAATTTAGCCCATTTGTTTTTAATACAATTGCATCTGAATCAGAGTTGTAGGGTTCAACATAATTAGTCTTAGAAGTGTTGGATCTGCTAATTATTAAAGTGCTTGTTTTTGTTATTCTTCTAATTGATTCTGCTTATTGATACTGACTTATTCTTCTTCAGACTCTTCCAACTCCTCTTTGATCTCTTACACTATTTCCCCCTAGATTTAGAATAAATATAATACATTTTAATCAAAAACGACTTCCTTTATGTTTTCTTTATTATTTCTATATTGTTCCAATAATTGCAATTAATACTAATCGATCATGATATCAAAAATCTTTTTTTTGCAAACAGGGCATTTCCACTTCTTTGATGTGCCAGCATTAATGGTGATGGTATTTTCAAGAGAGAAACATTAGACATGTGCACAAAACTTTCCTCTAGCAGGTGTCTAGATCATTTAAGAATCAAATTGACACTTGAGGGAAACCTTGATGGTGATTTTATCAATTTGAACATCATTATCAGTCTTTTCAGCCACACAGGCTTTTTAAATGAGTTGTATACACTCTTCCTTAGTTTTAAGACACTCCTTATTTTATTTAATCTGATTGATCAATTCCTAATGTGGTCTCTTCTTTGTCAAATAAATGGCTTGTGCATAGACTCCACTAATATTATATTAATAAGGTTTTACTCTTCACACAATTTAAACTATGTTTTGGGTTCTTGGAAATTTTGTCCATCTTTGATAATGATTTGATTGTAGCCTTATTTGATGGAGAGAGTAATATTATGCTGGAAGGGTATGATCTAAATTTCATCCTTTCTTTTTTTTAGACTGCTATTTGATTTAAGTGGTTTGAGTTCCACAAGACGTTGCTGATTGATTGAAATTTCACAGAAATCAGGCCAAGTAATTTCATTCATGTATTTAGCGTCAAGTCTTATTGATCTCAATTCTACTTAGTATTAAAATGAGCGATCTTATAATTGACTATGTTTATATAAATAGGTGTTACTGGAATTCTTCAGCAGTAAGCATGAAACTGAGCGTGCTTGAATTAACATTCATCAAGGTCGGTTTAGTGAGAACTTTAATAATTTGATTGAGTGGGTCAATTTTGCTGAGAATGCAAACTGGACATTCGAACATCTTGACATCGTTGGGCTACAATTTCATACAGGAAATATGAAGTTTGTTATCGCAATTAATGCATTTAACTTCCTCATTAGTAACTCTTTTGGCGGGAATGATTCTAGGAATAATTGAATTTTCTTACTTACATGGACACATGAGGAGTTGTTAAATTTCTGTTTATGGAATTGTAAGGGATTCATTCCATTGATCTAAATAATGTAGAATGCATACTGTTATATTGATAGTAAAATTGTTGCGGTGTATTTTATCTCATCTGCTATTGATAGAGATTCATATTCATTAATGGATTGTATTGTAATAATTGTTGTTATTGCTGTGCTTATGGGAGGACCATCTTAAATTTTAAATGAATTCAATACATAGTTCATATATGGATTTGCCAGGATTTATGGGATGGCTCGCTGTATTTGTGGTTGTTATGGGAATTATTATGTTCTATTGATTATGCTTCCTTAAAATTTCTTTAAGATGGCCATTATGCTCTCGTTGTTTTGAAGGTTTGGTTGGTGTTGAAGAAGCTATTCCACAGGTCTAGATGGATCAACTTATATCAAAAATTGTAGAAGTTGTGTGGGAATTGAGCTAATAATTTCTTCTTTTTTTTTTTTTTCATGTATATTCAGTTCTTTTGCAATTTATTATAGTTGTTTTTTTCCTAATTTTTATAAATGCACACTATTCACAGCTTCTTTAATAGCCTTCTCGTATACTTAAGATATTTAAGTATTTTAAGGATTCAACATGCCAAAATTCGGCACATTCAGAAAACTAAATATTGGAATGCTTCCTTACTTGTAATGAGGTTGTCCAGACATTCTGCTTCTTTTATATTTAAATTTTGATCTTTAACTAAAAAGATTCGTCATTCCCAGCACACCTCCCCCTTCCTTAATTTAACTTTTTAACTTTATGGTATTTACAATTTAAGTATGTGTCGTATCTTTTTTAATTTTTTTTAAAAATCCCCTTATTTAGTGTTTCTTTTAGTTATTTTATTAATATATTTTATTCTATCCCCTTAAACTCGAAAATCAAAAATCTACACCACTCCTCCTCTCTCTTCAATTTCAACTGCTCATATTCCAATTCAACATAAATTCCATAATACATATAGGTGCCTTCCCAAAAATAACTCCTTAATTTGTAACTGTATAATTCCTTAATCTAATGAATTTAAATTGCCTTTGTTAAATACATAGTCAATTTTGCATTCCTTAATGCGACGCCATTTCTTATTATTCTAAGATATCTTAGACAATGTCTTAAACTTGATTAACAACAATCAGCTGTATAAAATTACTGTATCAAACTTTTCAGTTCAAAAATTTACCTTCAGATCTGCTCCAAGAACTCCACCTCAAACCATTTAAAAAACATCAAAAGGATTAATCTATGTGATTAAGCTGGCAAATGAAGTTAAAATTTATTCATCTATCAATTCTGATACAATAACCAGTTAATATTAACCAATGCTGTACTACCCAATAAATTAAAACCCCACTCGGAAATGAACAATTACATGATATATATTATGCAATAAATCCTTATTTAAATGTCAGTTTAATAATAAAAGAATTTGAAGGAGAACAATGATTCTATTTAGAAAACAATTACCAGAGTTATAATTTTTATTTAAAATAGACCTGAAAATTGTAGAAATTCATACTCAAAGATAGATGTAAGACTAAAGTGAAGCTAAAAGAGCTTTTAGTAATTAATTTGAATGAATATATTAAGTGGAAACTATATAAATTATCTACTTATAAATTAAATAAATGTAAATATAAGGAGCTAAACACAACTATGATAGATAATTGGATGGAGAGAGTGCAAAAAGACAGTTAATTAATGATTCTTAATTTTTATTAGCCAAACATTCTAAGTTAAGTAGCTGAATCAATATGAATAAAAAATATTATTAATGTTTTTATTCGATTAAATTATGAACTGTATTATTAATAGTTATATGTTTATTCATAGTAAAGAATTGTATGGTTGTTCATTGAAATAGTTAGATTAAGAAACCGTGATTGCATTGTCTACATTTGGAGAAGGCACCTAAGAATTATTGGGTATGATTAATATTAATCAAGTGTTGTCAAATAAGGATGATAATTTATAGAAAAAATCTTAAATCAGTCTTGATTCCAAATTTGTTATTCAATTAATGTTGCTTAATGAGTTAATAGTTGTTGCAGGTGAAAGTTTCCAAATCTTCAAGTATTCTAAAAACAAAATTGATCATCTTGTTGATCTCCAATCTAATGAAGTGATTTCTTGTTTTGACAACGTTGATAATCAAAAGATTATTTCTGGTTCCATCGATTCAATCCTAACTATATGGGACATCAACACTCAAAAGCCTCTCTCTCAAACCTAAGTCTTTCAGAATCAGGAAATCTATGACTTGAGTCTAAGTGCTGATGGGAATGTTGGATCATTGATTACCAATAAGAATGGACTCTTTCGCTTTGATGTAAGACTTAATCAAATTTTCCCCTTCTAAACCAGACAATCATTAAAATATAGCAAAATCAATTATAATAAATTTGACAACTCTTATGTAATGGCCATCGATCAAGAAAATGGTATCATCGATTTATACGATACAAGATAAATACAATAAACCTGCCAAAGAATTAGATGTTAAGACATTATATCAAATGCTGACTGGTTGATGAACTCCCTCATTATTTCAGCATGTCAAGAAGGCAATGTTGAAATAATTGAAATGGATACTCATCTAAAGTAATATTAAATTCGCAAAGAATACACCATAGACAATATGCAAATTTACGACAACATAGTTGGTTTGATATCTGCCAATCATTTTGGATTGATATACCTAAAAAAATGATAATTATATTAATTACTAAAATCAAATTTATCAATTAGCCTTTTGTTAGGGATCTATATAAAATAGTCTGTCTGTCTATTCTACAAAGGGCTCCAAATTTGATAGATGTATGTAGATATTCTTCTCATTTTATATTAAAAGCATTCTGACTTAACAAATTTTAATTCTCAGAAATATATATATATATTTACATTAGAATTCAATTAGGAACTACTTTAAATAACACTATTTCCATGAAGAAGGTAATAAAATATAAACACTAACTGGGATTAAACTCATATAAGCCAATATTTAATTAAAATTAATATTAATCTTTAATATAATGATTTTAGGTATAGATAAATTTTATAGAATGGCAATTATTTATGGTTCTTCATCTAGAAATGCTTCCTGTTTAAATTTAGTAGGTACTTTTAATGAATTGAGATAAGATCATGTAAGTTTCCATTATTTTAAAGGCATTTGTAATCTGTGGTTTATTGTAAGAATATATATTACTGATATTGTTTCATAATTAATAAAAAAAGAAAGTATTTTTAATTATGTTATGATGTGATGAAATGTAAATATGAATCTATTTTAGTCAATAATTCTAATTTGTAGAGTACATTAACATTTCTTTGGCTGTTATTTTAACTTTCTCGACATTGGATAGAGACCAAGGCAATCTTTTAACTTCGAAAGAAAACTAGATTAAAAAAAATTTATACAATTTTATCGTCTGAAATTGTATTCTATATTTTATTGCATAAGGCCGCAATTTTTTTTTTGGAGTCTTTCTGAATTTATTCATCTAAGCAATCTAAGTTATTATATTATATTTTTACTTAAATATTCTTCATAATATCGAACAAAAGTCTTAGAAGAAAATATTTCTTTTAAGAATTCAGAATTCATAGTCTTATTCTTGCTGTTTTTTCTAAATGGCAATATGATATTTCTCTTAGTCTCTTGTTCTATTATTTCGATGAATTTTTTCTATGCGGATTTCAAATTTATCTCTTAGAAATTAAGTCTAATAAATACTTGTTTTATCATTTTCTTCCTGTACCTTTCTGAAAATGAACTTTAATGCTTTTCTCAAGCAAAATTTAATGAGTTCCTCCCTACTCTTGTGTTGTTGCTATTGCTTTTGGAATAGGATCTCAAGGACACTCGCCAAAGAAAGTTGGTTTTTGTTTTTTAACGAAGAAATCACTTAATTTACATCTTCATCCTCATTGACTATCATCAATATATATTTTTCTAACGTCTCCCTCGATTCAAAAGGTACAGCATCTTTAGTCTCGAAAAAAGATCTTCTTGTACCCTGTGTTGTACTAACATCCTCCTTGCATTACACTAATAATAGGATAGTTATGCTTACCTTGTTCAGATTAGGCAGGGATTTAGTCAAATGGTTAAGGATAGAGTTAAGTTTGATTTACATAAGGATAGGCATACGCATTAGAATAATAATAATGTTGCATATTCTAATACGTATTCCAATAGTTGTGTTATTAGCTGAGTTAGAAGTCAAAGATGAGTTAGTTGGTCAAAAGGCTATACATTTAGTTGTAATTTAATTCGAAATATTATAATTGGAAACAAAAGAAAGATATGCTATTTAAAATGCCTAATAATACATAATATTCATTAATTAAATTTATCCACGTTTAACTAAAGCTGAAACAAGCATTTACAGGGCTTTGTGACAATATAGAAGGAGTTGTAAAGAGAATTTTAAATGAGAACATGGTAATAACTTACTGAATATTCTTCATTAATGTAAATTAAATTACTGATATTTTTTAAACATTTATTCAATGTTAGTTCAGTGCTCATATAAGTAATAATTGATTACAGAAATCGATCTAAACTACAAAAACCCTGTTCCTAGCTCAAAAGTAATTACAAATGTTCTCAAAAACTAATATAATTGAAGAATTCAAAAAATAATTCCTAAATTTCATTATTATTAATAACAAATTAGCAATAATTTTGAATAAACTCATATATTCGCAATAAAGTTTAGTTATTTTAAACGAATAAAATTATCAAAAATATTAGTAAAAATAAATTTGTTGTCAAAGTTCTTAAAATTATTAAAAACATTGTCCTAAATATAATTAGGGAAAGAATGTAAAAGATTTAAATTTTTGTTATATAATAAAGCATTTATATTAAATAAATTATAATTATAATAAAAGTTGAAATGTAGAACGCGATGTCAAGAAGACTTTAAAAAGAGTTAGATAGTATGAAAAAGTCATTTGCAAATGAATTCAATATTTAACTGCCCAAAAATGAAATTTCACATTGGATTATTGGATTTGAAGGTGCAAAAGGCACTCTATATGAAGGGGAAAAATTCGAGTAAGAATTGAGTTTGATATTTTAGATTGCAATTCAAGTTCCCAAATAATTATGTAGAAGCTTTTATTCTTATTTAGCTCCTTTTTCTTTGAAATTAGCCAATGGAATCCCCTGAAGTATTATGATAATTAAAATTAGGTAATCTTTATTGGTAAGCCACCTGTGCATGAACATATCTATTCAAATGGATTCATTTGTTTATCAATATTATACGATGGTATTTAATAATAGAATGATTACTTTAGAATGGACTGCTGCCTTGAGCGTAACCTCTTTATGTCTTTCAATCCAATCCATGTTGTCGAGTGCTACCATAAAAGTGAGGATAACGATATTATAATCAGATGAAACCTCCCAATGATGAAGAGTTTATCAAGAAAGCCGGTGGAAAAGGGCCAAAGAGTTTTAAATGGAATTTCCATGATGAAAAGTGCTGAGCATGTTGCAACAAATATATAAATTCAATACGAAACATTCATAATCATTACTAAACAATATCCTAATCTGAAACATCGTCCAGAATCTTTTACAAGTCTGTGTTACTTTGACTGCTCGATGGAACCTTCTACACGTTTATACTACTTCTAAACCCATTATCTTAGAGGTTTGCACTGTTTCTGTATCCATTGTCTGATATCTGATTCTAAGACACTAACACAGATCCTCTATTAGAACCCATTGACATTCTGGATTTGTTCATAAGCATCTTGGTCGTATCAATCATGCTGGTTTTCTTTGAGGATTGTCTGGCAGGACTACTTTGACAACTTGACAGATTGCTTTCAATTATCAAAATCAAATCATTAAGATCCTAATCAGCTGCTGGAGTCAGTTTCAACATACTTTACAGCTTCAATACCAAATCCTTTTATTATTACTTTAACTAATTATTAACCGTTGAGAATTGGGCAATTTATAGTTTGCTTAATCTAAGTTCATCATTGAGTCTATTGATCTACTCTTTATATTTATCATCTTATGATAGTTCTCTAACTGGTGAAAATTACTTGATGTTTTCTGAACTTCTCATTAATTATTCCTACATTAATTTGAGTTCCTCCTTGTAACCCTCTGCAATTTTATCGCATTCTTCTTAGGATTATAGTTTTGCATTCTTAAGTTTATCCTCAAGAACTAAGATAATATATTTACTATTACTTTTATATTGATTTTCCAATTACTTTTAAAATTTTATCTATTCATCTCTTTGTAAATCCTTACTACTGTTAATTGTAGTCAATTCCTCCATTTTTTATTTAAGTTAATCTACCTCCTCTAAGAGTTATTGATTTTAAATTTTAGTTTCTAATATTATTAATAATAATAATTCTTACATTCAAGTTCCTTATTTAAAGCAGACTCTACTCCTTCCTTATTAATCTAATAATCCTTGAAATCCTATTAGATTTACTAATATTGCGTGTTCAACTCTACAATTTGAGATTCAAATTATTGCTTTTACTCATTTAAGACTCCAATCTCTTATTATTATTTAGTATTTTCCTATTCTAATACTTTGTATTTGATTTCAAATTCCTTCAACTATGAGTTCAAGTCTTGAACTTGTTATGTTAAACTGGACTCATTTTAATTTAACTTTTAAAGAAGGAGATTTTATTCATTAAGATGTTAATCCTACTCCTATCTTTTTGCAGATAAGTTTTGAATTTCAGTTTCAAGCTCCTATATTTTACTTGTCAATTCTGATTTTTATTCTAGTATATTTATAATATGGTTACATTCTTTGTCTTTATTAAGTTAATCTATTTAATCGGTAAGCAATTACTTTTCTTAAATTAAACCTATTTTATTAATTATGGAAATAAGTACTTTGATTATCATTCTACAATAATGAGTTCGATTAAATTTATTTATCTAAAGTATTCTGAGTTTCAATGATCTTTTCATTTAAGATTTCATTTGTTTTTTACTTTTCCACAATTAGATTCTATTCACTTTCAAGATGTTATTTTAATTATTGAATTTCTCCATCTTTCTCGTTTATTACGTTCTTATGATGATCAACATCTTCCTTTAATTTGGGAATCAATTCAACTTATTATTCAAATTATTATATCTAAGATTTAAACTATTCTTGTTCTCCATTCAGTGTTGATATGATTACATCTTTTTAATTCAATAGTTATTGAGACTGTTATAGATCTTCAGTAAGTTTTGCTATATTTTTAATTTCATTCTTCTAATCCTCTATCTGGGCCTGAAGAAGTTACTCTTTAGCCAACAGTTCTATATGAACTTAGATTATTTGTACCTTAATTTTATTGGATCAGATCATTTATTTGATTCTGTAAATTGTTCTCATTTATTTAAATTTTCTATTTAAAGGTTTCAAATTTAAGTTCATTTTCTTAGAGACTGTCAATCAGTTTTTATTTCTCTTATTGTAAATCTAGATAAAATTATTGATTAAGAATACTTTGAATTTGTTCTTTTAATTCTTCAATTGTAAAATTTAATTCATAAATTTAATTTTGATTAGATTATTAATCCTAAATTCTGATTGGGGATTGTAATTCTACAATGGAATATGGGGAGAATACCTTTAGACTCAGCACATTGATTTGAGGATCCCAAAAGGATCTCTTCGTCAAAATTTTCACAAGTCTCTTGATATTTGACTTCTGAAGCCAAAGTTTCAAATTAGCATTGATCCATGGATTCAGTGGTTTGATTGTTTTCTTGGCTTCCTACTTTCTTGATGTTCTACAACATTTATGAGTTCTGGGATACTCTTATGGAACCTTTAATAATACTATTTTAATACTGTTATTAAATTATTGGGATTTAAATTCTTCGTTTTGATAGTGTTCCAAAACTAAAATGTCATTTAAAGGGATACTTTATTTTAATTCAGCGATTTATTTGTTTAAGTCTTCAATGAGATTGAGCAGTTACTGATTCTTCTGAGTCAAACTAAAAATTTAATCCTGATTATCTATTTGAATAAAGAATATGAATTACTATCTTTGACTTCTTCAATTTAGAGATTGAGATCATTTATCACTTGCTGCTGTTTCTACAATTCACATTTATGCTCCAGGTCCATAGATTCAAGTTCTTGCTCAATCAAATGAAACAAATACATAGTTCCTTTTCTTAAAGTTTTTGTTTTAGCATTAAACTACTTTGGTCCATCTGGTTTTGCAATTGGACATATGAGTTTCTGACAGTCTGTTCAGCTTGATTTTTCCTTTCTTCCTTGATCTTTTGTCTGACAACATTGATTTGCTCAATTATTTCTGCTCCACAATTTCTTCGATCCAATTCAGAAAGGCAATTAGTGAATCGTATCAATTTCTTCTCAGCTCTCTTCTTGATCTACATCGCATTATTATACAGAGACAACAATTCCTTAATATCTGTTTATTGCTGATCCATTAAATTTATTATCAATTATACTTAAGAGATTACGCCATGTTAATTAACTTATAATCATACAAACACAAAAATTGAAATCGATAAATCTTGAATTCACTTATTACTCTAATCTTACTTGCTCTTATTGTACTTTTCTAAGGCCCTACAAATTTCAGATTTAAACAATTCTCTACTCTATTCCTTATTCAACTCCGAATTCGAGGTCTGTTTCCTTTACTCCAAACTGCAATTGAGCATAGACACACTTGACTTTTATAATTAATTAGACTTCATCTCCAAAATCTACTATATTTTAGTCCATTACTTGTTCAGTGAGATCATTAACTCTTGCTCTTTCTTAATCTAACTTGAGATTCAATTCTTATTTTAAGCAAAAAGGTTACCTAAGATCTTTTTATCGTGATCACTTTTTTATTATTTTATTATGCAATTGGCTTTATGGAGTTCTAGATATAAATTACACACTAACATTATTTGAGATCGTTTATCTCATCAACGTAGAGATTGTATATGTCCTAATGTTTGTCGTCTGAGTAAATGGAATTCAGAGTTGGCTTCTCCTCCTTGACTATAATAATATTTAGGGTCCCTTTTTTACAATTAAACAAAGGATTGCTAGTGAGACGAGGACTAACTTGAGGAGAGTTTTAACTAGAAAATGCCACTCTATCAGACTTGATTTTTGTTCTTAGAGAATTGACCTCGCTCAATAAATCTGGGGTCATGTCATTCTTATGCAATTTATAATATTAACTAGAAAATTTGATAAAATTCTTTTCAGCCTTTATGTTAACCTATTTTGAAACAGTGTAAATCTTCATCATCTCCCTTAATTTTTATTCATTCATTAATTCAATTATAAATTATTCATTAACATTTAAAATAACAAAACATTTTTACACATAAATAACACAAATAATTTTATTCACTAACATCCCGTCCTCCATCTCCTCTCAAGGTTTTCAAAATTGCAATCGAACACAGCTTTGCCAAGCTATTAATTCACATCATTGTGTCTCTAACACAACCAAATTGACAGATCCTTCCTCGATGTCACTATTGGAGGATCTAAATTACAATCAACATTCCCTCTTACTTTTCAAAATCTCCTGTTGGAAGTGAGCCTTACAATGTTTACAAGCATAAAATTCAGCAATGGCATCAAATAGATTTCTCATTTTCTATTGTTACTCCTGAGTAGGCTCATCTGGATAGTAGATAGCCGTAGTATGCAACATGTTCCAAGTATAATTGCCATATGTGCTCCTATTGAGTGGACATTCCTGAGAGGGTTATTCATCTTCGAATTAGAGCTTGGATCTCTTCTTGGATTTGAAATTGAGAATGTCTTCCTTTTCACAAATTGGCTCAAAACAATTCTTATCACTCATAGATTAAATAATAATTCAATAAATACAATCACAAATATAAAGATGCAGCAAAAACAATACCTTTCTTCAGCTTCTTAGAACTCTCCTTAAACTTATTTTCCAATTCCTTATTACCAATCACCTTAGCAGCCTCCTCCATTTATTTAATTAATTCATCCAATCGTCTAAGACATCTGATGATGGATCCTTCGAATAAATCAGTCATCTTGCAAATCTACAAAAAGGACTATCCCTAACACCAAGCCAGAGTTACTTCCATCATTTAACTCTTAAATGTTGCTAAATATTCCTTCTAAAATTATGATATAAATCATATTACCTCATCAATATTCATTTTGGATTCTGTATATACAGTATAAAGGTATTTAGCCTGGTCAAGTACTTTTGTGTATAACTGCTACATCTTATCATTTTTTAATTAGAACTTCTCACTATTATTTTCATCGTGCACAAAGACACTCAATACAGCACAAATTTCTTCTGAAGCCAAATCATTGAAGAGACCACTGACTAATAGTTCAGTTAACTAATAGAAAATATTTAGAATATAGTATATACCATAATTTCATCTCCTGCTGATATTTCACAAGCCACTTTGCCCTTCATTTACACAATTTCATCCTTGGATATATATTGCAATCTTCTTAGAATTCTTTTCATTCTCTTAAGATCTCCACTCAAAACCATTTGTGAACTTTCCTCAATTTACTTATTCAACAATTTGATTGTTTAACCGAGTTTGATTTTCTCATCATATGTCTATAATTCCTATTCCAGATTCTAATTGTTAAGGTCCTTCTTCACTTATTCTACTTGTTCCAAAAGTGATTGTCTCTACTCCAACAATTTATCCAATTAATCATCATTGATCTTCATGTCCTTAATTGGATGAATAAGAGGAGGCTACCCTTTGAATTCCTTGAGCAATTTAATCATAGTCTATTTGATTTGTTATTTGCTTTCATTGGTTCTGAGATCCTTGGGCAAATTCAATTTGATTGTGCTGATCTCATAGAGTTACTCAACAGACACTGGTACTATTTCTAACTCTCCCTCTTAATCGAACGATAATTGAGGCTAGAGTGGTTCATTCTTAATATTTATTAAACATATATATATACCTTCTTCCTCTTTTGAACATACAACATCACATCTAAAATGATAGATTGCTCTTGATCTTTATTCTTCTTATTTCCAAACTTCTTTTACATAAAATTGATTGATATGCCCCATCCCCAATCTCCATCCGATCCTTTGATTCTAATGATTCTGCCTATATGCATAAAGGGTAAAACTATCTAAGGTTGATAGATAATCTTCCTTATTTTATTATAGACGTGTGTAGATTAAGAGATTAGATCATGGTAATTACCCAATTTATCTTCATTTTCAATTTGTATTTAATCTCGTTTTTGTTTGAAGTCCTGTAACTTCTCCTTCATTTCAGGTAATTGTCTATCATTCTAGAATTAATGGAAGGACTTCTTGATAATGAATTCTGGATCAGTGTCTTCCATCCTCATAGAATTGATAAGCATATTGTAAGATAATCTGAACGAAGAATTCAAACAGTCTGATTTTCCCTTGAGCATAGATTTAGCCACTTCTTAGTCCATCTTCTCATCGCACATTAAAATGCACACTCCTTTGTCATCGATACCTCTTCTACCAGCTCTACCACTCATTTGAATATACTCTCCTCCTTGAATCCATCTGAATTACTCACCATCGAATTTTCTGACAGAAGTGAAAACCACAGTTCTAGAAGGCATATTCAATCCCATAGAAAATGTTTCAGTTGAAAATAATGCCTTAAGATAACCTTCTTGAAAGAGAATTTCAATGATCTCCTTGACTATTGGCAATAATCCACCATGATGGATGCCTATTCCTTTCTTTAAAATTGGAAGCATTAATTGAATCTGTGGTAATTGTCTATCCTCTTCAGATAAACAATTCATGGCATTTTTATAGATGGTTTCAATATTCTCTTTTTCTTTTGGAGTAGTCAAATCCAATTTCTGCATTCCAATAGCATATCCTTCTACTTCTCTCTTAGAAAAGGAGAACACTATGGCCGGTGCTAATTCTCTCTCTTAGATCATCTTCATCAATTTAAATAGATCTGAACCCTCAGTGGCCTTCCTCTTCCTTGTATTTTCAACATTTTCCTCCAACTTTGCTACTGCCTCCTGAAATTTGTCTTCCTTAAATTTTCCTGTTTCATCAACAACCAAATAGATTCCCTCCGCACCACTTGGAAATAGATAATGTTGTAAAGGTGTAGGTCTATAATCAGTGTAGACTACATGACAAGGTTGGCGTTTGATTCTGCAAACCCATTCAGCAAATTCACTAGCATTAGGAATAGTTGCAGATAAAAAGACAAATCGAACCTAATAATTAAATGTGCATGTTTACATTTTAATTCAATAAGATGATAGTCTCTTCCCAAACCACTCCTCTTTCTCTATCTCTCATATAATGTACTTCATCCATAATTACCCATGCTACTTCCCTCACAATTTCAGAGCCTCTATACAACATACTCCTTAAAATTTCTGTTGTCATTACCAAACAAAAGGCATTCTCATTCAATGTTACGTCTCCTGTCACCAATCCCACATCTCCAAATTCCTATTACAATTCTCTGTATTTCTAATTTGATAAAGCCTTGATTGGCGAGGTATACACAACTCTTTGCTTGTCTCTCTTGGCCATTGCTATTGCATATTCTGCCACTGCTGTTTTGCCTGCACTTGTATGGGCAGCCACCAATACTGATTCATTGGATTCCAAAGTCTTCACTGCTACTTTTTGGAATGGATCCAAAGTAAACTTATATTATTTAGCATTTTGTTTCTTTTCTAAAAGTGGCTAGTAATCCTCAGGTGTGTACCACTCATGAATACACCCTTCATTCTCTTGGTTTTTTATTATCTTAAATGCTTCAACCTTCTCCTCTGCTTCTACATTCATTGACACTTCCTCGTCCACTTGGTTCTCCACTTGAATTCCATCAGCATTTGCCTTAGTTTCAAAAACACCAAATAAATCCATTAATTAATTAAAGTAATATATTGAGTTAAATATTTCCCATAAAATTAATTTATTTTGTATTTTTTTTTGTATTTTTTCAACCCTCTCTTATGATAGTCAAACATTACTCAGTCAAAATCAACAATCTAATTGAGAATAACAAGGTCCACTATTAAATCATTGTAACCAGTTCCACTAATCCTGCAGATACTAAGACAACCATGAATAGATATTCAGAACTTAAGGACTTTCATGAATAATTGATTAAAAACATCAACCTACTTAAACTCTAGTTATAATTACCTGAATTCCCAAAAAGGTCTCTCTTCTCCAAAACCAATAAGAATCAAGAAAAGATTATACAAAGGCAACAAGAATTGGAACTCTATTTCAATCAACTTTTCAGCATTGATAAAATTCTTAGCTTAGCACCTGTCTAATTGTATTTACCAATCGAAACACCCTTAAATTAATAGTAACTATCCCCAGTCTAATCATAGAATGAAAATCAACGTCTCAATTGAAAGCTACACAGTTTATGATGATGTCGTAATCTACTCTATGAGATTTAAAAACAAAATCACCAAAGAGGAATGGATCTACAAGTAGAGATACTCAGAAATCAAGAACATTCACGATGCATTGGTTGAGTAGGGATACAAGGGCAAATTACCTCCATTTCCTACTCGCAAGCTTTTTGGCTAAACTAATGAAAATCCAGGTATGCAATCAATTTTCATCCTTTCTAGAGACCATCGAAAAAAGAAGGGAAGATCTAGAAGTCTATCTGAATGCTATTTTTAGCACCTAAGAAATATATGACAATGAGATAATTTAATTTTTGATTGCTGATTCCAAAAAGTATTTTGAAACCAATAAAAAATTGGAAGAATAGAAAAAAGTATAAACCTCTTGATTTACTAGAATACAACTCATTAAGCTATTATCTATTCTACATTTTTTATATTTAATTTTTATAAATCAATTTTAACTACTTATGTAAGCGAGCAGCAGTGTTCATTCAACCAATCTTGATAAATAACCTAAATACTCGCAATTTGTAAATGCCTAACTTTATAGTGGCTATCGAGTTCGTGGGAAGGATCACTCTAAATATTCCTTTAATTAACAACTGAGTCCAACAAATGATTAAAAAATAGCAAACAATTTATCAGCGTCTTAAAGTTATGTGAATGCAATGAAAGCATTACAAGACAAGATTAAATACCTAGAAACAGAAAATTAAAATCTACAATCCCTAATTGTATATCCATTCAATATCTATTCATAGAGTTCTGGGGGATTAATTAAATCATTTGAGATTAAGCAAAGACATGTAAGTGCCCATTAAAAACCCAATGAAAATCAATAAATAAGAGATCTGGAATTAAAGCTCGCTTAGGTGGAAATTGAAAAATAATAAATCATAGAGGAGAACGAATAAAAAATATAATAACTACAAGACAATCTAATGAACATAGCCCAGTAATCAGATTTAAGATATAGAGAACAATTGGAATAGATACAACAATTGTAATTTGTTTATTTACAATCTTTGTTAGATAGGATTAATTGGATTAGTAAGGAGAAAATAACTAAAACTATAGGATCAAAATTAACTCGTAAACTCAAGCAATTCAACAAGAAAAATTAGTATTTATATTTACTACTTATGTAGAATAACAACAATCTTGAATAAATTTTAGATTAGGAAAAGAGGGAGACTAAATTCTTAATTGAAAAGAATGAACAATAGTAAGAGGAAATTAGTAAATTAAAAGAACAATTACTCGAGATACATACATATATGAATTGGTATACAAAATAATATGAAGACAACAAATTTCAAAGTATAATCCACATACTATTTATAGAATTACAGGAAGAGACTATGAAATACAAAAATTAGATTCACGAATTAACTAGTTAAGTAGAATAGTATAAGGAATTAAATTTAAAGTTACAATTTGGGTTAGAACATAAAAAATAAGAATTGGAGAAATCTGAATTAAAGAGAGTTAAGAAATTGTCAGAGTCTAATATCAAAATTGATTAACTGAAGCAATAATTAATTAATTTGTCTTCCAATTCCATATTACATACCTAAAGTCCAAGAGAGACATTTAAGAAATGCAAATAGAGTGCAGAGATAGTTAAAAGAACATAAAATTTAAGGAACTATAGATAACAAAATAATGATAGCAAAAAACAATTACCTGAATAACCTTGCAATTCAATGTTTAATAGTCCTTAAGAATCATATAAAATACAATAAAATGACTCATAAAGTAGTGTTTTCAGCAGATTGATAGTAAAGACTCAAGAAGAGAACTTTCTGACTCAATAAAAGAGTGAAGATAGGAATAATATTGGAAACATTATAGATGAACATATTCAAACCATTTAATTAAGTGCAAATTAATAGGAGAAACATCTCTAAATTTAACCTAGAATCTAAGAACTGAATGATTAATTGAAGATTCTAAATTAAAAATATGAAGAAATAGAAAGTGTAATTTCATAATTGACAGATTTGAAAATCAAAAGAGAAAAAAGACAACTTTTGCTTCAAATAATAGATAAAATACAAGACATAAATAAAGAATTAAATACTCTTGTAGCTAAACAAAAAGCTACTTAGCAATTTTGAATCTTTCTTTAAATTTATTATTCTTATTATTGATATATATCTTTTACTAATGATTATTAACGATTTTTTGTCATCATCTTACATTACCTTGGACAAGAAATGAATTTAAATTCACACAAATAGATTGAAAAATATAAAGTTTAAAATATTGTTGATTATTATGAATATTAATCTATAGAAATATCACCTTATAGTCATAATTGATCGCGTGGTGTAGGGGTTATCACGCGTCCCTAACAAGGACGAGGCCGCCAGTTCGAGACTGGCCGTGATCATTTTTTTTAATTAATTTCTTAATGTAATTAATTTTTTTGTTTTTGGGATTGCTATTTAGAATAGATTGTCAAGATCCTAATGATGCAGTATTTTCATAGTCAATAAATGTAGTCTTGAATGGTCAATTGAAACATTATTATGTGGGTAATGTGGTTGTACATGCATCAAGCAGATAAGAGAAAAACGAATATTTTCCTGAAGATTCTACCACATTTGATGATGATGGGACACCAGAATTCATAGAGTATTTGGAACCTTACGATTATGATTAAGAAATAGATTTGAATGATTTAAGGGTTTCTAGAATATATCCTGATGTAAATAGAAATTAAGTCTTGCCCTACAACATCCAACAAGGTAATATGAGTGATTATGCTGTAAAAAAGTACCTTGGAGATGGTACTTTTGCTTTTGTTTAAAGTGCAATCAGATTGAGTGATGGATTGCCTGTTGTATTGAAGCAAATTAAAAAAGAATATACATGGTGGGCAAAGATGGAAGCTAAAGTATTAAACACACTAAATGAGGAAAGCAATCCAAATATTGTTAGATTGGTCGATGCATTTTTCAATGATTCCAGTCCAGTTCTTGTCTTTTAAGAACTTCAAAATTGCACTACTTTTGATTACAGAATCTATAATTATTATCATGACTTAACCTCTGAAGATATCAAAGATCTATACTTTAAGTTATTTTAAGCTTTAGCAACTAGTCATGCTAAAGGAATCATGCACTTAGACATTAAACCTGCAAATATTATAGTAAATAATGATCAAATTTAATTGATTGACTGGGGAGTTAGTGATTTCTATTTTCCAATGAAAGAATATAGAACAAGAGTTGGCACTCGCCATTATCGAGCTCCAGAATAATTGATTCATTATAAATATTATGATTACGCAGTTGATGTTTGGGCATTAGGGTCTATTTTTGCAACAGCTGTTTTCAAGAAATATCCATTCTTTAATGGAAGGAACAACGATGATTAACTCTTAAAGGTGGTTAAAGTATTAGGATCTTAAGATTTCTTTAAGTTTTGTGATAAGTACAGTATCTCAATACCAGATGATCTCCATAAAAAGTTATAAGGTCATGAGAAGATACCATTAGAAACATTTATAAATGATGAAAATAGAGAACTAGCAACACCAAAAGCAGTTGATTTACTTAATAAAATATTTGTTTATGATCATGCATTTAGAATAACTGCCGAGGATATTTTGCAACATGAGTATTTTACAGATTTATGATTTATATTGATAATCTTAATTTAATCTATACTTATAAACATTCATTATGTTTAACTCTTTTAATAAAATTAATATTAAAACTAATATTTTTAGTTTTAAAGGATTACAATTATTGGATTAAAAAATGCATCAATTATACGTTTTAGTTATTAATAATATTTATAAAATAGTATTTGTATATGAGTTAAAAGAAATAAGAAATCTCAACTTGGATATTGGCTCATACTTAATTGGCATAAGCTTTGGAAGAAGCTTGGTAGGAGTTTTGCAAATAAAAAAGCCAAGAAGATGATTGTAATGATGAGCAAGAAATCAAGAGATAATAATATGAGAAAGAGAAAAATATTGCATAAATTGTATAGGAGGTTTGGGAAGCCACTTTAGAAAGGTTAAAGCAAAATCAAAATTAACATAAAAATTCCAGGTCCAATCTTTTTGATGCTGAATGTACGAGCTATAACATTCATTAAGAGAAGAATTTTGGACTCAAAGATATCACAAGATGGAGATTATCATTAAGAGATTGTAAATTAGAATAAAGTAAAATTGGCAATGGAATCGTTGAAATTCAAGCATTAGAATTCAATGAAGATCCAAAAAAAAAGAAAAAATAAAAATGAATTATTAAACCTTATATCTTGCTTTTATATATAAATTACTTATATGCGTGATTTAGGAATATAAATAGTATTATATATTATTGAAAGATTGAATAAATTATTAACAATTCTTTAATAATTTATCAGAATTGAATTAAGCTTTTATAAAGTTCTGATTACGACTGAAAATTCAATATTTCCTAATTAAAATCTTAAACAAACAAGACAATACTATAGAATTAAATAGAATTTTTTTTATTGAAATTACAATTACACTTAAAACTAAAGGAAATATTATTCCTGTCTAAAATATCAAAACCAAAGAATTGTAAAATTTCATTATTAAATTTAAAAAAAATATACTCCAATTCATATTATGTACATCCATAAACGTTTCAAGAAGTGTAGAGTCTATGAATATTTTAAATATAATCAAATTGAACTATAATATTTTATTTAGATTAAATATTATCTATCAATTTATTCATCTCAACATCTAAACGTTTTAGCCTACTTATTTTATGATTATTTCAAAAATGTGATACAAAAAAGATCCCATAAGCAATAAAATTTTTAATTTTTCATTCTGGAATAAAAATAAAATCAAAATATATCCTCACAAGTTAATAGCGCATTAGTTTTAAAGATTATGTTAGAAAAGTAGAAATATTCATAACAAAATGATATGTAAATATAATTTTCAATCAATAAATGATATGTGTAATTTAACTTAAAGAACTTCTTTAAATTGTCTTGAAGTTACACTTTGAAAATATAACTATAAATAGATTCAGATATATGATAAAGATTCTAATTTATTATGATTTATATTTATCATAAGAAAGATAAATAAAAAACTTCATAATTATCATAAATATCAGTCTTATCTGATTTTATTTCTCCAATAATATCAAATAATCATTGATATCTAGACCTCTCCTGAATACTAGAAGAATTAAATAGATTAAATTATATTAAGTTCTTAATAACTTACAACTTTGGTCAGAGTATCTTCCTCCAATTGCCCTTGAATTTTGTTTTGTCCAATAACGATTAAATAATAGGAATGCAATATATTGAATCCCTATAGAACCACCTTATCTAATTTCTTCTTAAGTTCTATGAATTTGTAGAAATATAAGAATGGCTGAAATTCTATGATGTGTTCTTCAATATTTAGAATGAGAATTCATTTATTAATAAATCAAATGAATGAATTTAACGATTTCAAATAATTGCGTTAAAATTACTCAAATGCTTTGGAGAAAAATATTCAAAAACTTCAAGGCAGACTAAAGGCTCTGAATAATAATATCATAAACTCTACATCAGCTTAAAAAATAACAATGACGAAGAATCCAACAGAAGTGAAATCATTAAGATCATCTTGCTTATTTACGGACAATAATTTGGCATCACCAACCGACAGATTTGAGAATAGTCAAGTTTTTGCTAATTTTAATCGATACAATAGTCTGGATGTCCCTTAAGCGAGTCAAGGGGTTTAGTAAGGCAAGCAATCACCAGATGTTTTTGAAAATATTTTTTTGAAATAATCGTATATCCCTTACGAATAGAAATAAATAAAATAGGCAAATAAAACAAAGCAAAAAAACACACAGAGTAATACTTTGAAGATAACAAAAAAAGCAGAAAAAAATCATTATCTGAGCAATTAGATGAATAGTTAATCATTGTAGAATATTAAGAAAAAAGATGATATTTCGTAAGATAAAACCCTCAAAAAGAATCCAGAGAAAAAGAAAGCACTAATTGTCCCTGCTGCTTAACAAAAGACAAAAAATACATCGCGTTCCCCATAGAAACAAAGAGTAAAACAGAATAAGCAACAAACTCCATAATAAAATCTACAGAAACCATTGCTTAATGAAATTTTGAAAAAGTTTGTTTCGTCTAAAACTAGTTTAAGCAGAACAGTATCTAAATCCAAGTCTAAATCTAAGTCAAAATCGAAATCTCCTGAAAAAGAATCTACTTCTTTTAAAAAGAAACACAAATCTAGATCCAGAGAGCAAGCCATTCATCATTATAATGAACAAATCACATCTTAATTTAGTCCAACACAAGAGAAATTTTAGATGAGAAACATCGAGTACTCTCCCAGTCTTCTTCGGTAGGTGAGAACATTGAGTAAAAAGAAGGGAAGGAGCAAGCAGAAACAATAGTAATAACAATAGCAATAACAATAATAATAAATAACTAATCCTAGTCCTAATAAGGTGTCAGAGATACACACTCTAAGGTTGAAGCATTTATTGAGAGACAAATCAAACAAGCAGGACAAAAAGATAAGAGCTTAAATACGGACTACAGAATCACCTATTCAAATTAAGAATTACAAATTAGATGTATTAAAATAGTGTTTATGTTAAGGTTCCTTAAATTAAAAGTCTTGAAGATCAGCCAAAGGATGACTCGAAGCCAAGTTCTGTAAGACTCAATACTTTGTCAATTTAAAGATCTGACGAGAAGGATAACAGTGTGTTGATGAATATCTTTCAGGAATTGAAGAATTTATCCGAGGATCAGATTCAATAATTTTAACAAATATTAAAGCAGATTAGAGTTGAAAGAAAGGATGAGGAATTGTAAACTTCAATTTCTGATTTGAATTAAGCTGTGGACAATTAAAAAGCAAACAATTAATCAAATTAAAAGAATAATATTATAGAAACTCATTTGAAGATGGCATTTGAGGAGTTCCCTAAGAAATCACATGCATCATCTCCAATGTCGAATAGCAGTTTCATTTTTAAGAAGGAGTTCTTGACTAATTCTTAAATAGAGGAGATATGTCAACAAAGGGAGAAGGTATTTAATAATCATATCAACTAGAGCATAAAATTAAGAGTCAATAGTTAGATGTAGGCATTTTAGACGTTGTTGCAGTAATAGAAAATATCTCCCAGATCGTTTCATCACAATAAACAATTGGTGTAATCTTGGTTCTCAAAGTAAGCCGATTAATTGTAGAAATTCAAATCGGAATTGCAGAAGGTGTAAAAGTAATCAAATACTTTGTTGAAGAAGACTGAACAGGATGTGATTATTGTGAAGGACTTGAAAAAAGACTAGATGCTTGTGTTGTCTTAGTTATGTATGTATTGGCACTTTAATAGTTAGAATAAATTTCATTTGATTAATCTGAAATTAAGGACGAGAGTTTCTTGGATCAATCGGATCTTTAATTCAGTATTCCGAATTCCCCCAAAATAGTAACTCCAAATACTAAATTTTTGAATTAAATTTAAGATAAAAATGAAATGAAATTAGCTTAATAATAACCACTATTATAATAGAAGTAGAATTAATTTTCAAAACCATTTTAGTAAGAAACAAAAAAAAAGGATTTTGAAATTTCAACATTCAATGAAGAACTCTTTTTTGGAAATTAAATTGCAAGACCTTTGTAGGTATCACCCAATAATGAATCCAAATAAGTAATAACAGATTATCGAGAACCGTAGGTGCAAATCTATGGTTTGAATTAAGCTTTGAGAGTGGAGGAGGAGACAGAAAAGATCCTAGAGCAATTAGTAGATGAAGCATCGAACAGTTTGAATAAAATAGAATTGATTCAATAATATGCTTATCAAACCAATGCAGGAATCCTTACAAACTTGGGAGTCATAAACAACTTCATAAATTTGATGTGCTTTGCTATATTAGGTACTCAATTGAAATCTAATGATTTAGAAAACAATCAGGAGGAATTTCTGAAGAGAATGAACACTCCCTATGGCAGAAAACCCATAAGTAGATTGAGATAATTACATGGTTAGGACGATTTCGAAGATCATCATGAAGTTTAACCACTTTACTAAATAAGTTATAAAAGAAATCTATCATAGAACAAGTTATGGAAACTCAAAATTAGTATGAAAAAATTCACAACTAGGCCATATTTGATGCTTTCAATGAAGCCTTGAATACTCTGAGACCCTTCTACCAAGACGAAGGAATTCCCTACCCTTGGTGCATCGAAACCAATATTTCTCAAAGAATCTGTTATGGAATTGAGGACATAACGATTATTTTAGAGAGAGCTAGATAGAAGGTGTTTGACTGGTCAAAGACTTTGTGTGGTATTGAATGAGCATTTAAGAATGATTAGGATTGTTATCTGACGAGATTCCTGTGATATCGGTTAGACAATTGAATTATGAGTAACTCATAATTATGTAGGAATGCCAAGGTAATGATTCATTGGCTTACATCAATGAGGAGAGGATACAGAGTTGTCTCTAGATAGAAGTATGATGTATTAAGAGATGTGATTAGTTGTAAGAGGGTGAAAGAAAGTGGTCACAGATTACATAGGAGTACTCTGAAGTTTTGATGGAGATAGCAGATTACCTATTTGAAGAGTTGACTGAAGAAATGGTCGTTGAGGTTTTTATGAAATGAAATTTAATTACTTTTTTGTATTCTAGTTAAAGAAATCAATTTTATAATTAAATTTAAAAATTAAAAGCAATATATATAACACAAAATCATTTAGCAATTCCTTATTCAAGTCTATAGAATGCACCTTTAAGACCAACCAATTTTTAGTAATTACCTTCTTCAACGATTTTACCGTCTTCGAAGACATAGATGACATCAGAGTCCTAATGGATATTATTAATGAAATACCTTGATTGTTGAGATTCTATGAGCAATGGCAACAGTGGTCTTTCCTTCCATCAGTTTATTTAAACTGTCTTGCACTAATTATTCGCTTGCAGCATCTAGAGCACTTGTGGCTTCATCAAGTAGTAAGAGATTTGAATCTCTGAGGATGGCTCTGGCAATGGCAATTCTTTGTTTTTGACCACCTGAAATTTGGGCTCCTTTTGGTCCTACTTATCTGTCGAATCCTGTTCCTCTCTGTAATTCATTTCCTTTTTGTTCCACTTAGGTTTCTTCAAATTAGTTTTTAGTAATGAAATCATAAGCATTGGCTTTCTTGGATGCATTTTCTATTTACTCCATAGTAATTGCTTGTAGATTATATTGGATGTTTTCTTTTATGGTACCATTGAATAACACTGGTTCTTGTGAAACAATTCCAAATTGTCTCCTAATATATCTGATATCATAATCTGTTATGTCGATGCCGTTGATGGTGATAACACCTTGATCAGGTTCATAAAATCTCATCAACATTTACATCAAAGTGGACTTGCCACAACCAGAAGGACCAACAAATGCTACTTTCTACCCTTGTTTAACAGTCAGACTCAAATTCTCGAAAACATTCTTTTCTCTTCCAAAATATTTGAATGTGAGATTGTTAAAATGAATGTCTCCTTAAACTGGTGTAGTGAGTCTCTACTTTTTTAATCTTTCTTCTCTCTAGAATTCATCTTCACTATCAAGAATTTCAAAAATATTCTTGCTTGCATTCTTTGCTGCTCCGATATCTCCTGCAAAGGCAGCATTATTTCCTGCACTCATGGTAGCGAAAGTGATGGCAAGAATGGATTTGAACATATCTTCAATTGTGAGGACTCCATCTCTGCAAAGTATGGCTCCAACATAAAACACAATTGCATTTATGATGAACATTTGCATTTAGGAAAATCCAAAAGCCAAACCAGCATAAACTCCTCTTTGTTTTGCCTTCATTAATGGAAGTTAGACCTTTTTTGAATAAATTCCAAGAATAATTTGTTCATTTCCAAAAGATACAACAGTTCTGACATTGGTGACAGCCTCCATAATCAAATTACCAGAATCTTTATATGCTTCATCAGTGAGATCTGAGAACCCTTACAAAAATTGAGTTTGCAATATCCCTCCAATATATGACATTGGAGCCAATCCAAGCATAATCAATGTCATTTACCAACTGGCAATAAAAGAGATAACGATTCCACAAATCAAGGCACCAACATTAGCTATATTGATACCTAAAATCGATGAAGTGAGTCCATTAATCAATTTACAATCGACTGACAATCTGCTTGTCAAAGTACCTGCATTATTTTTTGGGATATCAAAATAAGCGATGGGCATTCTTAATAATTTTCTGTAAGTATCTAATCTTAATTTGCAGGTGAGTTTCTCTCCCACATAGGCCAAGAAGTACATTTGGAATGTCCACAATATTTAAGCAGCAACTCCAATTAAGAAGAACCAAAGGGCAAGTCTATCAGCTTTGGTTCTTACTTCATCCTTTAAGTCATCTTTAAAGAGTTAGCACATTTCTGGTGTTGGATCATCGTAAGTCATTGAGCATTTTTAATCAGCAAATGATGGATTAGATTCTACTAAAACAGTGATCATTTCAGCTAAGAATAAAGAGAAAACTGGGAATGTGCAACCATTTGCTAAGGCTGCAATGATACCAATAAAGAATTGTGCCTTTTCTTCAGAATTGTAAGTGAACAATCTACCCATTTGTGCATCTACTTCTTTCTTTTTATTTACTTCTTCAGTCTTAGGCAATGGTTAGGCTTCTATGTCAGTATCAATTTTCTTATGATTATGATGGTGGTGATGATGATGATGATGACCTTGTCCAGATACCTTCTTTACTAATTCAGGCACTCCCAAATCCTAAAATCTACCTATCTCCTATTAAACTGCGATAACTATATTTTGTTGATCAATCATATTCATCTTTAATTGGACTGATCTTTAAGAACTAACTCTTTAATCTTAAATATTCTTTTCTGAAGGACTAGAAATTGAAGAACTGGATTCATCTTCTTGTTTCTGAGCCTGGATTTAATTCTTAGCCAAAATCTCGTATTTTCCATGTAAATTCATTAACTCTTAATGAGATCCCATCTCAACCACCACACCTTTATCCACCACATAGATTAAGTCAGCATTTTAGATTGTGCTTAATCTGTGAGCAATGACGATGGTAGTAATCCCCTTCGACACTTCATCCAAAGTTTCTTAGATCAATCTTTCATTGGTTCTGTCCAAAGCACTCGTAGCTTCATCAAGTAACAATATCTATGGTTTCTTCAAGATGGCTCTGGCAATAGCAATTCTCTACTTCTATCCACCACTCAATTGACCTCCTCCAATTCCGACATACGTCTCCAATCCCTTATCCATTTTTGATACAAAGTCCCAAGCATTAGCTTTCTTTAATGCATCAATCATCTCAGATTCAGTTGCATCAGTTTTACCATACAACAAATTCTCTTTGATACTAGTGGCAAATAACACTGGTTCCTATCCGACAAGACCAATTCTACTCCTCAAATCAACCAGATCCAAGTCCTTCACATTGATTCCATCAGCTCCACCAAATAATACCTCTCCTTCTTCACAATCATAGAATCTTTCAATCAATTACATCACAGTGGATTTACCACAACCACTCTCTCCTACCAAGGCTACTTTCTTCCCGGCTGGGATATTTAAGTTCAATCCTTTCAATATTTTTTAGTCTGGCCTATTTGGATAACAAAATTAAATATTTTTCAATAAAATTGTTCCATTGAAAGATGTTAACTTTTTTGGATTAATAGGGTTGACAATCCTTGGATTTCTATCTAAGACAGCGAACATTTTGACTGCTGCCTATCTTCCCTTAGCAAAATTCTATACACAAGGTCCTGCCTATCCTAATGAGAATCCACCAGTCAAAATGGCAAAAAAGATAATCATCACATCTCCTACTGTATACACTTCTCCCATATTGTGATTAAGAGTCTATTGATATTATTATTTTAGAATACTTAGTCAGATATTAATTTAGCTCCGTACCAGAAACCAAGTGCATAGGCCCAAAGCATGGCTGCCCATAAAAATCCAAAAGCTAAGCCTACACCAAATTGATAGCTAATTGTGGTTGAAGTAGCTTTAAGTAGATGCTTTTTGTATTTCTCAACTTCGAAGTCCTCACCATCCAACATCTTCACTGTCTTAATTGCATTGATTGCTTATTCTGCCAATGCTCCAGCATCTGAATAAGACTTTTGGGTTGCATTCTCTGATGTTTAGATAATTATTGCAAATATGGCTGTGGCTATCGAAATTGCTGGTAGAGTGGCTGTTACAACTAAGGCTAATTACCAACCACTAAAAATATTATTATATAATTTTACTAAATGTAACCAATTAAAAAGCCAAAGAATGACATAGAAAACGTCATAATAAATGTGGGAACTTTCTCTCCGATGGCTCCCTATACTGCAAAGGTCTCATTTGCCACTTTGCTATTCAATTCATTTGGATTAATGGTATCAAACCAGCCAATCTCTTATTTTAAAATTGCAGCAAAATATCTTTTTCTAAATTCTATACTTTGATTTTCACCAGTTATCATCCATGTTGCAAACATTATGAATGACATGAGCATTGTCCCAGCAGCAACAATAATGAAATAACTATACTTATTTTTATAATAATTACATTGCATTTCTTCCTGCTTATCGAACCATTTCGTCGTCCGTTTACGAAAAAGAATCCGTCATGTCTCCAAAAATGATGGAAAAACTTGGAAATGAAGCTCCATTGAGAAAAGCTGCAATCCCACCGATGATCATTAATAGTTTGTCCTTTGGACTCGCATACCTGAGTAGCTCAAAATATGGAACCATTGGTTCTTCCTTAGGCTGTGTATTGGATCCATTTCCATTTGTCAAGACCTAATTTTCTGATTAGTTTTCTGTTTTCATTATTTATATTTTTTATGAAGAAATGAAATTCCTAAAAGGCTTTATACTATAAATAATGTAAATTCTGATAATTCATTTTAATCAAGTTAAATCGTACTATCTATAAATTATTCCACATAATTTATAAAGAATTTATTCCACTTCTACGCTCCTTATCACTTTATAATCACTAGTCTACCTTCCTAAACAACCTGTAATTCGCGAATTCGTGAAATCTTAGTAAAAATCCAAGCCTTAGAGACTTCATATCTATTAATAGACCAAATAAAATTATAACGTAAGCTATTATATTCATACATAAAAACCATCACTCATCAACAAACTTCAATCCCTAAGTACTCGTGTAGAAAGATGAAAATTTAATGAGTAAATGACCAGAAAAGAAATGTCCAATTTGATAAGAATAAATGCAGAATTAGAGTAGAAATGAGAGGAGTTTGAATTTAGAAAATTAGACGCTGAAAAATAAATAGATGCTATAACTTTTAACTAGTTTTTATGCCTTATTCTAAAATAATAATTCTAAATTCCTAAAATATAAAAATCTAAATTCTAATGATGTTGTGTTATTTTTTCGATTTAAGATGCATATGAATAATTTAGATGACAATTCATGCAATTTAATCACTGTCTAAGAGCCACATTTTACAAAAAACATTGAATACATACTTTATTTTTATTTTAAACAATGAATAAAAGTCAATCCATTGAAAGAAAGAACAAGAATAGAATTAAATATACTCTAATAAGGTCTGAAACACATTCTATGAATAAAAGAACAAAGCAGAAGTTGTTTTGTATTTTATGAAAAATAACAGTGCACTTAGACATCTTATTAATTTGATATCAGAATTAGTCTTTTTTAACTGTTTCTTGTTCAATCGGTTGAAATAAAACTTATTTTAAAAATTTATTCTTTCTATTTTTGCAATTTAGATTTTAATGTTTATTTATATTTTTGAAAGACCTGTTAATATTCTGGTAATTTTTTTTGTAAATTTTCTTTTATAGCTTAAATATTTGTGATCAGGTAATGAATAATTAGTTTAATCAATTATAGATAATAATTTTAATGCATCTGTTACATCTGATTTCATAAAATAATTTGATAAAAATAATAGCATAATGTTACTTAATGTAATGACTAGGAATAGACAAAAAGAAAAAAAATATATCTTACCTCTACTATGATCTTACACTATTACTATTAAGTTTAAATTTTAATATTATGGCACTCACAAATAATATTATTCATAAAAAATACTATAATTCTTAATTAAAATTATTTATTTATAATACTATAATTTTTTCTACCCAGAGATATCATAAATCATTAATGTATAATTTTTACTATATTAATCATTTTTTTCTTGCAAATATGGTTGCACTTAAAATTTTGGTTCCACTATTTTAGAATTCGTTTAACTCTTCCTAAGAAACATACTTTAACATCAGTTCATCAGGGAAATCAATTACTTTTTCTTTTTTAATTTAGATATCAATAAATCCTAAGTCTTCGAGTGTTTTTAAATAAATGTCTTTTCTAAGGGCTCCTGAAACTCCACCTATATGCAATTCCTAAGCTTTTCTAATCGCTAAAGGCAAATCGCCAGTAGAAAGAACATCACTAATAGAGAAGTGACCATTCTATTTCAAGACTCTATGGATTTCTGAAAATACTTTTCTTTTATCAGGCACCAAATTGATTACACAATTACTAATGACAACATCAACATAATTATCCAAAACAGGTATATCTGTAATATCACCCTATCTAAATTCAACATTTCTAATATTGTATTTATCTGAATTCAATTAAGCTTTTCGTATCATACTAGGTGTCATATCAACACCAATGACTCTTCCACCTTCCCCAACCTATGCTTTTGCTATGAAACAATCATTTCCAGCTCCTGAACCTAAATCAAGGACCACATCTCCTTTTTTAAGCTCTGCGAATTCAGTTGGAATCCCACATCCTAATCCTAAATCAGCTTCTGGAATGTATCCTTAAAGGTTTTAATATTTTTCAGCGAATAAAGCATAATCTATAGTTCCACAGCCTGAAGTACTGCAGCACCCTAAATTTACTTGTTGCTTTTGCTCGCAAATTTCTCCATATCTTAGTTTGACATTATTTATGATTTATTCTTCAGCTAGTTCATTTTCTGACTCTATTGTTATTTAACATTTTACTTTTTAATTAACTATTCTATTAATCACAAAATTGATTTTCTTTAGGATTTTATTTAACACAACAATCCATTTAATTCAATTTAATATTAATAATTTGATTTTTTAAATTTAATTTTTAAATATGCAATTCAAATTCAATTAATTATATTCATGAATCACCATATTTAATTAATGAATCACTAAAATGGTAATTTAATATTGATGCTCTATTTATTCTAGTATAATCCTACTCTCTATTTTTACCAACTACTAAATCATTGTTACTAATGTAAATGAGACAATGTATATTAAAGTTCAATCTGATGGCTGATTATGATATAAAGTTTTGTAACTCGCATTCTTTTTATTAAATTTTTAACAGAAACCCTTTTTTAATTAGGGTAGTATGAATATAATTGATATTCATAACCTCGTAAAAATTTGATTGTCAATTTATATCAAAATTTCTATTTGCTTGAATTTTCAAAATATCTTATAAATTCCAATTTCTTTAGAAGAATTTCAATAATTGGATGTAGATGAAAACTGAAAGTTCAAGTAGAATTATTACAATAATACTGATTTTATATAATCACTAAATGATAAAAATAACATCTGACAAATAAGATTAATCAAAATTAGTTTTTCAATAATGTTAAGTAATTCAAGTATCTTCTGGTTTTCTACAAAATTTATTGATCAATTAGTAAACTAAACTAGGGAAATATAATTTAAAAGGTATACTTTCAAATAGAAGTGTAAATCAATCAAAAGAATCCTCTCTCAAATTAAAATCCATGTTTTGATCCCAGTGGCGAAAACAGACTTAAGTTGGCTTTATTTCGGAATTTCAATAGCAAAAAGATATCATGAAAGGTATCCAACTTATAATTTGTATTTATTAAATGCTATTCCTGACAAATAACATGAACCAATTTAGGTCAATTATATTTTTGTTTAATATATTCTAAATTGATTTTGTAACATTTTATCATTGTATTAAGAACATTTAAGAACTAAAAGTGCAATCTTATAATTTATATGCAGAGAAAAAGTCCAAAACATAATTACTATTGGATTCCTGTTTATTTATTTTTCCATATTTAAGAGGAGAGATTATTTAAATGAAAAGGTTAAAGGAGAAGAGATAATTTATGTTGGGATAATTTAATAAGAAAATTAAATTAATAATACTATTTGAAAATATAATATTTATTATATATTTGGATCATTTCAATTGAACTTTTTAAGGGCTTTTTTCCAATCGTCAACTGTTGCATATTGAATTTCCTCATAAAACTTACTAAAATCATAATTGTAATCTGTAAAAATCATTTTTGGATTCAAACAAATGTGTAAATAGAACTTTAATTTCATTAATTCTACTGTTTCAGAAGTCAACTTTTCCAAGACCAATTTAACTGTGCCATAATACACTTATTAAAATAGATCAGTCAAGGTCAAATTGTTATCTAAGATGCTTAAATATTATTAATAGAATTCTTTAGTTTGTTCGTTGAGGACTATTTGTTTGGCTTAATTTTGTAGACTCAAACATTTCCTTAAAATTTCAACAAAAAATTTCATGGCTTGATCAATATCCATAGAGAGATGTTTGCACATCTATTTAAATTCTTAAGATCTCATGTAGATTTCATACTCGGGATTTCGAGACTTGCTTATTTCTCGATAGAGTTCCTCCATTTTGATAAGTTGATTTTTGGAGATACAAAAAATAAGCTAGAAACATAACTCTATGGATATGGGCATAACCTTTTGTTACAACATAGAAAACAAGCCTTGGATAAGGAAACTGTAAAAGAATGCCAAGTTTCTTTCATATTTGCAAATGGTGTTTAATTTTTAGATGGTTTTAGCTTCTTCAGACTCGGCATTATATTGCTAAAAGATGTCGGTGTAGGTTGCTTATTGAATGGCTTACTTGGCATCAAATTGCTCTTCTTCAATTTTGTTTACATCCTTCATATATCCAAGAATCAGGTTTTGATTAATATAAATTTTATTAAGACTTATTGATCTCATTAGACGATCCTTTTCTTTCTCCATCTATTGCATATTGTAATGTATTTGATTTTCATCAATGACAATGATTTCGTTTGTAAATAGGTCTTCCCAATTGATGCGATCAGCCTCACTTACAGTCAACATACGTTTTAATAAATTCTTGACTTTTTAACTTCTAACAGGAATCTCTGGAAATTAAAGAGGTTAGGTTGTAATTTTTTCTAATAATTCACATTGTCCATTGGCGATCCAAGGAGTCACTCCATAAAGCAATTCATAAAACATAACTCCTATAGACCATATGTCACATTTAGAAGTGAAATAGGTTCCTTCCAGGATTTAAGGAGCCATGTAGATGGGAGAGCCAACTCGACTGAGGTTCATTTTATCAATTTCTGATTCAATAATTCGTGCGAATCCAAAATCTGCAATCTTGGCTACCCCATCATTCAAAAGGATGTTTGAAGGTTTGATGTCTCTATGGATTACTTTTTCTTGGTGCAGGATTTAGAATCCTTTTATCACATGTTTAAAGAAGATGACAGCCTCCAATTCGGACAATCGCTTGTCTTGTTTCTTGTTTAGGTATTCGGCCAAGTCTCCATCCTTGCAGAATTCTAAAATCATATACAAATTGGAGGATGTCTTTGTAACATGAATCAATTTCACAATATTGGGATGATCTATTTTTGTAAGAATAGCAATCTCTCGTTTAATATGCTACTACAATTATTCGCTATTCTGCACAACCTAGATGATATAGTGAATAGAGGATTACATGCATGGGGATAGTCTTGATTGCTACTTGCTTAGTTTAATCATCCTTATAATGACCACGATAGACTGTTCCGAATTGTCCCTTCCCCAATTTCATATTCACAACTACAAAACTATCTACTTTTTTTGTCTTCCAATCTTACGAACTTTGTCCCTACATTATTTAATCAAATAATAATAAATTTTCTATAAGCTAAAATAAATAAAATAAATTCAATAATCCAGACATTCTATTCAACTTGAAGAATTCTTCTTGCTTTTTCTTAACTAATCGATCCTCTCCTTTTTTAATTGATATCTTCGGAAAACGAAGAATATAGCCAAGAAAAGTCCCACAATTATTGAAAAGGCAAGAATACATAAGTAGAAGTAAAGATCTTCCTCCTATTGAGACATCAAGACCTTATGAACATCAAATATATAATCCAGTCTGCTTTGGCAATAATTAAATGCATCAGATTAATTTTTATTGAGACAATTTGTACTATTCAAATGAATCTGACAATGATTTTAAATAAAAAAATACTGTGACTCTATTTTGTTAACTCAATCTAGCCTAGCATGAAATTTTGGCTGTTCTCTCTTATGCATAATAAATTGCTGCACCGTATCTGTAGATTCCAACTACATACTCTTCATCCAATTTATCCATTCCCAAAAACTCCATCTAATACAAATTAGAACTACATAAATTCAATTGCAATAATTACCCTTTAGAAAGATAGGGATCACTAAAATTGTCTAGTAGATTTTTTTAATAAATGTTGTTGGATTACTAATGAGCAAAGCAAAATTATTGAATTATTGGATATTTCTTATAATTTACTTAGCTACATTCTTCATTCTGGTCATCACCCATCCCTTCTCCACAATTCTGCCTTCATATACCTCTGAATGCAATTATTATTATTGGATTAACATCATTTGATTGTGCTTCACAGAAATTATACTGCATCCCTTTTGGGCAATAAAGAATTTCTTATCCAATTGCAATGATATGAGGTTAAAGCGATAGACTCCGTTTTCAAAATCTAGCAAATACAACCAATCTCCCTCAATGGCATAATCTACTAAATTCAAATCTTAGTGAAAGTCCTAATTTAAAATTTTAATATACTTCAATCACAAATTTATTAACTTATATTATGAAATTATTTTACAATTCTAAAATACGCATTCCGTTACTTCCATTTATCAAATAGACAAAACCTCTATTGATAAACATTTTGAAATGTCCATTCACCTTCTTCCAATTCTGGATTTTGGACTATTCCAAAACTTTGTCTTTGATTGTGAATCTTATCAATTGTTGATGATCAACATAATAATAACACTCAGTATCGGTAAAAATCTATTAATGTTCATTTCCATTTTAGAGAATTAATAATTAATGGGTTGAATAATTTGTAAACTTTGTGCCAATATTATAATACAAATGATGAATTGTTCCATTTTTTTCCAGTAAGATCAAATTCCTATTAGAAATTGCGTATGACACCAATTCATGTGAAAATCCTTACTGGATTTCTTCTGTATTCAATGCATCAATGTCAATCTGCTGCATGTCACTTACCAAAGCAATCAGACTTTCAGGCTGTCTGTCCAAAGTTATAGATTAATAGTCGAATTTACAGATGGATTCCTCCATGTCTCCATCATATTCTATAGACATGTTTCTACAAAAGTTAAAATATAGTGATTACAATATCTAACCAAAATCCTCCAACGATCTCGAGAAAACTGTCTTTTCAGCCACCAATGGAACAAATTATGGGAAGCTAAAGGAATAATTAGTCCAGGTAATTTCGTTAGAAAGAACAAATAGAAATTAAGTAATTATAAACATAATTAATGGTTTATGTAAAATGAGATATTCTGCATTTTTGAAGATCAGCACTCAATCTATTACAATAAATTCATGATTTCTTCGATTGGTTTTTCGTTCAAAATCAAGTTCAAGGCTATTGAAGAGAAAGGATCCTCGGTTTACGTTTATAACCATTCTACTTAATTAATTACTTGTGGCTGCGTCCTAGAATTGGAGGAATTGGCTTTGAATTATAAGATTTAGGCCAGACAAAATCCTAAGTCTTTAAAATTCAATCTATTATTTCCAATTGTAGCATCAGTGTAATCATTCAGTTTAAATGATTTGGACTCTTCAATGTATAAAATAGACTCCAAGGTGATCTATTTCAGGACTAATTAGTGTTCTTGGGCAGAAATCAACCCCTAAATCAGATCTAAGAATATTGTTTTAATTTGCTTATTTGTCAATTCATCTAGGAAATTGAGAATTGTTTTTCGACAATATTAATACAAAATTAACTGGAAGGAAATGTGGACAATTTCTCTATTGAATTAGATACAAATACTTATTTCTTTAGCCAAATCATCAATCTTTTGAGTCTGTGCTGAATAGCTGTAAACCTTTTCAGGTGTCAGTATAAATTTGTTGTTTAAAGAATATAATTTCTAAATAGTCCAAATAAATACTTCTATTAAGTCAGATTTAATTGAAATTGGTTTAATTTGATATTTTATTTTTGACTTTATATCTTCGATCTACACATCCATAGATATATTTACAATGATGGGACATTTTTTGGATAGCAAATCTTAATCTAATTTTAGATAATCGAATTCGTAGATAGTCTAATCTCTCAGATTGATTTCGTTCTTCTCCGAAATATCTAGCTTGCAACTCGATATCTTCTAAATCGAAAACCATTTCTACTAAACATCCTGAGGTTGTCTTTTGTGTATTCTTTTTGATCTTTTCATGCCATATTAAAAATTGATATACCTTTCCAAAATCTATTCACTGCTCTAATGGACCTTACTCCAACTGATTTAACTCAAGTTGTCTGGGGATGGAATTTAATCCTATTGGCTGGAAGAATATATATTCATTTCAATTATTTATTATTAAATAATTGCCGATTTACATTAGGCTGAATAGGCTTTACAAATTATTTGTCACTTTGGATTCTTAAACAAAATTACAAATGCTTATTCAACCAAAATAATAAACAAACAACTTCTTTTTATTTTAATATTTAAATTATCGATTCAAAATTGGATCCCTTTTAATTTCTTAATACTCCTTGATTTAATAAAGGAGTATCTAAAATATTCGTAGTTGATTTAATAACAGAGTGTTTCATTTTATATTAAATATTTCTCTTTATTGCATAGATTAGAATTAATGATTCCAAATTCACCTGAAGCTGAAAAACTTAAAGAACTAGGAAATGAACAATTTAAATTGAGTAACTTCCAAAGAGCAATCGAATTCTACACTGCTGCTGCTGAGAAAGCCAATGGTAATCATCAATTGTAATTCATCTCTAGGCAATCAAAGACTTGTTTGTCTCTCAAATAGAGCATTTGCACACATCAAAATGGAAAACTACGGACTCGCCATTATAGATGCCGACGAGATTTTAAAAGAGGATTCTGGATTCATTAAGGCTTATTACAGAAAAGGTTCTGCTTATTTGCTATTGGGGAAGTTCGACGATGCTCGAAAAGAGTTCAAAAGGGTAAACAATTCATAATAATTTTGCTTAGGCTGACACTCTCACCCAAGGAAAAGATGCTGACATTTAGGCAAAACTGAAATAAATCAAGTAGGCAATCTACGAACGAGAATTTGCAAAATCCATCGAAAGACCAGATGAAGCGAGTGAGCCAATTGATATTAAGGACATCTTTGTTGAACAAGGGTACGATGGACCCAGAATCGACAATGATATCAGTGAAGTTACACCGGAATGGTAAGACTTATTAGATTATGATAAGGTGTGAGAAATTGATGAATCATTATAAAGATCAAAAGAAATTGCACAAAAAATACGCAGTTATGTTATTGCAAAAGGTGGGAGAAATATTGAAATCCCAACAAAACGTTGTGGAATATGATGTTCCTAAGTAAATATTTATTCATATATTTTCCAGAGATCTTGAGTTTACTGTATGTGGAGACACACACGGACAATTCTTTGATCTCTTAAACATTTTTAAAATAAATGGCAACCCCTCAGTCAACAGACCTTACCTATTCAATGGGGACTTTGTGGACAGAGGATCTTGGAGTGTAGAAGTCATCATGACTCTGTTTGCATGGAAAGTATGCAATCCAGAGATCATGCATTTGACAAGAGGCAATCACGAAAGCAGAAACATGAACAAGCTCTATGGATTCGAAGGGGAAGTCAAACACAAGTATGATGACAAGGTTTACGAACTGTTCTAAACTGTTTTCAACTATTTACCATTAGCTTACACTCTATCCAAATAAGTGATGGTTGTTCATGGAGTAAGATGACCTCTTTACTATTCTCTAGGGATTGTTCTCCAATGATGGTGTTACTATCAGTGAATTACAGAAATTGAATCGTTTCAGAGAAATACCTGAAGGTGGTCCCATGGCTGATATGTTGTGGAGTGATCCCATCAAGTAGAATGGAAGACATCCTAGCAAAAGGGGCATTTCTATATCCTTTGGACCTGACGTTGCTCATAAATTCTTAAATGAAAATGGCTTATGTAGATTTAGTACTATTTTAAAAGCTCTGTTGGTGAGATCCCATGAGATGAAGGATTAAGGGTATGAAGTGGAGGCTGATGGCAGAGTCATCACCATTTTCTCAGCTCCTAATTATTGCGATCAAATGAAGAACAAGGGGGCATTTATTATTTTCAGGGGAGGGGAAATGAAGCCCAAGTTCATTCAATTCGATGCTGTGGTATTTGCTGTGGTCTATAAATCATTTAGGAACATCCGAAGTTACCACCCATGGCTTATGCTAGAAATTACGGAATGTTTATGTGAAAACACAATATTAAATTTATGTTTTTGTGCAAAGAATAATTTACAATATGTAAGTTTTAAATAAATTCTTCATTTCCTTTGATCTCGGGAAAACCAGAAATATGCACATTCCAAATTGCGCATATAAAGTAATAGTTTAGATTAAGATTATTCTTAGAAATTCTAACAATCACTTGATTTATCGAAATTTCTAAAAATCATATTTAATTATTTTTTATGGATAGAGCAAAAGAAGAACATAATATTAAATAAAAGGCTTCCACTCCTTCTTTTTTAATTAAAACCTATGACATTTTGGAAGTATACAAATTATGTCTACATATTTATTAGAATCCTGATTATAATGAAATCATATCTTGGAATGAGGAGGGCACAGCATTCGTTGTAAAAAATGTCAATGAATTAGCTGAGAAAGTACTATTGCATAAATAGTTTAGGTGTTGCCAAATCACTTTAAGCATAATAATTATGCGTCTTTTGTAAGATAATTGAATATGTATGATTTTCATAAAATGAAAAATGAAGGGGGAGATAACGAATTTAGACATAAATATTTTTAGAGAGGAAATAAGTAATCATTGATTCCTATGTCTAAAAGGCATTTACTGTGTGAGATCAAGAGAAAGCAAGGAGAGCAGGTCGAGTAGTTTGACGAAAGAAATTAAAATTCAAGTTAGAATTGTAACATTATATGTCATTTATAATAGCCAATAATTCCATGGAAGTAGATATGTCCAAACTAAAAAATGATTATTAATTTTTTCTTAACGAAATGCTCGGCATTAAGGGAAAGTAACACGAATTACAGAAGGCATTGATTTTAATCATGACCCAAAATGATCATCTGATCAATGAAAATAAATTATTATGGCAAGTAATCTATTCTGAATCCATAATTTTCTAAAGGAAATCAAAAGAATCAGAGAAACCGACGAAAGAAAAATAGATACCTTGTCATACCTTTTAGCCACCTTGATCACCAACATGAACCAATCCCAAAACCAATAAACAGTTCAATAACTAGTAGGAGTGTAGGTGCCGCCCTAGACTCAAATTCCCCCTCAAGAACCAAGTAATAATTTAAATTTGAAAAAAGATAATCACATTGATTAACAATTTAATAATCTCTTAAATCTTTAACAATTAAATCAAAACAGTATGATATTTTAATAACCAAATTTAGAACCTGGATAGCAGAAGGATCAAAAACAACTCCAAGAGCATAACTCATTTTTGGAAAAAATTATGAAAACTTAATAGCAACAAGAACAGCAATTGCAATCAAGTATGAGTCTAATACTTATGTGATTAGTCAAACAAGACATTTCTTAATATGATAATGGTTTTATGAAGAAACAATGCAACAATCAATTTTAGAGATAACCATAACATATGGATTCTAATTTCATGGTCCAACAGAATAGTTAGGCCTTGATTTAATGTAGGTTATTATCTATAAAGTAGAACTAATGAGTTTATCTTAATAATAATAATCACAGTAACAGTAGCAATCGGGACAACAATTCTAGAACAACTTTTAGAATTATTTTGGATAAAATAAGGGAAATGAAAATTTTAGAGGATTTCCATTTTTATGAACTTTATATTTGATTATTATATAAGTTATTATTTAAAGATAGCCAGATTAAATATAATATTAATTAGAAAGTAAAATAACAGAAATGTTTTCTATTACTATTTTCAAATAAGATTTGGTCATCTCTAAGATGTAGAACAAGGTATAACCGATCTTTTCTGACTCCAGAACCCACAAATGATCAATAATACGTATGACAGTACAGAGATTTATAAAACGGATAGCTAAATTAAGGTAGATAATGAACCAATTGTCGTTTCTAAGTTAATAATTTTTATATAAATATTTTATTAAATGACTCAGGTAGCTTCAATTTAGAACTTACTCATTGATGATGATAATTCGACTCTAAGACAATAATAAGGATTGGGCATTGCTAAAAAAATAAAAAAGAAGGAGAAACGATGCTTTTGTAGACAATAGAAACAGAAAAAAATATATAAATTTATTTCACCAGAGGAATCCTCTTATGAATGTGATGGATGGGAAGAGGAAGACTATTTTAATAGATAGTCCGAAAATCGTAGATAGAACAAGGAAATAACAGATCTTAAATGCGTTGCTTGGAACCTCGAACTCTTCATCAAAAATGCAAAAGAATAACTTGCATATTTGGAGGGAACTATGCAGTCAAATCTTGCAACAAATTGATTTTCACTTTTTTCTTTATTATAATTTTATCAACTATACCCTTACACACTTCTTGTAATGGCTTAAATTTAATCACCATGTCCTTTTTCATTCTCCCAAAATAATTCCATATTTCAACCAAAACCATAAAAATGCTGGTATCTCGTGATGAATTTATTGATCTCTCATTGAGTAACAATTGACCAGGAATATGAGAATTTTTAAATGACTTTATTTGCACGTGGATTTTTAAATTTCATTTTCCTTTATGAATTTTAGCAATTACTAAAATTCAGGAAATCCTTTAAGTAATTTCAACAAATAAATCTAGATAACCCACTTTGTAGACCAATTTATAACAATCTCTTCAATACAAAGGTTAATATTAAATTTTACTTTGTTGCGGATAAACGTAAATAGTATAAAACAGAATTTGTAAAATTTACCTTTTAAATGTTACACAAATGACTTTGTTATATATATATATATCATGTAATGTATCTTATAAAAAGTTGAATAGTTTATACGATCAACACACAAATTGTATGTTTAAAAATATACTTTTATATTCCAATATAAAATTTTGTATTTAATAAAAATTACTGAATAATGTTAATTAAGTAAATTCTGTTACTAAAAATAGATAAATGAAGATGATAAATTGCAGAACTATGTGAAATAGATAAGAAATGAAACAAAGATGTCAAATTAGTGAAAGATTGAATGAGATAAATAAGTAAAGATAAGAACAACATTGTGCAGGTTAGATTTTTTTAAATTATGAAACTTAGAAAAATCAGTATTTCTCAAATTAATTAAAATATGCAAATATCCATAAAAAGGTTTAGAGTGCAATTTTGATAATCCATCTTAATTGTAACAAATAAAAAAGTTTAAACCATAATTAATAAATATTATTTATTTCTAATTTAATTACTTATTTATGAATTATGCTGGCAATCAAATTCTTTAAACTTTCTAGGATTGGAGGAAATATGTATGAAAACCCAATGTTATAGAGGTTTGTTAGATTCTAATTTAATATAATAATCACACAATCAAATCATCCAATCGCATTCACTTAATCTTTACGAGGTTTTATTTTCTGATGGTCTATATTCTGCTATGAATTTATCTCTTTTATTTTGTAATTCTTAGATAATTTTGACTGCTGAATGAAAAAGTCCATCAGTAGATTTGCCACATTCAGGACACTTTTTTGCAGTAATGATGCATTTCTCACAAAAGAAATGATGGCATTTAGTTTGAACAGGCTTGTTTAATTATGACTAGCAAACGCTACATGTTTCAGGAACATAGAATTCTTCGAGTTTCTATTTAAATTCAAGATCTTCTTTTTCTTACTTACCCATTCTTCTTGTTTTTTATTGCTCTTGGTATTCCTTTTCTTGTTCCCATCCTGATTTATAGTCTCCTCTATCATGAATGTAAATGCAAGAGTCTCCAAAAGTGCAATATCCTGTGTCATGATAATCTTTACACAACATAGGATTGAAATCAAAAGTGCAAGAAAATTTAACATTTGATGGCATGGCAATGGGAGCATTCAAAGAAGTATTTTTCTTGGGAGGCAAGACTTGTCCTTTTTTGACATCATCAATTGAATGAATAGATTTTAATCTTTGAAGGGTTTCAGCAATTTCATTTTGATAGGGTTTTGCTTCAGGTGCAACTTTTTCAACAGCGAAGTTATTCTAGTGTTATAGTACGAAGCCAGCTTTAAATTTTGTTTCTTCTAGGACTGGCAATATAATTTATTTCTCGTTTTGTTCATTTTTGATTCTCTTTTAGACTTCAGGTTCTTTCGTTTCTTGTTCATTGACTTAAATGCCATTCAATACATCCTCCTTTTTTTAGATTTTCCTCTTATTAAACATGTCTATGTGATCTCTACTTTATTATAATTTATATTAATGTTTTAATATTTGAATTGAGTTCCATTACAGAAAGCATATTTAAATGAGAATATTGTATTTAAGATTTGAATGGTTTTGTAAATGGGATGGGAAGCATTTAGAAATTAAAAAAGAAGGGAGGAATAAAATAGAATTTGTGTTTTGTTTTTTATTATTTGGAATATAATAAATCAATGCTTTTGTGATGGTGTATCATCGAAATCTAGGGATATGTTTGAATAGTCTTACCTGATGGGAATGATTCATTCATGCCCCACCAAGACTCGTTGTATGGGTAATCTCTAAAATAGGGCAAGTGGGGATCAAATTTACCATCGTTGACTGGTCTTGATTTGTAAAAACCCAAGGGATCGAATTTCAATTCTTTATCTGAGTAAACAATATATCTGGTTGAAGTGCTAGAATATGGTCGACATTCATCGACGTATAAAAATGCATCATAATTGATCTCTAACCAATTGACCCACTTGTTTTCCAATTCTGTGAATTCTACCTTCTACTCTTGACTCAAATCTAATAGTTTGCATAGGTAATGTACTTGCATAATTATTATTCAATTCCTATAATCTATTAAAATCTTTTTGGGCCACTTGCATCTCGTTATAGAATCTAATATGATCACCCTTGAAATTCTCCAATTGGGAAGTGTAATGTCTCCTTATGGTTGCCCTAAGAATATTAAGTGAGACGCACCTGTATAATCTGGTAATTCTTTGAGTCTAAGAGAGAGTGTCAGGATGCTTCACTCCATAAGCAAGCAAATTAACCATCTCGGACCACTTAAAATTCTTCACAGCCAAATAAGCTTTGCTCATTAAAATCTTTATATTAAATATATTATTTTATATGCAGCTTTCTTTTACTATTAACCCATCCTGTTTTGGATTGTTTGTCCGACCCAAATCGAATGCCCAAGGCAAACAATCCGATAAACAAGATTCAGATGAAGAACCCAAAGTAAGTATCGCATTTCCTACTAAGTAACGCGATGCTCAATCTCGTCCGAATAATAACAATTAGTTAATGATGAAAAACAGGTCAATAACAATATGTTCTAACACATCCACATTGCCAGAGACTCTCTCCACCTCCTTTCACAACCAAGAACTCAACCAATCTGCGTTAGATTAAAATAAGGAAGATATATTTTACAAAACCATGCCTACTTCCTTTCAGTAATTCCAGGTCAAAAACAAGAGAAGATATGAACCCTAAGCTCAAATCACCCAATATCAAATTAAATTGGACTAAGTACTTACTTCCCACATATCTAGATTCCTGGAGATTAGAGAACCACCTTAATGATAAGGAACATTCCAAACAAATATACTCAGCCCATGTTGCTGGAGAACTTTGATATCAATCACAAAGACAATTATGACTTTTTTTATCTCCCCATAGATTTTACTGTAAGTTTTCTATGTAACATAGAACAAATGCAATGTTGGGTATGCCTTCATCAATTTCTTGGGTTCCAAATTCATCCCCAAATTCTTTCTAGAGTTTCATGGAAAAAAGTGGAAACTCTTCAACTCAGACAAAGTAAAATGTCAATTAATTTAGATATGTGAAATCACCTATGCAAGAATCTAGGGAGTGGAACAATTGCAAGGGCACTTTCAATATTCAACCATCATGTAAGAGAAGGTATTCCATTTAATAATTCTGTAGGACAAGAGACTTAAGCCCATTTTCAAAAAATATCAATCAGATCAACAATTTAAGCGAAAATGATTTCAATAAAACTATCTTATATTCTAATTATAAATTACTTTTAATTCAATTTAATTATATTATATTGCAGCCCAATATAGTACCAATTTTTTGTATCAATTATTCACACAAACACGAGTAGCTACAAATTCTCCACTACTTGGTGTCCACATTGCTGAACCATTTATATTGATAGCCGCCAAAAACTAAATTCAAATAATGTGGTAATTTATGCGATTTTAAAATTTTAATTATAAAAATTGGAGTATTTAACTTCACAAATACAGAGGTGAGATTAATAAAATAATTAAATGAAAGCTCTCCTTCTTCTTGCAATCAGCTACGTAGTCCAATGTTGGTGGGATGTTGGCCACATGATGACTGCATAGATAGCTAAGAACTACTTAAGAGACAATCGTCCAGACACCTTGGCTTGGGCTGATTCGTTGGTTTAAGACTTGAACCCACTTACCGATGGGAAGTCTAACACATTTGCAGAGGCTGCTGTGTGGATGGATGACATCAAGGAAACAGGAACTTCATTTATGAACGATTGGCATTATACAGACAGGCCCATAAATCCAGATGGCTTACTGATTAAGATAGATGATCAAAGCAGAAACATTAATTCTATTTATGCAATTAACCAAGCAGTTTCAGTGCTCACTAATTCAAAAACTGCTAAGAATAGACATACAGTGTTTAAAGCCTAAATGTTAAGGGTGCTTCTCCATGTCATTGGAGACTTACATCAACCATTGCATGATACTACATTTTGGAATTCAAGTTATCCGAATGGTGATTAAGGTGGAAATTTCATGAAAGTGCAGGTAAAATATTGAAATATATGTGTAGTTGGAGAATGGAACCTTAGTGAATTTGCATTCATTTTGGGACGCAGGAGCATTTGCTTTCAATCCCAATAACTCTTTTCTGGTTAGGCCTCTGAGTTAAAGTGATCAGGAATATTTAAATAAATGGTCATTAGACGTAATTAAAAAGTATCAGTTTACGAAATATAGCAATTTGGATATGACGTATTATACGCATTAATATTTAAATAGTAACCCATCAGTTTGGACATATGTTGGATATAGATAAGCACTTCAGTTTGTATACCCAATGATTGCTGGGTCAAATAACTACAACAAGGACTATGTCAAATAAGCATAAGAATTCTGCGAAGAGAATTTAGCAATAGGAGGATATCGTTTGGCTTAGAAACTAATCGACATCTACGATAAAATATTATTAAACGAAGCCAAATTATCCTTGGTGGATTGATTTTTGTAATTTTTGTATTTAACTCATTCTCTCCTGTTATATTTTTATATTGTTCTGTATTATGCATATTAAATATATATTTTCAACTCACTCTTATTATCTTATCTCTAATTATTTAGTATTGTTATTCCACAAGGCTATGTATTCTCCATTGTCAGTCAAACTGCCACCTCTATAATTGTCTGTAATTTTCTATTGGACTCCATATCTCCCTGTTGTTTATTGGAATAATATGTAAATGCAGTCTAGATGACGACAGAAGATGGATTGCAATTACTGATTGTAGAACATGTGAAAGAAATCAAAGTAACTCATTTTTGATTTGCTTAGTTCCAACTCTTGAATCTACTCGAATGATTCAACTGATTCCATATACTGATAAAGCAGTATGATTCCATTGTATAATTTAGTTGCAATCAGCTTATCGTTGATAACACAAACTGAATGCACCCAGTTTTCATAATCGTTCTATATCACCTACTTGAGTCTCCATTATTACTATTCATCCAAATCATAGATGATTATAGTTTTATCATATGACCCAGACACTAACAAGGTGCCTGGCTAATTTAAACTTAATGAGTAGACATCCTTTTTGTGATCCTGTAGAGTTTAATAGCATTTCCATTGTGGTTATTACGATGTCAGTAAGGATTCCTACATCCAAACTTTGATTTTATTATCGTCTCTACTAGAAAAGATCTGATCTTCATATTAGTTCAGGATAACACAATTGATGCAAAAACTATTGCCTTCTAAAATCTGTATGCATCCCCATTCGCTGTTACTAAACTCCTTCCATAACCTAAGTGTCTTATCTCGACTTCCAGAAACGAACCAATTATTTTTGCGACTGAAACAGAGGCAAGTGACTTCCTTGTCATGTCCCTTTAAAGTTTGGAACAATTCCAATTTCCCATTGTCGAAAGTCCACACTTTAATTAGTTCCTCTGATGTGCTAATCATTATGGAATTGTCTTTGTTGAAGGCTGTGGCTAAGCATTTTTCCTTCTGGGCAGCCTTCCCCACTATTTCCTCATTGATAATAAGATTGGTAGTTAGTGATTCTTTGAGTGTCTCCATATTACTTTGTATAGACTTAATGTTGTTTTAATAGTTGGAAAGAGTAGTCTGCAGTTGTTGCTCCTTCTTCATTTGAACCACAGAGTAACCAGCCTTAATTAGTGAAAACTCATTCCCTTACTAACTTAATTGTAATCCTACATTCTGCAATCCACTGATCGTCAAATACTCATTGATATCGAATTGCCATTGCACCGATTGAGCTTGTTGAATAACTCCGACAATCTTCTCAATTCTCTCATTGATCTATTTACTAATTTCGTTGAGAGACTGTGAGATGGATTCTGAAAGTTGATGAATAACCTTCTTGAATTCCAAGAAGTCATAAATCTTGTTTTTTCTATAATTTCTAATCTATTATTTTTCATCTTCCTTCAATTTCTTGAATTTCTCCAGAGCATTTTTTAAAGGAACTGCATCATTCAAAGGAGTGCAATTCAAACACTTGGCCCTATTGTTAATGGGTGTGTCTTTCTTGATATCAATGTAACTGATGGGCTAATTATGATTGGGACAACTCACATTGCTGGAAAATGATTACAACATTTATAATACAACAATCAATTAATTAATTCTAAGAAGGAAAATTGGAAATATCATTTTATTATAAATTCAATTAACCTCAACAGAGTCTGTGATAAGTCATTCCAAAAACAAGATGGCCAATTAGAATAAAGAGGAAAGGGAGTGTTATATATACTCTTTTCCTTATTATCAATTTACAAGGATATTTTGAAAAAATGCGTTAGCTCCAAACCTCTTCACTTCTATCGCAATATCAATCTATGTTATCACTATTAGTTATTCCAACACTCATTTCCGAGTAGCTCTATTGTGCAGCATTATTCAAAGTGACTCTTGTGATATTCAGATCATTTTTAAACCTCACTTAATATGGAAAATCAAAATATATATATTAATAATCTGAAATTCTTATTTTAGATCATTATTCATAATTCTTTATGATTACAAGATATCTAGAATAATCGAGAGTTAAAGTGAGAAATTAGACATCCTGACTAATACATTAAATTATAGGGATATTTATAGATTAGGAGCTTTAATAAATAAAATTATTTCTATTTAATATTAAATATTAAGATACCATGAACTATTAAGATTGAAATCAAGAATCCTAAGAGTTTATTTGGAATTAATTAAACAACTTGAATCACTATTAACAGTCTATAAATATCAATCATTTTAGAAATTTTTTGCCTATATTTATTAATCTAATAGCATTTAAACAGATGTCTTTGAAAAAAGAGATTATTTTAACAGTTTAAAATGCTGTAATATCTATCTTCATTTCTATATTTGATGTTTAACCATATCTAGGGTTCAGAATAATATTCTATAGATTTGTTTGAACCTGTTTCTTAATTTACGCATGATGATTTCAGAATATTAGTATCAAAAGCAATCTATTATTATTTTAATACAAAGATTGTAGTTGAATCTAAAATGGCTTATAGTAGTAAGTCAATTGGATTTGATTTATTTGAACATTATTTGCAATATAATAATTATAATTAAAATAAATGGGAAAGAAGAAACCAGATAGTTTCCTAAGTTAAATGTCTAAGTTGTTTAATGGCGAGAAAATCATTAAATTAACAATTAAGAGAAGTATGGAACTTATCGATAATTTCTAGATTTGAAAGAACAATATCCACAACTTCGAAAGAGATTGAGAAGAAAATAGAAGTAGCAATTATTAAATGAAATCAAAACTGCCAATGATGTTAATGAAATCATCATTAGGTCATAAACTCAGAAATTAACAATTTCTACATCTTCAAATAAATAGTAAATCAATAAATTTGCAGATTCTTTGTCGAACATATATCGCTTATATTGTCATGATCAATAGAAATAAATTAAAGTAAGTCCATGTCTATTTAGAAAAAACCTGTGCCATTGCCAACTCAGCCCAATCCAAAATCTAAGACTCAATTGAGATTGAAAGCCAAGAAATTGAGAAACAAAGAAAGAAGATAAAAAAGAAATGAAATATCAAAATTAAAGAAAAAGGATTTGCAGAGACAAAAAACATTTGCAAGCAAAAAAAGAGAAGATTAATAATAATGATATATATATACGATTTAGTACGTGTTTAATTAATATTGTTTGTTTTAGATTAAATATATATAATATTAAAGAGACTAATTAATCAAATTTAAGACTTCTTTGTTACTCTCCTCAGGGTAAGTCTAGAGTGTCTATACTTCTATTTCTATTAAACTTATGAGTCATTAGTTGTATTCTCAGATTCATCAATCAGAGTCGCATATTTACTTACCAACACATGAAAATACTTCTCAACATCAACATGCATAAATAGTTGATTCTTCATATGCATAGCATAAATATCATTTGTTAATCTAAAGATTTCTCCCCGCAAGGTACCAGCTTCTGCAAAATCTCTACAAACTCTCAATTTCTATTTGTAATATTTTAGGTCCATTCTATATTTCTTAATTTGTTGTTGATCTTTCATATGCTATCTTATTCTATCCCTCATTAATTCAAATATAAAGTATTTCCTCATTTATTAAGCTAAATCTTTATCTTTCAACACTTAAAACCAAGTAACTAATCCTTTATTTCTCAAAGCAGCCTATTTCCATTTGATTTCCTCATCCTTTATTTTATCATTCAAATTATCCCATTTGATAATCATCTCACTTTTGTATTTTGTGTAATTTTCTTCGAATTAAAGAACATACTTCTTGATAATTTGAAGTTTGTTTCCTAATTTTAGCATATGCACTTTTAGACAGTAAATTTTAGATCTCTATTATAAGATAGGTAATATTTTTTGAGCTTAATGATTTCTAAGAGTACTCTTAATGGTTTTGGTTTTGGCCTTGAGCGACATAAAACTGTCAACCAAAATTCGTGTATCCATGGATTCTCCTTTCGTACGTATCATAGTTTTTTTCATTTATCTTAACAAGGATTTGATTCGAAAAGCTACTAATCTGTTCTTCTTGATTCTTTCCTTTTTATGAGAAAATGCATCAAAGATTTTTGAGCTCATTTTAATAAGACTAATAATGATTGCCCATTATTATTCAAATATGTCTTTTTGGCTTTTCTTCTCATTGATAATTTTAGTCAGGATTTTTTCTTGATTGGAGAGTTTCTTGGCTTTTATTTGATATTGCTTTTAGATTTTAGCTTGTGATTTGGATTGTCTTTAGAAGTTCCTTGTTGATAGAACTTTGAGGAATCTGTCTGATCGTGATATTTCATCTTAATATCTATTTTTTTTAATTCCTGCCTATTCTTTATTGGAATTGATTATATATTAAAAAGATTTGGAATGAGAAAAATTAAACATTTATAAGAGTGACGGTGGTGTATCTTAAACAGTTTTAACTCTTTAAATTTCTTCAGATTGCTCATTAATTAAGAGATTGAACTAAAGTTCTGAATCTTTACGAGTAATGGCTGAGATATAAATAAATTCACCTTTGATTACTGAAACAACAAATCCTCTGTTGTTAATCATTTACTCACAATTGTAATTGGTGGGGAAGGGATGAACTTGTGAAATCATCAATTAGAATTCACTCGAACATAGAACTTAACAGCCAAAAGGTGCCATTAAATTCTCGCAAGAAATTCTTAAGTACTAGTACTCCATTGCTTTTGTAAAGTAAGTCTTTCCAAATAGAATGGTATTATTGTTGTGTTCATTTTAAATAACTGGGTCATTTCTGTAGATGATTTGAGTTTAGAAGTGAGAAACCCTTTGGTTCTGACTGGCTTTCTGATAAAGGGATTTTTTGGTTGGAGGCATCCTGCTATCGAAAAAGAATTGAGAGCTGCAAATTTATTTTAATGAGCGGGAGGCTTCTCTTTTAAAAATGGTATCACTTGTGTCAGTTTTAAGATTTTCTTTCATGTAATATGATATTTAATTTATATATTTGTTATATATAATATTTCATAAAAATCATAATGTTTTTTACTTTTTATTACTTAAAGCAATCACTCCCAACGCAGTGGTCGCTAGTGCCAACAAAGACATCGATGATAAGTATGTGAAGGCCTTTTGATAGATTCTTCTTGATGATTTCTACAAATACATCTGAATCACAATGCAAACGATTGATCCAAGCAATAAGGATTTAGTTTTGTTAGATAATCTACAAAATTGTTGAAATCATAATACTTTCTTAGATTCAATTTATGACTTTCCTTATGCACTATTGGTTTATGCAACAACAACGAAACGACATGCAACAAGGTTTGCGAGTTATTTTTCCTTTTTCTCTAGGTATATTCTTCATAATCTCCATATCTATCCCAATGTTCAACCTTTACTGGTTGCTGTATTATTTATTAATGCATTTGTTTGTCCTGATTAATCTATAATTCATCTTCCTCTTGTATATAGTTCTCCACCAATTCCCTTTTAATTGGTTCTGGAAACAAATTAATCGTTCCCTTTCTCAGAATTGCTTCCTTCAATTAAGGATTGATATCTTCAAATGATTCAATGATCTCTTCTGGAGATTTTTTAATAAGGAATGGACTTAGAAATACTCTTACATGTCTCTTAATTGTCTCGAAATACCATATATCGCACAAGATGTCAAATAAGGATCTTTCCAATAGAATCTTCCTTAGTTTATTAGAGACGTTGTTCAGGAACCCTTTTCTCTTGATTTTTGCCCATCTGATTTTGAACAATACCAAAAGGGAAAAAAATGTAAGAGCAATAATGATTGTGAACTTAAGTGATATGAAAGTGAACCATATGTAGGTTAAGCAACTGAACAAAAGCAGAGCCGATAACACTTCTATGGTTTTGAGATCAATTTATGTCATTTGCATATAATTTATCATTAAAAATATATTTTGAATAAAGATGACTAATGACTAAATTTAATTATTATAATAGATGATGGTTCAGTTCACAAATTTAGCACTTCCTGCTTTGTTCTATTGGGATGCTCCTTGTCCCTGTTCTGCTGGCTTCAAAATTTAAAAAGAACACATGAGCGATTCATCGACAGTCATCATGGATCCTAATTTAATTACGAATATCAATCACCTGCATTATCGAATTCACCACAATAATTGGGAGCTGAAAACAGTGTGACCAACTGTCTTTTACTGAAAAACTCATATCCATCTTCGACTACCTATATGTGATATACATAATGCATTTTTACTTGATGAGCTCTGCATATCAAATCCAATTCATGCTTTTTCAGAAAGACCTGAACGATCTCTTGGCTGAATACGTATGAAACTCCTCGTTCATTGTCAGCCCATCCTTGCACATCCTTATCAGGATCAGACCATAATAAATCACAGAGCAACCCTGTGTCTGGAACATCAGTTGGTCTCATAATCCTTCTGATTTGTTCCAAGTTGGATAATTCAGGTGACAATCCCCCGTGCATGCACAAAATCTTTTCGTCAATTAATGCAGCCACTGGCAGACAATTAAAGCAATCAGTAAAGGTCTTCCATAATTTTATAGTATATCTTCTCTTGCCTATATTGGACAATCGATCTATTTACATTCATCGTAGAATCCATATATTCTGTTAATGGATGCACATTCATGATTGCCTCTCAACAAAAAGAAATTCTCAGGGTATTTTATTTTGTATGCTAAAAGCAGGCAGATCGTTTCCAGGGATTATTTTCCTATCAAATAGATCATTTGATTTACCTCTATCAACATAATCACCAAGGAACAGATAATTACTCTCAGGAGGGTATCCGCCATATTCAAACAATCTGAGCAAATCGAAATATTAACCATGCACATCCCCTACAAACTCATACTATCATAAACGTACCGCATATTTTTAATGGAGCCTCAAGTTCCAATAAAATTGGTTGAGAAATAAAAATGTCTCTCGCTTTTATACACAGCCCCCTGACTTCTGCCTCTGTTAAGTTTACATTTTTCCCTGGTTTGCTTCCTCTCACACTCAACAGTCTTTCAATGATATTATCTACGTCGATTTCACCCTTATTATCCTTGCTCATATATTATAATTTAAAATTTAAATCAATATATATATTTCCAGATGCAATCATTCTCCTAATCACACAAGCACACCATCATCGACGACATGCTTTGGAAATATACCTCTCCTGATTTGTTCATCCAAGGCTCAGAACCAATCAACTTTGATTCCCATTTTATTTGCTACTCCTTCACAGAATTCGACGAAGAAGCACACTAAATAACCCAATAAACAGACACCTTGAGAACAGTAGTGCTGTTCGAGAATTCAAACTCAATACCTCTCGCTCTCTCCAGTGCTCTCAGAACCATGTTGAAAGGAGAATAAGCATTTTTCGAACTTAGCCAAGTGTATGCTCTCACCTAGAAAGAGATCGACATCCACATAGACAATCTGACACCCTTGAAAATGTAGAAGAAACAATATTGGCTAATAAAAATAGAGAATTCCTTTGAGTATCAGGGGATAAACTCACTGAACTAACAATAAATAGAATAATACATAGAGGAAGTTAGGAAGTATGCTGGATCCATATTTCAACAATCCCATTATCGTTCAGCAATCTCTATCTATGAACTGATTGGTAGGATAAAAGCGGAAGATACACAGAGGGAGTATTCTAAAAAGATTTTAAAGGAAATAAGCAAGTCCTTCTCAAACAGAGCAGTTTGCTACATCAAATTAAAGGAGTGGGGTATGGCAGATTAGATGTGCGATGAGGCTTTGAGCTTTGATAATGAAAACGAAAAAGGTAGGCCATCTGAAGTAACGTAGCTCTGTTGATAAAAGGTAGAGCAAATTATGAATTGCAAGATTACCAATCTGCTCTTTAATTGTTTAAGGCTATTTTGATCTAATTTCCTAATACGGACAACAAAAAAGAAGTCCAGTAGTATCTGTAGAATTGTGAGAAAAAGCTCTAAGTGAATAAGGTTGATTTTGAATGATATTTAATTTAATTGCATATAACGATTGTGATGTTCACATTATTGATGTGATCAAAAACGGTAGCACAATATATATTTGATTGATATTGTGNGCACATTCATGATTGCCTCTCAACAAAAAGAAATTCTCAGGGTATTTTATTTTGTATGCTAAAAGCAGGCAGATCGTTTCCAGGGATTATTTTCCTATCAAATAGATCATTTGATTTACCTCTATCAACATAATCACCAAGGAACAGATAATTACTCTCAGGAGGGTATCCGCCATATTCAAACAATCTGAGCAAATCGAAATATTAACCATGCACATCCCCTACAAACTCATACTATCATAAACGTACCGCATATTTTTAATGGAGCCTCAAGTTCCAATAAAATTGGTTGAGAAATAAAAATGTCTCTCGCTTTTATACACAGCCCCCTGACTTCTGCCTCTGTTAAGTTTACATTTTTCCCTGGTTTGCTTCCTCTCACACTCAACAGTCTTTCAATGATATTATCTACGTCGATTTCACCCTTATTATCCTTGCTCATATATTATAATTTAAAATTTAAATCAATATATATATTTCCAGATGCAATCATTCTCCTAATCACACAAGCACACCATCATCGACGACATGCTTTGGAAATATACCTCTCCTGATTTGTTCATCCAAGGCTCAGAACCAATCAACTTTGATTCCCATTTTATTTGCTACTCCTTCACAGAATTCGACGAAGAAGCACACTAAATAACCCAATAAACAGACACCTTGAGAACAGTAGTGCTGTTCGAGAATTCAAACTCAATACCTCTCGCTCTCTCCAGTGCTCTCAGAACCATGTTGAAAGGAGAATAAGCATTTTTCGAACTTAGCCAAGTGTATGCTCTCACCTAGAAAGAGATCGACATCCACATAGACAATCTGACACCCTTGAAAATGTAGAAGAAACAATATTGGCTAATAAAAATAGAGAATTCCTTTGAGTATCAGGGGATAAACTCACTGAACTAACAATAAATAGAATAATACATAGAGGAAGTTAGGAAGTATGCTGGATCCATATTTCAACAATCCCATTATCGTTCAGCAATCTCTATCTATGAACTGATTGGTAGGATAAAAGCGGAAGATACACAGAGGGAGTATTCTAAAAAGATTTTAAAGGAAATAAGCAAGTCCTTCTCAAACAGAGCAGTTTGCTACATCAAATTAAAGGAGTGGGGTATGGCAGATTAGATGTGCGATGAGGCTTTGAGCTTTGATAATGAAAACGAAAAAGGTAGGCCATCTGAAGTAACGTAGCTCTGTTGATAAAAGGTAGAGCAAATTATGAATTGCAAGATTACCAATCTGCTCTTTAATTGTTTAAGGCTATTTTGATCTAATTTCCTAATACGGACAACAAAAAAGAAGTCCAGTAGTATCTGTAGAATTGTGAGAAAAAGCTCTAAGTGAATAAGGTTGATTTTGAATGATATTTAATTTAATTGCATATAACGATTGTGATGTTCACATTATTGATGTGATCAAAAACGGTAGCACAATATATATTTGATTGATATTGTGTAATTAAAGTGATAAATTATGTATTTGATTTTGTCAGCGTTAACAATTTGCTCTAACGCAATCGCTCCTCATGTGCTGACGTAAGGACCCTTCACTTAACCCAAAGAAACTCTTCAATTCAAATAGCTCTTGGATCACAGCGACCCAGCCAATACTCAGACTTGCCAATAGAGATACCATGTGTATTCCTAATATTTTAATCCCATTAAAGGTGGAGTTATCTTATATATTTGTGGAGAATGGAATTGCCAAGGTGTAGGTGACAACTCATTACCCTTCTAATTGGCTAAGGACTTAGGCGCAATTGTTATAGCATTAGAACACAGATTCTATGGGCAGTCTCAACCCTTCGGAGCAGATTCATGGAGTTTGAAGAACTTGTCTTATTCAAATGTCCATCAAGCCTTGGATGATCCTGCCTATTTTATATTGCAATTGAAGAGACTTAAACTTCATAAATCGATTGCCTTGATACATTAGATGTCTCTACATAGGTATGCAATCGGAGGCTCATATCCAGGAGCTTTGTCAGCTTGGTTCAGATACAAATACCCGCATTTGACAGTCGGTAATTTGGCTAGCATTGGAGTCATCAACACAATCCTTGACTTTTGGTAATTCGACGATCAAATTAGAAAGAGTACAAGCAAGAGTGGTGAACAGTGCATATACACTTAAAAACATCTAGATGTCCTCTCTACTTACAGTCGCTGAATAGTTATGTCGATAAGAATCTCAAGAACTTCAACACCAAAAAGGCATTCAAGGAATCTTACAGATATAAAAAGATGACCGACAATTAATTCAAATGGCTCTGGGCTGACACCATTGTCTAAATGATCTAATCTGGATAGAGAACCAAGTTCTGCGAAACTCTAGAGTCCTTGCCATCAATTGAGCAGATGGCTGAATACCTCAGAGATATAGCTTTATCTCGAGGAGGCAGTTATAAACAATATGGTGCTTACTATTTAAGAAATGAAACCGTTTACTAGAACACCATATTCCGTCAATGGTATTTCTAGTGTTGCTCTGAAGTTGCTTAGTTATAAACAACCCCACAGGTAATGTCCAATCGATGTTTATAATAGAATAAAGAATCCTTAAGATCTTATGAATTGCATTAGATTGGTGGAGAGAATGGTGCAATGATGCTTACTCTCAGGGTGAAGTAATTTGGCCAGATGCGAGAGTAACTGAAGCCCATTTTTGAGGATTGTATATGAATGTTGATCACTTGATCATGACCAATGGAGGGGAAGATCCTTGGCAAACAGCCTCCTTGATTAAACCCACTAAAGCTAACAGCAAGGTTATTACCTACTTAATCGATTGTGATGATTGCGCTCATTGTGTAGATTTGAATGCTCCCAGTGATGATGATCCAGTTATTCTTACATAAACTAGATAGGCTATCGAGAATACATTTAAATAGTGGCATGATTAATTTTGGAGTGAAACTCTTGTTGAGTGAATACCAAATATTATAGAAATATATATATAATCAGTTATTATGGTTTTCATACCATTCACAAAATTTTAGCAATTGATTTGCATTCATTTATTCGGCATAAAGCTTAATTTTAGCCAGAGTTGTGTTGTCAATTAAGAGGGATAGTGATTTCTCGCACAATGACTTCAAATTTGGGATCAGGTAATAATCAGCCATTTACAATAATTGCCTGTAGAATTCAACCGATTATTAATATTGATCACATTATAACTAAAATAGAAACCAATCTTACGTCTCCTGCGTAAATGAAGTATAACAGCTATTCAAAAATAATGAAGGAACAATCATTGATATAGACTTTCTATTATTGATGTTTGTACTCCCATTCAAACATCTTATTGAATATTTCGTATTGAGATAAAATAATTTTGTGTGCATATAATTGTTTGTCCTCTACCACAAAAATGATATCACTGAATTTAGACTAATTGAAAAAACCTCTAAAATACTGGTTAATAGAGATATTATTAAAATCAGTCACAGAAATGTTTGGAGGAGGATCAGTATCAATAATAAAGAAGTCTTTGAAGTAATGTGATCCACAAGACCCCCCGAAAATATAAATAAGATTACCAATGGCTGTCATACTATGACCGGCTCTGGCCTTATCAAATTATTCATCATCCTGAAGTTCTATGATACTCCAGGCATTTTTCACTGGATCATAACATTACAAATCTCCAAAACATGTAGTTTAAGGCCCACTGCCACCAAACAAGTATATCTTATTGTCTATAGTATTCATGCACATTCCCGCTCTGGCACTGGGAGATTGAATTGGTTTTAATTCACTCCATCTGTTCGTTGTCACATCATAACAATGCAAATCATTGAGTCTTTTTGAGCCATCCCAACCTCCAAAGATAAACAACTTGTTTTGCCAGACTGCTGAACTGTGATTGGCTCGTGGTGGGGGTCTCTAATTCTCAGCTGTCTATACTAGTTTCCACATGTTAGTCTTGGTATTGAAACTATGTAAATCATTCAGATAGTCCTTCCCATCTCCTCCTCTGAAGATATATATCAACTAACCAATCAAATCTGCACTGTGCATATTGCATGGGCCTGGAACCTTAAATGTATTGTGAAATCATACTTCTCCCATAGTATTAACTAGTGTCCAAAACAAACAATCCAGATCTAATACATACACATCTCGACTGGCATAAGTTCCACTTCCCAACCATCCACCAATCACATACATCTTATTTTCTACCACAGTGGCTGTGTGTCCATTTCTACTCTCTGGAATTCTACCGTTTGCTTTACACTTCGTCCAATTCCCATCCTTATAGATATGAATGTCGTTGTGATTCTTTTTGGAGTCATATCCTCCGAATATAAATATCTATTTCTTGTAATGTATGGATGTATGATTTTTAATAGCAGGACATTGGTTTGCATTACTGCGAATTACTTTCACTGCTTGTCTTTCATATGAACACCAATTCGGCGACTAGCCATTTCCGTCATTCTAAAACATTTATTTATAAAATATAATATATAAATTATAAATTATAAACAAAAATATTCATTGCTTTTTTATTTATTTAGACTTGCTTTTAATGTCCCCACTTGGCTTATCTCCACCCTTCTTATTTTTAGAGTCTCCCCCTTACTTATTTACTCCACTCTCCTACAAATTCTTAAAAAAAGTGCTCGTCTTATCAAATTTAACACTCTCCTTATTCTTTTATTACTTAATGAAACTCATCTGCTTCTTCCCTTGCTGATGCTGATTGTACATGAACTTAGTCTCACCTCTACTCTCCAATTTCTTAACTAACCCACTTCTCTTCTTTTCTCTCTCCCTATTTCGCTTTCTCTACTTCGCCATTCTCCTGCCCTTCTTATTCAATTGATGATCGGCCTCCTCCTTAGACAAAAACCCAGCCTTCTTAATCTTCTCCACATCCTCCATCTATTCGCCCCTTGCTGTTATAGGCACCTTCTCCTCTCTCTAAACCACATTGTTATCCAACACCTGCACTTCTGCTTGCTTCACATATCCTCTTGGCTCGAAGTTCAAATTAGTCAACGAATCCAATTTGTAACATAAGTCTCTAAACTATTCGAATAGCTCTTGTTTCAATTTCTACTCGCTCGTGTTTGTTGGCAATCCCAAAGCCTGCTTAAATTGTCTCTCATATAATTCAGCTAATCCAAACTGTGACTTATTTGTGTCCACCTAATCCACTGGTTTCTCAAGAGAATGCAAATTGATCTACACCTTCTGTCTGTCATCAAACAATTCATCTTGTACTCTCTTTCTATAATTCGATTAATAAAGTTATTTACTTGATCATTTCTACCAACTTATTTTACTGCTCTGGAGTTGTTTCCTCTAACACCTTTCTATTCACATCGAAATCCAAATCCTAATCAATCAACGAATTCAATGGTCTCTATCTGCCTTGCACTTCACCAACAAATTGCCAATCTTTCTTCTTCAACCTCTATTCTTCTAAATTCTTGATTTCCTCATCCTCTTCTCCTTCTTCTCCCTCTTCACCCTCTTCTTCTCCTTCAACCAAGTTGTTTTCTTATTGTAACTCCTCCTCTCTCATATCATCAAATACTGAGTCCTCACTATGATTGTATTTATATATTACCCCTCGTTCTCTTGTTCTTCATTTCCTTCTTGGTTTTCCTCATCATCTTCCTGTTCCTCCTCCTCTTCTTCATCATCCAAATCTATTTTACCCATCTTGCCATCATCATAATCTTGCATGTATTTCTCAAACTCATCAAAATCATCCTTTTATTTTTACTTTTTCTCAAATCTAAAGTTTCCTCCATCCTCATCAAACTCTTATTCCATCTCTTGTTGTCCTTCCTCTTCCTCATTCACTTCCTCCTCGTCCACCTCTTATTGCTCGTCTTCTTCTCCCTCATCCTTCTCTGACTACTATTCCTGTTCTTCAGTCTAAACATCCTCCTCCTACTCCTCTACGACTTGACCTGCTATTTTGGCCGCTCTCTCTTCTATTTACTTTAACTTTTTGAGACTCTTCTGATTCAGAGTCTCGATTGCCCTCTAGATTTAAGTCCACATTTATTCTTCATCATTTAAAAGTAACAGAGGCTAATTCAAGGATTCGTCCATCAATTATTTGATTAAAGGCATAGCGTCAAAGTCTTTTCTCAAGATCAATCCAATCTACTACTTTAACTTCAGACCTTACATTAAATTATAAAATTAAATTATATATACTTTGAAAAGCAAAATAATATTTTTTAACAAATACATATAACCATATTAAATTAAATAATTCTTCCTTATCCTTAAATGGTCATCGTCGCAGAACAGGAAGTTCTTCAAGGTTCATGTTTAATTGTTGCGAAAACAGTAAATCTATTAAAAGCTCAATTTAATATAAAAAATAACAGTCTAATTAATAGGCATGTATTATTTCTCCTAAAAACCAAATTTTAGCAATAGTTTTGCATCATTATAAAGATAATTGTTAAACATTGGGAAAAGGATAGATATATATCCTTAGGTGATTTTATCTTCTTTTGATTGATTTCTTCAATTTGAGAATATATTAGATGTTAAAAACTTACCAAAAAGTTCGCAAAGGCGTGTCAGAATTTAACAATGTAGTAGGATGTGATTTAAACTTCTTATTGTGGTAATCAAGCATTAATTGGCTTTAAACAGTATGATATAGATTATAAACTATTAGAATAAAGTTCAAGTAATCTTAAACAAAAATAAAATCAGGGCAAATTAAGGAATAGCTTTAAGGAGAATGGATTGAATTACATGTTCTTGAGTGCGTTTGTAAATTAAAAAAAATAATAGTTTGATTTAATTTATTTATCTTTTTTTCGATTAATATATTAACAAATATTTTAGTTTCCTCCTTGATACCAACAGAATAAAATTAGTTACCAATCCTTTTATCTTACTAACATTAAGACTCTTTGATGAATCTCAAAAATATTGGGAAGCAATGATTGTGATTTAATTTAATTCAATTCCTTACACATCAATTAAGTATTGCTAAACTAATAATATAATCCAACCCTTGCATTGATAATATTTAAATGTAATTATAAAAATGGATGAGATAAAATTGCAATGATATAATTTTGTCATAGTCTTTTTTTTCCACAAGAACCACAGTACTTATGGTTATTAGCGAATTTGCTTCCACAATTAGTACAGAATACACTTCTCTGAAATTTGTTGCCACTGCTCATACGAAAGCATAGTTGTATATGCTTTTCGGCTGCCTTTTGTTCAAATGTTTTCTGACAAGAAGGACACTTAACAATAGGTACAGAGCGAGAAAGCAGGTTTTCAGGGCGTTGTTTGATTTTGGGTAGAAAGGTAGGTTGGCTGGAGGATAGTTCTTGGAGTAGGGTTTCTTCTGCTTCTTCTTCTTCATTTATAGATGCAATGACTCTATATTTGTCTAACGCTTTTGGTCTGGCAGGACATTTGAGAGCATGGATTTGAGGATTCCTCAGTTTCTTATGGCAATGGGGACAAGGCTGAATAGTTGGTTATGTTAGAGGTAATTATGTTTTTTGCTTATTAGATTTTTTGAGAAAAGGGTGATCGGCAGTGCAACTACGTAGGTGGAGAGCCAATTTGCCCTGAAAGAATTGGCGTTTGCAAAACTTGCACTATTCTTTGGGTATCGACTCAACTTGTGCATCTAGAGGTGTAAATGGCCTTTCAATCTATTCATCTAATTGTTCCTTATCGAAGGAGTTGTTAAGGGCCTAGATGGTTGATTTCGAAATGGCATCCTCATCAAAGAACTCATTGTCCTTGGAATCCATAGGCAATGATAATTTGATCATGTAAATTATAAATATATAATTATGCTTATAAGGAGATTAAGTAATGCTTTGCTGAAGTATCGATTTTCCAAAGAAGCAGCAGAGCCCCAGCAAGTTTAGAGAGTGAGGGCTCCATTCGGGTTCACCCAAGTCAACTGTTTGGTGCTTCATCCCATCTTTTACCCTAATAAAGGTCCTGAATTGGAGTTGTACTTGGCAGAGGAAGCAGTGGGATTGTCGAAATCTTTAAATTGGACACTTGAGAAAGGGCCTTTTTGGAAGGAGGAATACACCTAGAAAATACGTATTAGTTAGGGGAGGAACCCCATCTAAGCAAGGGTGGAGAACAAGGAAGAGGAGTTGAATGCAGAGGGATGGGAGCTTTCTGGTAAAGCGCATTTGAGGAATGGAGAATATATATACCTTCCATTTTTATAAGGAACATATGACGATGGTCAAATGTTAGTGGATTTATCCTCAGATAGTGATGATGACTTAGGTCATGAATGGAGGAATAAAATTATACGGAGTTCGATTGCCAAATCTTCTTTAGTTAAAGTAAAAAGGATCCACTCATCCACTTTTTTCACTAAAGGTAAAGTGGCCATGTTGGGGGAACACATATATGATAAGAAAATAAATGCAGTCTTTATTAATCATGAGTTAACTCCTTTATAAACTAGGAATTTGGAGAAGGTGTGGACTCAATATGCAAAAGGAGAGATAGCCACTTTTAGAAGAAGTGAAAACCCTGATGATAGTGATATGGCAACTGATGCAGAGACTGACATAGAGTATGAGGATGCATATGTGAAGGTGTTTGATCGATTCACTATGATTCTACAAATCTTCGCAAAGAGATCTACACAAGGAGTAGCAAGATAATAGATAGAGTTATCATTTCTCAAATTTGCTAAGACTAAACTTGTGAGAAGTGGCAGTGCATTTGCCTCTTTGTCTTCGATATTCTTGGGGGATTTGATGATGGCTAAGGAAGTGTATTTAGAGGTTGTGTCTGCGAAATAGAGAAGAGCTTTGGGGAAGATGAGTGGTTCAGGAGAGAGTGAAATCTAGATACAAAGGAGGAAAATAGACGAGAGAATAGCGAAAGTACGGAGACAAATTGAGGAGGAGGGTCTATAAAGAGGTAAATTAAAGTAGAAGAAATTAATACACACAGTGCCAAGAATTGCATTGATTGGGTATACTAATGCTGGGAAATCATAATTATTAAATTGTATTTTACAAAAGGAAGTTGTTGAGAGTAAGGATCTGTTATTCCAAACTTTGAGTACTACATCCAAACAAATTCGATTGGCGTCAGGACAGAAGGCTATAATGTTGGATACCATAGGATTTATCACAGATCTCCCTCATGATTTGGTGGAGTCGTTTAAATGCACTCTGGAGGAAGTGGCTGATGCTGATATTGTGTTGCATGTAAGAGACATCTCTCATCCTTGTTCGGAACAGTAGAAGTAGGTTGTACTTGAGGTGTTGTAGCAATTAGGATTCAATGAAGAGTTTTATAGTAAAAAAATGGTATGTCACTAATTTAATAATAGATTGAAGTATGGAACAAGATCGATTTGATGCGAGCTCCTGTTGATTTCAATTAGATTCAACAAGAGAATTATCCGATTGTGCCTATCAGTGCTCTGTTGAATACCAATATTAAGTAATTGTTGTAGATCATGGAGGACAAATCAAATCTGATTATGAACAAACGACCATTTAAGTTGAGATACAACATCGATGAACATCAGTAGAGATTGAAGTGGCTCTTTGACAACGGGAATATCTCAGGAATCAAAAATGAAGTTCATGTCACTCCTGTAAAGAAAGGAGATCCTACAGAAATTGAGTATGAGGTCATTTTGGATGAGATCACTTACAATCGATATATTGCTACATTCACTCCTGAGTTGAGAGTAAAAAAAAACAAGGGAATGCCTCCTCCTAATTGGTGATCAAATTTGTATATAATAATATATATATATAATATGGATACATCAATCATTTCCTATAGTAGCCAATATCTCAATGATTTCGTCGATGGCGACTTCATTTACTTGTATTATTTTGATTTTCTTGCTTTTGATTTCAAGTGCATTTTCCAACGGAGTGTTTCCCCATCTGTCTCTGTTGCTAAAGTCGAATTTAGCTTTGAATCTCAAGAATTTGATGATTTTGGAATTCATAGACATAACTGCCATGTGAGCTATATTTCTATTATCAACATTGACAAAATGATTCAGGTTCTTGATCCCCCCATGGAATATGAGTTCCAACAGCTCCAAATCCCCATTCAAACCAGATGACAAGATTAAATCCACTAGTATATGATGAGGTGCTGAGATTATGCCTCCATTCTAATAAAAGTAAAGTAACAAGTCCTTGTCTCTACTAATCAACACCTCGTACATGGGAGAATATCCTAAGTAATCGATCGGATTGATTTCAACATGAACTTCTTCCACCAAGTATTTTATGATTTCAATCTATTTGTTTGCAGCAGCCAAATGAAGTATAGTTCTACCATCAAAATCAGGAATATTGAGATTTCCTTCATTCTTCCTCAAATCCTTGATCAATTCCAACTACCCCGTTGTAGCAAGAAAGCATCCCAAATTAGGAATTATGTATTTATTCATAATGTCCATATTCTGACTAATCTGCTCGTCCCCAGTAGTCTTTTGAAGAGTCTCCAATATTGTTTGGATGAAATGCTACTTTTGTACTTCAAACTTCTCAAACTACCTCACTGACTCAGTCTCCCCCTATAAATTCTATGGAAACTTTTAATAGATTTCTTGATTGCTGTATCCCTTGCCTAATAAATAGGCTATTTTGGCTTAAGCACTTTCCGGAGTGATATCGTATTAGACTAGAATGCCATTGACCAACTTCTTGAAGTTCGCAATTGGCTAACCCTTGATGCATTGAGATATCTGAATCAATATAATGCCCAATTATTATTGAGCATGCTACAATACATTGTACAATTCCTAACTATGAGGCATTTCTCCAAAGTGATAGCATTCTAATATACAACATCTCAATTTTGGAGTGTTCAGAATATGTCTAATATGCTCAACACTAGTGTAGGGAGTGATCTTTATTATAATGACATCAGTCACAAATGGAGGGGCTAATTCCAAGGTGCTATCATCACTTGTGAACATCTGTTCTCCTCTTCTTAACACCAGTTGCCACTTGATTTCAACGTTGATTCCGAATTCTACCAAATGTGGAAAGTTTGGACTCTCTATGCAATCCAAGGAATCGCATTTTAATTGTCTGCATCTATTGGCTCTGTAAGCCTTGTGATCCATGGTGATCAACACCTCAGGAATTAAAAAATGCCCAGCTAAAATTAATGAATCCAAGATATTTTGGAATGCGTCATTTCTCATAAAGGACAATGGCAGTAGCGATCCAGTGATCACTACAGTTTTTTATAAGTTTTCTAACATGAAGGACAGGTTTGTTCCAAGATAAGTGATTGTTGCAATTCCACTCAAAATAACAAAAGCACTATATTTCTCATAATTCTCCTTAATAACTTCTGCTATATGTCTGATATCAGCATAAGACTACATAATGATATTATCTTACTGTTTGTCTGGAATTGGTTATTTACTCCAATTCCATAACTTTGTATATTATTCTTCTTCCGAATTCAGATATTGGAGTAGCAAGACATCCCTCCTGACTATGGTACTTTATAATATTATTGATTAAATACTTAAGTGTATTCAAGGTCACAAAGGAATGAAATGTTTTTCAATCTCTGTTCCAATCTTCCTTTGACTACTTTCATATGAGATTCATTCACTTCCCCTTCTGCAGCAGCAGCTCCGGATGCATATATCAAAAGCACCTTCCGATCATTCAAAACTTATAAATTTTATCGACCTCCCTCATTATCTATCAATGATTAGATCATCTATTCATGTCTTGATGATGTTGATTTTATAATTTTAGGAATATCCTCATCTGAACTCATTCTTAATTTATTAATAAGTAAATAATGAAAACATGAAATACTATATACCCTCAATTAATGCATAAAACATATTTAAAGCAAAGGCTAAAATATGAATACAAGCTAAAATCGCTGACAAGAAGATTTACTCAGGACCATCATTAATAGGATGTTCTTTTTTAGATGTCGTGCTAAATTTAGAGATTTATTTTTGGACCCTGTGCAATCAAATTTCTCTTCGTTTTTAACAATTGTATTAAAATTAAAATGTAAGAAATTAGATTGTAGAATTGTCTTGTATTTTGGAAACAGAAGATTATGCAAGTTTGTCAGTACTACTAAGTACGATTCACCAATTTGTATAGATTATTGAAAACTACTAAGTAAATTATTAGTTTCAAATAGAAGGGTAACAATATGGAAATACTACTGTTAAGTTTAATTTGGGTTCGAGTTTATCATTAAGATTAAAGATCGTTGATTCTACACAGAAACAGATTACATTTCATGAGATATTAACAATTTCTTTTATTTCTCCAAGATTTTCATTTGTATACCAGACAAACGCTAAATGGCTACACATTAACATTTGACTATGATTAAAGTGTCATATAATCAAATGTATTCTTTCATCATAAATTAGCAACATTAATGGTTCAAACTGAGGGAATTAAAAGAATTAAAAAAGGTGAGTGATTTCATAGAGATGAATAATTTATCATTAGTTAAGTTTGAATTTGATAGACTATATTTTAGGTAGTGGTTCTATATTAGATTCATCCAATGATGGTTAAGTGGGATGTCTCTAATTTAAGCATTTTCTTAAAGTTGAATATTCATTTTATCTAGACTTAATAATATATTCTGATAACATACATAATTACTCGACTCCTTTCTAACTTCCAATGATTTACCTTCTATTTTCCTCAATTTCTATTTGAGTCGTGATACTTCGATTTCCTTAGTAGAATTTGCGATTTACCCAGCTTTAAGCATGTTTCTTAGCATTGCATTCTCTGAAACTAATTTTGTATTATCGTTCTTCATCTTGAAGTAAGACTGAAACTGTCCATCAGACATAATCTCTTTATACCTTTTAATTTCATCTTAAATAGCTTCCATCTATGAAATGTGAGCATACTTACCTCTTTTAATTAATCTGCCCTAATTTATTTCATTGCAATTTCGTGGTTCTATCTGCCTTGTTCAATTTACAAATTGAGTGAGTCTATTTGCCTCAACATTGCTTAGCGAGTAACACTTCTAGGGTACATACTTTTTTGTTAAATTACTTATTAATAACATAGTAAAATTATCTGGTTTGAAACAAGGAATATGAACCAGTCTTACAATTCGAATAAAAAACTACTCAAATGAATAATAAATAGAAACATTATGGATATGTTTACATACTACACTATAGATCATTATCCATTAATCACTAGATTTTAATCGATCAAACAATTTAACTTAATAATAATCGTATATTAATGACATTCTCAGTACTGTTAAACATTTCATAAGACATCTCATTTGACAATGTGTCATTTTTTAATATCAATGAATTCTATATTTTGAACTATTCTACTTAGATGTATCATTTTTGGTTACATGAGATATGCCCCATGTTGATATGTCTGTAATCATGGGCGAAGAATGAATTTTGGATGAGAATTTGGTTGTTTTAGCGAATAATTAAATTAAAAATAGGAAAAAGTGAATGTCCACATACAAGTACTTATTCAAATTTATCATAATTGGGGATTCATGTAAAACAATAGTATTTTGATAAAGATGTTGGGAAATCATGTCTTGTTTAGTAGTTTTTACATGAGAGACCTAGACAGGAGCATGAAGCAACAGTGGGAATTGAATTTGGTGTTAAGGACATCAATCTCTCTGGCTCGATTATACGTCTCTCTATATGGGATACTGCGGGACAGGAGACATTTCGATCTCTCATTCGTGCATACTACCGATCTGCTATAGGCGTGCTCCTTTGTTACGATTGTTCTAGCATGCAATCATTTAATGGAGTGGAAAAGTGGGTGCAAGAAGTGAATGACAATGGCAATGAGAGTAGAAGCTTCAATAATTAAAGATGTTGTAATTGCACTGGTCTGCAATAAAATTGATTTGCAAGAGTATGCAGGTCCCCTTCAATTAATTTTAGTCGATAAGTGTCATCCGTCCAAGGGAGGTAATATGCAGTTGACCATGGTTTCCTCTATGCTGAAGTTTCTGCTCTCAATGGAGTTGGCGTTCAACAACTCTTCCGAGATTTATCCCTCGAAATCATAAGGCGAATAGACAGTTCATTCATCGTCTTGGGAAAGCATGTAAAATTAAAATTAACCCTCACCTCTAGCTATAAGGGATTGTAATTGGAGAGGCAAACCTGTCTCCTACAAAACAGATAATCACCTTGGAATTGGATGAATCTCAATAATAGAAGAATCAGAAGAAGAAGAAGACCTGTTGTTGAGCAGTTTATAAATAAGAATAGAATAATAATATCAACTCTTAGGCACAAAGTTTTTATAAAAATTGATCAATTTTTGTTTCTGAATTATTGCAGTTGATTCTGGCGTTTCTGCTATGTAGACTGCTGGTCTTCCTCCATATACACTATTGGCTGGTACAACGGTATCAGGTGGCAATATGGAATCATCAAGAATTATTGAGTTTTCTCCGATTATGCATCTATGTGACTACGCATAATATAGATTCAGAATTACAATGTAACAGTTTTTTCCAATTGATGTGCAAGTACCGATCTTGGTTGCTTGTATAATTGAACTTGACTCGATTTCGACATAATCACTTATCATCAAGGGCAGGAATTTGATGACCTTTTTGGTAGGCGATTCTTTGGTGTAGCCATATGTGTAGGAGGGCTTTAGAGTGACCTTTTCATGGACGACCAAATATTTGCCAATCGACACTTTGGCTAGATCGCCTCTCAAGATGACATCATTAAAGAAGATGCACCTGCCACTCACATTGATTTGCTCAGTGCCTTTGATTATGGATTTCTTGGATATTTTGATGCCTGATGAGGTCTCGTGAAATTCGGATTTGTCATATTGGATAATTGCATCCATCTTTTAGTATATAATATAATAATATAAATATATATAATTGGAAATCAACAAAACCTACTCATTTATATGTCCTCCACTTCCATCGTGAATAGCAAAGTTGTGCCAATGATCAAGTAAATTAGTAAGAGTGTTAAAGCAGCATAAGAGATGAGGTATCCCCTTTGGAAATCAAATTTTTGAAAAAAGATTCCCATCAACAGAGTGGAGAGGATACCACCAAAGATGCACGCAATATCAATTTGATTGATTGAGATGATGGGAACAAAATTGATGCAGAATACCAAAAAGTATATGCCTACAATCAATTTCTTGTATTATCCCAATTATTTCTATTAAATGATTATAAACCCGTAGAGTGTCAGCACTCCAAATACAATCCCGTAACTCCCCACGGTTAAACTGTAGGGGTAAACGAGGGAGCTCATCAGATTGCTTGAGTAGCCTGCCAGAAACAGGATGAGGCTGTACTTCAATCTGCCGTACTTGTACTCTGCAATGTACCCGTACATTTGAATGGTGACGAACCCTATGATGATGTGGCTGATTCCCCCGAATTGAGGGATGGAGATCAACATCCGATAAAATTAACTCCTGTGTTGAATATCTGGCCGAAACTTGGCTCCGCAGCTGTAGAGCACACAACTAAATAGTTCGTCATTCACTTGTTAGTAGATGAACAAAATCCAAAAGTAGAGCAGAAGCACAATCGACAATGGGAATGTGACACTGCAAATATTGAATTATTTGAATAAAATAGAACCTATACTTACATTTTTGTGTTTGACTCTTAAATTTTTATTACTCTAAGGTTGACTTTAATTTATATGCTATTAATCAATACTTAAATCTAATTAATTTATAGTTGGGATTTCCATTTCTAATTTTTTAATTTTATTTATAAATGTTTTTGTTTCTCTAATTCTATATTGTCTCTTCCATGTATCCAGTTTCCTACAAAGACGAACGCCCCTACCTGACCTTGGACTCAGACTTCCAGGTTCAACTGAAATTGGATGAAGTTTTATCCGAATTCTTGCAAAGACACTCCCAAAATGATAGATGTCCCGACATTGAAGTGCACGAATGCTACGAAGAAGTATACCAGAACGGGTAAAAAACTAAAGTCAAACTCGAGAAGGAGAACTTCTATCTGTAAGACATCAAATCAGACGAAAAGATCGAGTAAACCATCATTTACTCTGACTAACAATTAGAAGAAGTCCAGAATGCAATTAGTTTCCTTGCTCTGGCTCCATTTCAGAACCACCAAAACACCTTTTATCAGAACGGATTTAGTTTGTGTCTCTCTCAGACTGAAGGATATATTGTGACAGATTTCAATTCAATATCTCAGAACTATTAACCCTTAAATACTGAAGGCATCTCTACTAGATTGAAGGAAGAGTAGTACACAGCCTATAGTCTTCATCTTCAAAATATGGAAATTGCTTTCAAAGTTTATGATATTGCTTCATTTCCAGTCTATATTGTTTCAGAAGATGTGATTTCACTACCAAAACAAATCTTCCCTAAAAAGTACTTTGAATCCAAAGGTTTCACCCTTGATTCCAATGGGTTCTATTTTAGAGATCGCAAAGACAGAGGAGATGACTTGGATTCCCTACTATTTTATAATAATGCCAACCAAGACAATCCCTTGATTGTTGATCCCACCAACTATGTCCTCAATTATGAAAATGGATAAGACGTATTAAAAATCTACACGGAAGAACGATATGAGGATGCCATCATATTGGGATTGCCATTCTTGAAAAATAAGATCTTCAATGTTCAAACTGAAGAAAATTACGTGTTTGTCCAATAGCTCAAGACAAATCTATGCATACAAGATGAACAACATTCCATCAGTGTTTTAGAAATAATATTTATTGTGCTCCAGGTGATCCTTCTACCATTTTTAGTTTACTTTACATTCAAAAAATTGAGAAAGAATGAACAATAGAGACAATAACAATAAAGGTTGGCTCAATAGTTCATAACTGAGTTGCAATGATTGCTAATTCGTTTTATTATTGTATAAAGTAATATAGTCATATATATTAATATGTGCAATTCAATTCCATAAAGATCATTCAATATAGATACCAAATATGTAGATAATTAATTCATTTGGGTTATTTGAATAACAAACCATGAAGAGAATCAAAATCCTGAGCCTCCAATTGCAACAGAGCTGTTTTTGTAGAGTCAAATATAAATCCAGCCTTCGTGCATTTAATTTCTGCAGTCAAAGGCACTCTAGTCTTTTGTACGATTTGTGAGGAATCACAGAAGAATTTGCCTTTGAATTCATTGTTTTCTTTCAAGTAGATGAGAATGTTGTTATCGATTGTAGCTATAATTTGACACGGCTTCCAAGTTTTCAGGACATTACCACAATCAATTTAAGCACTTTTAATTCTTAATTTAACCAAGGAATGATTCTCTTGAACACTGCCCAATTTTATATAGGCATCAGGGTAATTACAGAGGAAATCCTGCAATTGCGGAAGGGTCAATGGTTGTTTCCCAAGCATCTTCTGTACAATCCTCACAATGTCTTGGCCCAAGAAATTCAACACTTCGAATGATTCTATCACTTATTCAGATTCCAATTAATTGATGAGCTAGACTATATAACAATGGAAATGATACTCCATAAATCAATTCTTCTTAGGCCGAGATCTACTGTTGTTTACTTTGACTCAATTGGACATGCTTATCAAGATACATCCTCAGAGAAGTGATGACAATTTGATATCTGTGGACTTCTTGTTTCTTGACTTCATCAAACAGTCTTGTTACTGCTTGTCCCATAGTCTTCTACAACTTAGCCATCTCAAGAAAGGAGTTAATCAATTTGCGTTCAGTATGATAGAGATCCTTCCCTTTGGATTCTCCCTGCATCTGTCTTTGGTACAATCCTTAGTGTTTTCTGCGATATTTTGTGAGTTTGGAAGAACTGGAGGCGAAATTGCTAAAGGCTTTTCGATAGTGATCCCTATGAGTTGAGATGCCAGTTTCAAACATCTCTATGTTGAAGTCCAGCTTCTCTTTGATGAATTTGTCAATCCCATCGAGGAGATTCAAGATTTTGATAGCGTTACCTTAATCGTAATTACAAATTTCTTTGATGGTTTCATCCAATTTAGGGTAGTAGAATGTCTATCCGTCTTGAAACAGCTTATTGATATCATTATTTTTAGTTCTCAAATACTCTACATTTTATTTTTCATGTTACACAAATGTCTTGATGAAATGAATGAGATTTTGAATGCTTCTGTTTGAAATTGCAATTCGCTTATCTAAAAGGCGATAAACATCCTTAATAATTTGTCTGTGTTGCTACATATCGATTCCAACTTGCTCCATCCAAGCTTGTAATTGATTATACGATTGATGTCTATGGAATTTCACAGAAGTTGGGTCATCCTAATGATTAACTGTTCTTTGAGCTGCTGATTGTCGAATAGACTCTCTGAGACGATCCTCTACAAGTTGTTCTGGATTATAACTGGGCATATTGACAAACTTGAACGATTGATCCTCTGCTTAAACGTACTCTGATTTAACTACTTCCTCTTAGAATTCACTTTGCATATTTTAATATAAATATATATATATATTTAATAAGAATCAAATATAATTACTTTAGCCTTTCTAACTCAGTCAATTTGATTTCAATCCTTTTAAATGATCAATTGATGACTCCATTCCTTCAAACAGAATTTTGTATTTGATTGATTTTCTAAATATTCTCATCCAGTTTATTCTCTGCAGGCTTGATAAAAAGATTGGATAACTTACAAATGCTTTTGGTTTCCTCGAATTCATCTCGAATCTGGTTGATTTTGTCCAAGTTCTTTTCGTGATGCACAATAGTCACCTCATTCAGTCTCTAAATGGTTGCAAGCTTCCATTAGACGACTTTCGCTAATACTGTATCAGCCATACTCTTTTATTGGGTGTCTACTTAATTAACGATGGATTGAGCATATTGATCTATGACATCAATTTGTTCCTTGGCTATCATTGATAATATTAATTTTTAATATTATATCATTTTTGTTTCTTATCATTTCTGAACTGTTTGATACTGTTCTCAATCTGAACCTAGCAAGCCTTATGGATCTGTGGCTTGTAACCCAAGAAGAACATTATTTCCAAGAACACAAAGTCAGGAGCCACGAAGATCTACAGGATATTGTCCAACAGGGCAGGTGCTCGCTCTAGGAAAATTAGAAGAATTTTTGCATAGAATTACTTTCAAACACTCCATGTCCAATAAATTACAAAATCCAACAAGTTACTTAGAAAGTGGTGGCCACACACAAGTGATGACTCCATTAAGCCTCATCAGCATTGGCAAAGTGTTGGTTGAGTAGAAGGGTGACTGATATGTAAAATGAGGAAGCAAGAATCTTAAGTGTATCATATATAACAATATCTTACTCCACTCAAAAAGTCGACAGCCATATAGACCAGAGCGAGGACAAAGAGCATGATCAATCCAATGTTAAGCTTACAACAGCCTGTGTCGATGGTGAATGTGTAATGGTTCATAATTTAGACAGCAGAGAGCAAGATGAGTGGAATGCAAACTAAGTGGATGGCTTTGTTCCTATGTTGTCATGAACTAAACTTACACTAAGTTGTTGTGATAACTACCATAGCTGCTATAGAAGTTGACAATGTCTATTCCCATATTAATAAATTAAATGATTGATAAAGATATTAAAATCAAATCTCTTGAATCCGAACTGGAAAGTCGACAAACATAAGTCTTATAGCTAGAAACTAAAGTAGCTACTCTAGAAACTCGAATCAATTAGAATGCTGATGTATTTGAAAAACAACATTTTTTTATTCTAGGTCTTACAATTACAGGAGAAGATCAAAATGTTTGAGAGCCAAAATTTAAAACTTGTCGAAAAAAACTAGAGTGACGTTGTGGAATGGAAAACTAAGGAAAGAGAATTTAAAGTATAAGTTACATCTATAAACTAAGCAATTACTCAAGTTGAATCAGGATGAGCTTGCAAATGTCAAGGCGGAATTGGAGTTAGCCACTCAATAGTTGTCTAAACAATAGCAAAAAGATGGTACTGCTTCTGGAATGGAGTAAACGATTAGAGATCTGTAGTTGGATTGCAATGAATTGAAGTCCATCAACGAGAAGTTGGTGTAGTCTGAGCATTTACTGAAATTGGAGAAGGAGAAACTGGCAAATTAGATAAAAGACTTGGAACAAGACAAGAAATACATGCAAGATAGTTTGTAGGATCAGAGAACTCAACACAATAAAGAATTATAAACTTTGAGAGAACAATTACAAGGATATCAAAGTCAGATATTTGAAAAGGATAAAATGAATGAGGAACAATTGAGAAATCTTACCAGATTGGAATAGTAGATGGAAGGCAAGGCTTAAAACAATAAGGAAGAGATTGAACTAGTAAATAGAAAATAGGATATATTGTAATGTGAAAATGATAGTCTCAAAAAGGTGAATGAGAAACAATTACAGGAAATGCAAAATTTGAACCAACAAATCAATTGTTATTCAGAGTAAGTCTCTGAAAAAGAGAAATAGTTATAAGAGTTATAAAGATAAATCAATGCTGAGAATGCTAAATTTATACATTTGCAATCGAACAATTCAGTACTTCAAGCATAATTGAAGGACATAGGATTGAAATCAGAAAAGAGACTCTAAGATAAGGATGCACAAATTTAGAATGCAAAGAGGGATTACGACAACAGGATATCGTAATTGGAGATGTATTACAATTGTTATTATCATCTAATAGTGAAAATGCTACTATTTTAGAGTAATTGCAATTAGTTAATGGTCAGAATAGGGAGTTATTAATGAAGCAAAAGGAATTGCAGATCTATTAGAAGGAAAATACGAGCAAATAACTTGAGAAGGACAGGAAATTAATAGAATAGTTTGATAGGATGAGAAAATTAGAATAAGAAGTATAGAGTGCTCTTTTCTATAGGTAAAAGCCTTGGTGAAATTAAATCAATCTTATAGGGAGTAAATAATAATACTGGAGGGGGATCTCAGTAAAGTGAAGGAGCAAGTGAGGATGTTATAGAGAGATAAATCTGAATTAAAGTAGTAGTTAGATTTCTTGATTGCTTAATAGAATAAAAAAGGTCGATTGAGTGAAATCGAGTTATTGAAAAAGCAAGTCCAGGAATTGCAAACCGAATTGGGGTTATTAAAGTAATCTCATAAGACAGCGTAGAGTTCGTTGAAATCTACGATGGAATCAGCAGGTTATTTTAAAGAGAAATTGAAGAAGTTGGACTTTGAAAACAAAACTTTATTGGATTCGAATATAAGATTAGAGAAATTATTTTAAGAATTGCTAGAAACAACGAAAGCCAAAAAGATGCAGAGGAACTATTCTGAAGTGGAGACCAAAGTTTATCAAGGGAAATTGATAACAGAGAATAATTCAACCCTTTTGAATCCGATGACTGAGAGAATCGCAGCTAATACCAGTACTAATTAGAAGTAAAAGAGTGGAGATGTTCGTTCTCTTTTTAAACGACCAATCCAAATAATTAAGATTAGATAATCGGCAAAGATGAGAAATCAGGATAATTAAGGCAAGAATTTGGAGGAATAACATACCATCACATATAGGAGAGTGGAGAGCGAGGTTCCTGAGGGGGAGAACTCGTAAGATTTAGATAATGAAGTGTTGTGATTATATATTATATATAATTAAATAGATTATTCATCACAAGTTTAAATTATCTATTTCCATAATTCGCCATTCATATTATTTGCCTATAAAATGATTTCGGAGGTATTTCATTCTTTTTTTTGAACTCAGGAGCAATACTTTAATTAAATCTGGAGAGGTCTTGGCTGCTTGTGTCAGTTTCAATTCAAACATAACCTAAGGGATAAGACTGTTTAAATACTCTATGATAAATTGATTCAAAATGAGCTTCAGGTGTTGGATACAACATTAACTATGACAGTATGTAACACTCAATTCGGAAGGTGACACTAAATATTGTATGGATGTACTTTTCAATTTCAGATCGTTCATGATCATTACCATATATGTCCAAATTCACACAGTCAAATAGAGACATCTTTACACACTATTGTGATTTATCACCAATGGACAATCTATTAATAGTATGAGACCATACGTTAAATCAGAATAGATAATATCTTTTGTTCCATTCTAGAGATTTAACAATTGAAAATTATATTTCTCCAGAGATCTTTCTAGACTTGCATTAGCTATTGTTGAGATGAACTTGTAATCTTTCTCACTGAGTGCTTGAATGAATTGTCTAACAATTTAAAGCAATAAATACTCGTAAGCCATGTGAAATCCTTCATCAATTCTGTTGTCCCAAATTTCAGAGAGTAAAGATCGCAATCTATAACTTTTGGAGGTATCGATGTCATCGTACTTGTACCCTGTAAAAGGTACAACAGCATGCAATGCAACTGTCGAGAATTTCCCTGCTATTGATTTAATTAGAGTATTCATGCATATATTATAATTACTGTTTTTTAATTTACTTCATCCAAACTTATTAATCCCAATTTTATTCGATTAGTTGCAAACACATTCATCAGTTTTTTCTGGGTTCTCAAAATTGATTCCCGATTCTCTTATGTATGAAATCAAACCCCTTGTCAATCCTTAAATTAGCTTAATTTAAGAATTAATTATAGACTCCATTACCATCATTCCATTTCACTCTGTAGATTTTTGAGGCAAGTGTTAAATAAGCATGACTCACACCTATTTTAATATTGCGTATCATTCCAACTATCTAAGATATTTTAGTTGTATTGATAATATTCTGATTAAAACAACACATTAATTGATAATATGAATATTTGAATGAATAAGATATTTGACTTACTAATAATATTTATAATCAATTAGATGTTTTTAATAAAAGATGTCCTTTAAAAATTCAATTGCTTTAAGTAAACTCGCTTACAATACTCTCTTTCCTTCCATTGATGTGTTATTAAACACTGCACTATATAGGATTGCTCTTCTCACTTTTTTCTAGTATGACTAATAACAAGAATCAAAAGATCAATAATTACACCTCACGCTAGCCCCCAGCCTATTTAGATAATCATTATACCATGGAACTCTTGTAGAAATTGAATATTCTATTATTTATTTATTGTTAATACGAGAAATAATAAATTTATTATATTTTTTTAACTGCTAGTTAATTAATGGGAAATCAGCAGTTTGAGGCTAATGAGTCTGAAACCAACATTACACAGTATTACCAAAATATGCTCAATTAAAACAAAGAAAACATCCCCTATCAATATCAGAACACTCCTAAATTGTTGAGTGCAGAAAGTCGTAATAAATTGAGACCGACATCGAAAATTAATTTGGACATGAAACTGTGTTCCAAATCTTCAGAGAAGTAGTTTAATGGCATATAATAAGTATGGTTTTATGATTTAAAATAGAAAATGTTTTAAGAAACTCCCGTCGTAAGAAATCCCTTGGAGAAATTACAAAGAAAGAGAAGTAGCACTAAAATAGTTTAAGAGAATGATGAATCCCATATTCAATTACTGGATCTGCTGAAGAATATGGTCAGACATCAAGATTCAACTATGCAAAGCAGTCAGGTCAAGGTTTCAGAACAGTCATGTCAAGAATATGACAAAAAGAAACCTCTGATGGATGTGGATTAATATTATAGACCCTAAATGGAAGATAGACCATTATAGTTTAATAACAGGAGGAGATCAAAAACATTTGAAGAATCATTTAGAACACTGATATCCAACGAAGATAGATGTCAACCATTAAAATTGAACCGAAGAGAGAGTAAGGAAGAAGAAGCTCTTCAATTTATATTACAGAACTGCACCTAAACTCAATCGAGAATAGATCAACAAATATCAAATAGTATAACTTTTGAATCTTTGGAAAGTGATTGGCAAGCCTTGACTAAAAAGAATTCCAAATAGTTAGAAACCCCTGGAACTGCTTAATTCCAAGGGTTAAATAAGGACGATAAGATGTTTGAACTCTCAACATCCAATTTTATAGAATAAAACAATGAGGAGTATTAAGGTTCCAGAAGGCCGTCCTGTCTCGAATCTACTTTTCTAATCCCAATGGTGTTGCATTCATAAAATAGTCTGGAATTCGATGACTCCAAAGATGTCCATTAGAATCCTAAGCCTGCTCAACCATATGAGTATAAGAGAACCTAAGTTCCAAAGGTTACTATGAATGGGTTGCTGTCCAAATAATAATCGTAGCATAATTTCAATAAATTTGATTGCAAGATCAATTCTACAAGTAGAAATATAACTCAGCCCATGAAAAAGATTATCTAGACTCAAGCAACAGGATTGCCAAACAAAGCACCCTTGAAACATAAATCACTTCATTAACAATCGCAAAATGCTCTGTCCTTGCCTTTACAGATGATCAATTCAAAAGGGAATCTGGGATTTAGATCTAATTTGAGTTTGATATAGAATGTCCCTCAATCTTCTTTGTCTTCAAAGAATGGAAGAAGTCAATTCGATTCAAAAACATGTAAGACAAAACCAACAGTCACTCATCCTGAGGAGGAGTGGTTTGATAATTCAAAATTGGAGTATAAGAAGATCATGATGATTTTGGATGAGCAATAACAATAGATTCAGAATTTCAGTATTTAGAATAAAAGTGAAATGATCTCAAACACTTTTAATAGTTCAGATATTAATTGTTCATAGAGATTCTAGTTTGAGGATTTTAAAATTAAACCTCATCTTGAGGACAAGAACACTTAAACTCAATTAAAGGATTTGTAGAAGAACTTTATCAATCGATTGTCCTAACCAAAAAGCAAGTGTAGTTCAAGAACGAGTGAAAGCAACCCCTATTGGAAATTAAGAGAACTAGATCAATCAAAGCGATCCAAAAGGAAATGAGTTGATATTAATTATTTTATACTTCTTTATGATTTAATAAATTTGTCTCATAATTTGACCTATCCCTCTTCCCAGTCTTCGTATTGTCTTAGGGTAGCAACCAATTCTGGATTGGAATCTTCTGGAGAGTTTTCTTTCTGCAAGTATGCACTATTGTAAGGTAAATATTCGTAATCATGTTCTCTGGCTATAGCAAATTGATTGCCTATCACATACGATAATTGATTCAAGTCTTTCTATATTGTTATCATATAAATGGGGGTACTTCTTCTACGTCTCTCACATATTGAGCTGGATTGCCTGCCCATAATTAATTACTAGGAATGAGTCTTCCAGGTGGTACAACAGTTCCAGGTGCCAAGACTGCTCCGTCTTCTAGTTTGGCTCCTTCAAGGATGATGGATCTGTAGCCAATGAAACAATTATCGCCAATAGTGCAGGAGTAGAGAGTGCAATCATTTTGGACCATGACATTATTTCCGATGCTTAACACAGCTGGCATGCCATTTGGTAATGATGCTGCAGTGTGCAATACTGATCTTTCGCCTATGATGACTCGATTCAAGATTCTAGGCTATTTGGATTCATTACCTGATTCCATTGAGATCTCCTCTTAGGACTGCACCATACCAAACCACGCATTGAGATGCCAATTCTACGTCGCCGACGACTGTGGCTGTAGAAGCAATGAAGTGTTGACTCCCTATTTCAGGAGCCAAATCATATAATGCCATGATATTCCTGTGTTTTGAAATGATGAATGGTTGTGTTCCCACGAATGGCACAGCTAATCGAAATCTATTAATCATCAATACGTTATGCCGCCGATTAAAAGGATCTCTGAATCAAACCAATCAATGGTCTTATTATTTTTTTCATTTTTATTAATAAATATATTTATTTATTATGGACCAATATCTGAAGCAATTCAAGAGCACTGAATTAATTTAACTCACCGCCTCTGGAGTCATAGGCCTAATCATCTGTTTGATGGCATCCGCTATTGGCAATGCAGTACTTGTCGAAATCAGTATCAATATCGTTTTTTCAGCTGTATTCAATTCTCATATTTCCAAGTACTTCGGTATTTGCTTCATCATCATTGGAATCCTGTTACTCATGCGAGTTAACAATTTACCCGAAAACAGTCAACTCCAAAAAAACAAAAAGTTCTTATAATATTTTGGCATCATGGTACTCTCGTCTGGAATCATCTGCTTTTGTCTTGAAAGAGATTGGTAACATTTATCTTACAAACCCTCAGGAATAAAACCATGGGCTACTACACCAAAATTCCCCTCTATGTTGTCTTGGGTGTCTCACTCAACTTTACCCTCATTTTTGGGTTTGTCGACACCATTAACTTTGTGATTGGATTCTTCCAATAAGCCTGGCAACGAACTCTAGTAGAAACACCCAATCAAATCATCAATGCCCTCTTCATAAGTACGCTCATCGGATTCATCTATGGATTGTTCTTCAGCGCCATGGACATTGAAGTAATACTCTCTTTGTGATATCTTTTAGGACATAAGAAATTTTAATAAACTAGAAAGTAGACTGATTTTTGAAGAGAAGTTATGCATGCCCATTGTGGGATTCTTGGGTCTCATAGGAGGAGTAGCAAACGAATATCTGAGAATTAGAGGAGACAAATTTATGCCATACACATTTGAATAAGTCAAAGATCCTTTTACAGAAGAAATTTGATGTCAATGTAATTTATTTTTCTTTTGTAATTATGAATTCGCAAATACACTCATGCATATATCAAGACTTTTCTTACCCTTCCATATTAATGATTGTTGACATCAAAATTAGAAGTTCTTAATTGATCCTTTATTATAAAAGAGGAAAGATGTTTCTTACTTTTTTGAATTATTTGTCTTGTTTTATAATTATTCTAACTAAGGAGGAAGCTTTCAGGAATCTTTATTTTTACTTTTTTTATATAATTGAATATTAATTTATTAAATGTTAATTAAAAAAAGTATGATGCATACTATTCAATTCTAAAATAACAGGTTTTTTTTATTAAAATTTATATCTTTATTAAACTTAATTTAAAAAAATTGAATTTGAAATATTGTTTACTTCAATACTACAGATTTGATTTATGTTGTCTACAATTTTGGCAATTACGTCAGTATCGGAAAACCAATAGAACTCACTTTTTGTATAGTTTCTTGACTTTTGCTGAATTTCAACAGAATGATCCCCATAAAATAATATATTGAATTCAATTTCTATAATTGCAAACTCAAAAGCAATATTTTATAATATCCACAATTTCTTGTTATTTTAAAGGTATTGAATATAATTTTAATTTGTTTATTAAGTAATAATGTTGAGTTTTTTGTAAAAATCACTTTTTAAATTACTTGTTTTAGTTGTGAATATAAATGATATATCTATTTATAATGTGATTGCATTTATATATATCAAGAACATCAGTTAATAAATATATTTAGCATGCAAATCCACTCTTCTAGTTGAGAAAGAAAGTTGTCGCAACTAGGGTTGTCTATTGAATGGATTAAGAATCAAGAATAAATTCATTAGTAATAAATTAATACGTTGTTATCGATAAAGCAGTTTGTAAAATTTGTAGAAAGTATAATATTTATAATAATTTAGAATGTTCAGCTTAGCTATCGAATTATTTTGCATCCAACTTGGATATTTTGACTGGCAATTTAAAATCACATAGCTACCAGGTTTTTATGCTTTAGGAAGGTTGTTTTCATTTTTGCTAGTTATTTATCCATATTCATATGATATAAACAAGGATTTTGCAGCATTAAATTCCTAAGCAGTTCAAAATCGATTTTATTCTGTATTGAAGCTGATAATAGATCCAATCAGTTAATGGTTGGCCAATCATCCATTTTAAAATTACATACATTTTGTATTTAATTTGACAATGATTTTTGGAATCAGTCTAGTTCTAGCTGCTAACTACATCACAAAAGATACAATCGAAAGGAACATTAGGAAATCAAATTTAAAAAACAGAATAATGAAGCTAATAACTTTTTTCTTCATTAGTATTTCAGTAGCTTTTTCAATACCTTTATTAGTAGTTGCTCTACACAATTTAAAAAGATCAAGCTTGACATAAGATTACGTTTGGCTGCTTAATGATGTCATTTACGTGACGATGATCCATTTGATATCCCTATTTTATTTCGTTCTTCTTGAGGGGACTTTGATTGTCAAGTAAGGAATAAGCAAAAAGTTATAAATTAATTTCCAAGACTATCTAACATTTCTGTTACAAATGATCCAACCCTATATTTTCGTATTAAGTTCTCCAATGATGGCAATCTATAGCCAATCAATCATCTTTTTACTCATAACCTTCTTGGAAATCATTTCCATTTATATCCATTAGTAATATTCAAGCAAATTCCAAAAATTATGTTTGCTAATAATCCATTCATGTGGGATAATAATTACAATTAGCACAATCACTCAGATTTCTTAACCAATGGTATACATGGTACTGTTATCACCGTTGCTACTATATATTGGAATGTTTGTACATAACTATTTGGAATTTTAAATATTTACATCAAATTATTAGAATTTGAATTTGTTTGAGGTGAATAATTTAATCTGTTCTTAACTATCTGCTTAGCAATAGAACTTTAGGCAAACTTGTATTCTCAATTCGATATACAAATTTAAGCATTCTTAATAGTGTCAAAATGTCAAGTGCTAATGCCAGGTATATGATCATTTCTCAAGTAACACTAATAAAATGATTATCATCCCAGATATCATTGAAGATGAACTCTATTGTAATTTGTTATAGAGAATGAAAGGACTGCTTCAAAATCAAGAACCATAAAATTGCTTCTATTTTCTGATTCATTTGTTAAATGCTCAACAGTTTCATGGAGAAGTGTATGAGCTATATAGTAAAGTTGAGAATAAGCTAATTCTGAATAATCTATCGTATTTTTAGAGAATTAAATGGAAATTCTTCATTATGATGATTAAATAAAATTTATATACCAGTTTGAATGCAAAACTAAATGGAAACCAATTGGATAAAACAAAACTATCAATAAAGATCAATTAGTTTATTCAATCTGAAAGTTTTAATTAAAGTATCAAGGATGGATTGATTAACATAATTCAATAAAAACTGTAATTGCAATAACTACTAGTCAAATGGCAGAGTAAGATAGATTTTACCTCTTCTTATTATAACTTGATGGAGAATGTTGAAAAATAAGAGAAAATACTGAAGTCAATCTATGATTCCTTTCCAAGTTAAAGAAATCAATCCTAATTAATGTTCTTTTATGCTGAGATCAAATATGATTGGAAAAAAGCCTTTGATTAACTGTAGATTAACGCCATTGATAATTCCATATTGAATATCGTAGCTGATGTTGATTTTAATAGACTAGCCAACAAAATGGTCTATTTAATCTATTCGTATGATGATCGAAAACTTTAGATTATTTCATTTTCCAAAAAGACACCAGGGGTATTTGGATATCAATTCAAATAATTTGAACAACTCTTAACTCCTGATACCTTAATTCCTTCAGTTGTAAGAGATATCCATGATCAATACATAACGGAATTTTTATAAAATGGAAAAGGCAGTTACTTTAGAGAGATAGGCTAGAATTTTTGCTAACTTAAATCAGGCTTTATGCAAAGCGTAGAATTCTTATTTGATATCTATATCGATAGTAATCAATCTTTTCGCTTTATAACCTTTCTTTGTTGTCTTGAATAAGCAGATCCAATGATCTTGGTTGATTCACAGAATAAAATCTAGGGAATTAATAAGGAATTATTCAAAAAATTGAATTTCAATCCGAAAATATTAGAATAATTATCGATTGAAAAATCACTTTATAATTTGTCCGCCGATTTGTTTATTCCGCAAGATGTATTAAATGGTAGCCAAGACCAATACTCATTCTAGTTGTGTTTTCCAAAAGAAACGTTTTTTTCAAAGGAGTTCTCCACTTATTCATAGAAAACTACTAGTTTAAAAAATTATTAGAAATTATTGACCTATGATGCGGCCTGCGAGGTACTGAGGAGAAAAACCTATTAAGTAATAAAACTAAAGAATATCTAAGAAATAGGCAAAAGCAATTTCACATTATCAATGGAAATAAACTTGACTTTTAATTAACTTCTATCAGTAAATGAAGAGGAATCAATTGTACAACCATATGAAGATTCCCCCTTAAAAGAATTATCTATAAACTAGGCTATCCAAACTCAACGAAAGACAGATGCTAGATTCTTTAGCGAATAAGAGGAGAATCATCAAAATCAAGAATAAATCGAGAAAATAAACATATATCAATATAGTCAATCGAATGCAGTTGATAATGACGATAGGACTGTAAAAATATTGGGGAACGTTTACGACAATGAAGGAAATAATTAGGGGAATATCGTTTTGGAAGGTTCTCAAGCATCTTCTATGGCAGGATTAAGAAAATCAGTCTATTATCGAAAGTATACTCTTGTAAATTAACTGAATGAGCTGACTCCAGCCATACCACTGTTAAATAAGCTATTTGGATATTTAATATTTGCTCTGATCAATTAAATAATATTTCTATCAATAGTATTTATTTAGCTTATTTTAGAATGTATTTTTCTCAAGAAATGACTTTGATTCTCTCAATTATTATTACTAATCAATTTAAATCAATCATTATTTTATTGAACCTATGCAGAAGTTCTTCTTGACTCGTTACATGCTTATTGATTATTAAACATTAAGCCTATATTAAAGCATAACTAAAGACAAATATAACTAGTACTAGCAATTTATTAATCCTTTATTGATTGGTTCATATGATGAATTCAAAGTAAACTTTTAGAACCATTTTCAGGATGAAACTTTTTCAGTATTCATTGAAGACAAATACGTTCTCGTCTATTAGCAAATTACTCATTATGCTCCTCTAAAATTACAAGAATACAACGTAACATTATTCAACGCATTTAGCATTCTGCTCGATGCTTTTTACAAATAAGCGTAAGTCTATCTTAAGCCTTCAACAATAATAGGCACTAATCCTCACAACACCTACTAATATAAGAACTATATCCTATTTGTCACTGTATTTGACAATATATCTGACTTGATCTATCAAGAGTCGATATCAAAAACAAAATTAGTTGGAGATAAATGGATAAAAATGGTAGTTCCAATATCAATCGTAGTAATGCTTAGCTTATTTCTTCTTGGGTTCTATTACAACTACTACAACAATTATTTAGAGAAGTTCTTTGCACTTAATGCACACATAGACTTGATAGAACTTGATGCTGATTAGAACAGACAGTAATTTATCCTGTAAAGTTTAAAACAAGGATCTGAATTGATTCACTTGTATAAATTTAATATGATTGGAAAGGAAGAGATGTTGGCTAAAGTTAAAGTGAAGGAGTCCTAAAAGGAGATTAAAAATATCAATAATGAAGTAAAAGAATTTAGGTACTCCATTAAGATTTCGAAATTGCCTTTAATATCCACTGTCTTAGTATTACTCATATAATATGTATTAATCTCTGGATCGCTAACTTTTATTGGAACTGATTACATGAGTAAGTTCTCGGAAAGCATTCACTTTTTTAAATCAATATCCGACATTGGCGTTTATGTTCCAGCAGCATTTTCATAAAAAGAAGTCTTGTATTTCTTCTCTTTCTTTACTTACTATACAACTGATGATCGAGCATTTTTTGTGGATTAAATTTAAAAAGCAGTCACAAAAATTGATACCTTCTTGTAAATGGATATTGAGAGTTCAAAATTACAATTTTCTAGTTAATTCTTAGACAGTTATGAATATTTATAACAAAATAATCTATGTCCATTGTTGAATAGTTCGAAGTATTATGATTTTGATTACTTTTGTCCTAACACTTAAAATGGAGTATTGAAATTGGGTTTGACAGCTGCTTTGACCAATTTTAATAATATTCTAAAGACTGAATTGAGTATAAATTTCCCGAGTACTCGTAAATTGCCTCCAAAAGATGAGTTGGAAGCCGTTTATTTGTGTTCAGATATAATTTCTGAGATTACTACCAAGATGGAATAAGATATTTAATCACAAACTTAGACTATTGTGGAATTATACAATGTATTTAAATTTGATTACTTTTGATAGATCATAAATTCGATAAGCTTGACATATACCATCATCCTAATCCTAGTTGTTTAATTTACAGTATTCTAATAATTTAAAGTGAAACTTAATAGAACGAAGATGATCTCACTAATCTTCCCACTCGAAACTATATTCTTAAATGATCATTTTGAAAGGGAACTTAGGAGGATGGTTACTAGTGAGAAATTAATTTGAGAATATTTTGATATGAATTGATTTATTATAAGTTTACAACATATATTAAAGTATTCAATATGAAATTGGAGATGCTCGAATATTTGTTGATTCAATTAAATTTCTAGGAGAACAAACTGAAATGGAAACATACTCTCTTCTATGTGATCTTGAGTCAAATATTGAGTATATTTTTTCTGATCTACCCTTTTGTATCAATTAGAGGGAGGCAGAATCAATTTGAATCTATAATGGAAATACCAAAAGTGATTCTCCTTGAATTCTTAGAGTAAGTATATATAGCTGAGTATTCGGTTTTGATCATGAATGCTTGGATAATAATATTGTTAATATCCTTATTCTTTGAAAATTAGAAAAAAAAAATAAGTAAGATGAAAACCTTTGAAGCACAATAATTATAATCAATTCCAATATATTATTTGATGCTCACTTCTAAAGCCATAAATTATATGTTACTCCAACCTTTGCTTTGTTTGGGATTGTTTAATTTGCAGACTAATTTCTAATCTAATTAAAATAATATCTACTATATTATCTAAAATCTAGTGTTTCTCCTGTTTGTTCATATATTTTCAATGGGCTATTATATCTTAAATAATACTACTTTACTACTAACAGACAAGATGGATAAGAAAATCGAAGATGACTATTTAGATTTTATCATCTACATCCTCAGAATACTCCAATCCTATCTATTCATTTTAATGGACACTCATCCTATAGTTTATTTATAAGGGGCAATCTACCTCTCTATCAGCCTAATCAGAATATACACCATATTGGTTTAAATGAAGTATTGTGATTTCAATCATTGCTTCATTCTGTTGTTCTTTTCCTCCTCAGGAGTGATTATGTCAATCTGTATATTTGGAGAATAGAATTTGAATTTAGGATATTTGATGTTGTTGAATCCCTTACTGATATACTGTCTATGGAACTCTTTAAGCTATTAAATCGAATGCATAATACTCAACGACCCCCAAAAGTTGTCGATAGACATGCTCCATTTTTTAGTTTGTTTCATTTTTGCAGACAATCAATTTTCAAAACAAAAAAATTGTCTCCTCAATGGAATTAAATTTAGCAAACACATTCTGAATTGTCAATCAGTTAGTTGCTCCTGCCAAAACAAATACAAAGCCAATGATCCATTGGAATTGAATCTAATTTAATTGGATATATTCTAATAGTTTCAAAATACAATTGTTCAATAATTCAAACTGCTCAATCTACATAAGAAAGGCAAGCACTTCTATAAGATGTGTCATCTCCTATCAGCCTTGCATCAATTGGGACATCATTAGGAAATCTATTATCGCATAGAAGATTAGAAGTACAAAAATTTGTTAACCTTTGTCTAATAAATAAATTGGATTGTGTTCACATTCATTATTAAAAAACAGATGTACAATAAATTTGCCCAGCAATTAGAAACAGATAATAAAGAATGTCTAGAATTGTCAGCTAAAATCACTGCATTCCTACATTCGGAATCTTTTAATTTATAAATTAGGAACAATTTAATTTCAATAATTCAATTAAAAATCCAAATACTCTCCTCTCTTTTGATATTAGACAATGAGGCATTATATGAATACATTGAGACATTTGCTTTAGAGAGTCTGAAAAGAGAAAAAGAATTGAAATAAATATTCTAGAAATTTCCAAGTTCCAAAAACTAATCCATTCTAATGTTTTACATGGGAGAAGTTGTCAATGATTGGTATAGGGCCTATGAATTCAGCAACTTTAGCTCATTTGACAATAAGGCATACTAGCAATTCATCTCAAGTGACATCAATAGTATCTCAAATAAAATGACTTACCTGGTATTTGTGTATGAAAATAAGAAGTTGTACTTGTCAGGTATTTCTAAAAAGGCTTGCGAAATATTCGGCTGGGATTAAGTGCAATTCTCTTAATTGAGAGACGCTAATGTCCTTCTTCCCAATTGCATTCGAGATACTCATGACTAAGAAATTGATAAATTCTTATAGACGGGAAAAGGATTGTATTTTAGAACAAAGGGTATCAATTTTTGTCAATGCAAAACTGGATATTTGTAACCTATTCACTTCTTTTACGATATCCAATTTGACTAATAATCTTTTTTTCAATTCATCTCCTTCATCTAAAAACTTGAAACTCCTTTAGCCATCTTGATTGTCGATTAATAGGCGAAAATCCAAGGAGTAAGCAAGGATTTCTTTAAGATGATGAATTTCTCTTAATTAGCCATAGATTCTATAGCAGTGGAAAAATTATTGTATGGATTGCCATCCTATTTATTTTTCTCTTTGTCTTAATTCACTATTGAATCTACTACCAAATCGGTCATCACCTTCCCTAATGAAGAGCAGTGTCTATCTATGCAAAGTTAAAGTCTAAATCAAAAGATAACTATGTGTAAACAAAGACACTAATAAAATCTATTTGAAGTACAAGGGGATATTCAAATAAGAAATTCATATAATATCATTAGAATTTATAGAATGATGGAATGTGAACCTTCAATCTAAACATAAAAGCAAATTGAATATTATAATTCAGGTGAATTTCCATCCTTAATCAATGATGAGGATGCTGTCATCACTCCGTACGACGAATGCTTCTAGTTCTTTTCTCCTCTTAACGAAAATCAATAAAACTAATCGAATCAATACTTTCTAAGGTCTACCTAAAAGCAGATTACCAAAAAAATCCTATTGATGGAATCAAATCTTTAGAATAGTATATCTTAATTAGTTGAAAATGAATAACAAACAATTAAAATGCTAGGGAATATTTATTAAAATGAATAAGAAGATGACACAGTCTCTTTCTAATAGGATGTATAATCAAATGCCTCTTATGAAGAATTAAGGAGATCTCACTTCTATAAAAAGTACTGTCTTTATCACACTATAATCAATTCTGATGGCATACAACCATGTATTCTTAAATCAACAATTAACTTATTTCTACTCTTGCTAATCATTTTCATATTTATCATATTGGTAAGATATTTGAATTAAATTTTAGTTTTCCATTTTTAAAGCATATGATCTCTAAAAAATAATACTGTGCTATGATCAAACTCAAATTAATCATTTTTTCATTGAACCAATCCATAAGTTCTTCTTGGCTAGATTGACTGTCCAAGATTACTTTTACCTCAGATACACAAACCAGATTAGTGAAGCTGAGAACCAATTCTATTAATCCTTTTCCTTAGCAAATGTCATTAGAGAATATTCTGTGATGCGGCTTAATTTTTAGGAACATTTTTAGGAGTAGAAATTTCAGGAATTCTTATATAGTTAATACATGATTGTGAAATAATAAACCACCCACTACATTCCGATTAATACTTCAGATTATAACATTACAGTGTAATCAGCCTTTGCTTTATTATTAGATGCATTCTACAAATAAGAATTAATTTATTTGTAATCATTTAATGTCAATATCTTAGGTGTAGCACCTCATCAAACATTCTAGTACATAAATTACATCAAATTCATTACTATATTTGACTCTATATCCAATTAGATTTAATTTGAATTCATAAATTAGATGGAAACTACTGAAAATCTGTGGGTATTCCTTTGTTTTCCAACACAATTAATTTCAACGCTTTTTCTTATAGGATCCCTTCTATATATGAGACATTTTAAAAGGATAATTGATAAATTCATTAACCTAAGATCATTTACAGATTTATAAAGTGTGAGTAAAGATCTCAAGAGACTTTCCTTTTTGATCAACCATCTCAAATCTGATTCAGACATGATCTATAAATATAGGTTTAATTTAAATGCTAAAGAATCAATAATTATGGAAAATAAAAGGGGGAAAAATACAGTTAAGGATGATGCCCTCTATAATAAATCAACACCCATCATTAAGCTGATTCAAATTTATATACTAATATTCATAGTATGTGCAGGGATGATACTTACCTTAACGTTCGTCGTAATATCATTCTATTAGCTATTCCCCAAGACATTCAATTATTTTAAGTTGTTCTCTGATGTCGGAGTCTATGTACCAGCGGCCTTCTCGCAGAAGGAAATTTTGTATTTTTGGAACAGATTTCAATTCTTCACTCCTGAAGACAGAGTTTAATTCATGGAATAAGTTTCAATAGGTATTGGGAAGATTAATTAATTCATTTCAACTGATGTTTATTTCAATGAGTTTCAGTTTTCCAATGATTTTTTAACTTATTTCCAAAATATTGGATAAAGCAATCTATGTCCATTATTAAACGAAGTAATATCTTATAATTTATAATAAAGAGCAAATATGTTGAGTTTAATTACTTTTGTGAAAATTCAAAAAATGGCATTCTGAAAAGAGGTCTATTACCAACTTTGAGTGATTTTAACTATTAATTGAAATATGAATTAGATGCTGGATTAGTTAATAGAACTACAATTCCAATTGAGGAGTTAGAAGCAGTATACCTCTGCTCAGAAGTAATAAGTTAATTGTGCGATTAAATGTTGTAAGACATCGTGAACCAAATCAATAAATTAGATAACATTTTAAATGTATTTTTTTTTTAATATTTTTCTAGTGGATACTGACATCATCTTTTATATTGCTTGTTTTTGGATGCTTCACGGTTTATTTTAGGGTTTATCCAAGAATGAAGAACAAATTAAAATATGTGAAAAAGATTACTGAAATATTTCCATAAGATACGATATTTTTAAATGATTATTTGGAAAGAGATCTCAGAAAGATAATATTAACAGAATAAATTAATTGAACAAATTAATTAATTATTATTTATTACTATTTATACTCAGATCTTTTTATTTACTAATTAGTAGATTAATTTATCTACCTCTTAGTCTTGATCAACCTTGCATTAATATATTTCAGAAGCAAATAATTTTATTTGTATTAAGAACATATGATTTTGATAAGTAAATTTTATGATCAGCTTTCCTATTATAATAACAAAAATTAATCCTTATTGCTTATTTCTCAAGTTTAATTGAGGAGACTTTTAAGTGAATCTCTTAAAATAATAGATCTCCTTAATCATCCGATAATTATATTTTGGAGGTTAAAAACCAGCTTTTTAATCAAAATCAATTCTATTTGGCAAATAATTCAATCAGAAATTATGTTAATTGATTTCAACAATAATTTTGCTAAGTAAATTTTTAACACAAATTTTATTATACTTCAATAATTGAAAAAAAGTATCTAAATAAAAATATTTTTAATATTTATTATTAAAAATTTATACAATTATTTCAAATTTTATATAAATTATTATAAATATCATAATATTGATATCCTTTTCATGCCATTCGTGTATAAGTCTATTTTAATTAATACAATGCTTTGGAAATTTTTTATTCAGAATCAGATAGAATCTCAATTTACAACTTTTGTAATTTAGAGTCTTTTTCCATCGAAGATTATGATAGTTAAAAAAATTAAGAAGATTCTCTATTTCTTTAACTTGTAGATGGCCTTTATGTAAAAATGACTTTTTTAAAATCATCAAAATCATTGGTTTTGATGTAAAGTTCATTATTCTTAATTTTCACTTAGTCTTAAGTATAATATATTTCAAATTAATTCAACTTGCATTATTCGTGCTTTATTATTAAATATTGATTTAGACTATTTGAGACTTATTGCATATCAATGAAGTATATTCTTTGTTTAAACAATTCCATATACTAAATTTTATATTCTTTTTAAGTTTTGTTGTCTATCATTCTATTATTTTTCAAATCAATTGAATGGGTAAAGGGACATTTTGAGTAGGGATAAGTAATAGGAAATGGATCAATTTATTCACCCATTTTTAGTTGTAAATATTAATTATTAATGAGTTCATTAGCATCAGAATCTTCAATAGGGATGAAATCGCCATCCATTTCAATTTAGCAGCATGAATTCCTTGAACTCTACATGGTTTCTTGAAAATCACCTTAAGTAGACTTTAAAGAAAATTAAACACTTTGACAATATTATTATACTTATGTGNATTAATTGAACAAATTAATTAATTATTATTTATTACTATTTATACTCAGATCTTTTTATTTACTAATTAGTAGATTAATTTATCTACCTCTTAGTCTTGATCAACCTTGCATTAATATATTTCAGAAGCAAATAATTTTATTTGTATTAAGAACATATGATTTTGATAAGTAAATTTTATGATCAGCTTTCCTATTATAATAACAAAAATTAATCCTTATTGCTTATTTCTCAAGTTTAATTGAGGAGACTTTTAAGTGAATCTCTTAAAATAATAGATCTCCTTAATCATCCGATAATTATATTTTGGAGGTTAAAAACCAGCTTTTTAATCAAAATCAATTCTATTTGGCAAATAATTCAATCAGAAATTATGTTAATTGATTTCAACAATAATTTTGCTAAGTAAATTTTTAACACAAATTTTATTATACTTCAATAATTGAAAAAAAGTATCTAAATAAAAATATTTTTAATATTTATTATTAAAAATTTATACAATTATTTCAAATTTTATATAAATTATTATAAATATCATAATATTGATATCCTTTTCATGCCATTCGTGTATAAGTCTATTTTAATTAATACAATGCTTTGGAAATTTTTTATTCAGAATCAGATAGAATCTCAATTTACAACTTTTGTAATTTAGAGTCTTTTTCCATCGAAGATTATGATAGTTAAAAAAATTAAGAAGATTCTCTATTTCTTTAACTTGTAGATGGCCTTTATGTAAAAATGACTTTTTTAAAATCATCAAAATCATTGGTTTTGATGTAAAGTTCATTATTCTTAATTTTCACTTAGTCTTAAGTATAATATATTTCAAATTAATTCAACTTGCATTATTCGTGCTTTATTATTAAATATTGATTTAGACTATTTGAGACTTATTGCATATCAATGAAGTATATTCTTTGTTTAAACAATTCCATATACTAAATTTTATATTCTTTTTAAGTTTTGTTGTCTATCATTCTATTATTTTTCAAATCAATTGAATGGGTAAAGGGACATTTTGAGTAGGGATAAGTAATAGGAAATGGATCAATTTATTCACCCATTTTTAGTTGTAAATATTAATTATTAATGAGTTCATTAGCATCAGAATCTTCAATAGGGATGAAATCGCCATCCATTTCAATTTAGCAGCATGAATTCCTTGAACTCTACATGGTTTCTTGAAAATCACCTTAAGTAGACTTTAAAGAAAATTAAACACTTTGACAATATTATTATACTTATGTGTAATCTGATTCATTCTCTATCACTATAAACACCTACGATACGTTGCAATTTTATAATGAAAGTTAGGAAATAATTCCCGAAATTAAAAATTATTATATTTGCTTTATATTGTTTCCAAATACACCAGATCCAATGAGCGGAAATGCAACTTATGTTATATTCAAATTTTTGCATTTTTGAAATACTTATGCGATCAAAGAGTGAATATGACATTAATAATAATCAAAATTTGTAGCTTTTCGATAAAATTTTGGATATACTTGAAATAAACATTTTAGTTGCTTTTGAAAATGCAATTCTATATGAATAACATCTTCTATATCTTTTAATTTACTTATATATTTCCAATGTTGAAATAGTTTATCTTTATTTTCTTCTCCTTCGATGAAGTTTATTAGAGTTTTGACTTAATCATTTTAAATTATCTCTTTACTAAAGTCAACATTTTTCACAAATTCTAGAACAATCGCTTAACATTTAATTTATGAGATATTTCCTTAAATGAATTTTATTTTTGCATTATTTTCTGTACTTAAAAGAAAACCTTCAGCTGAAATAGGATCAATGATAGATATATTTTTAACATCAATAATAACTTACTCTTTTTTCTCTATCTCTTTTATAAATTTGGTTTCGATTTAATTAGCATCAAATGATATACCTTCAAAATCTCATAAGATTTTTCTAATTCTTTTAAGCTTTTAAATATATTCTGAATGTCTTGCTTATAAAATTCGATTTTTAACAACTACCTTTTTGGATCATATAATGAAATACAAAATTAATGTTATTGCAATTTCTTTTGTATTTCATCTGCAAGAGATTTTTAATTGATAACAAGTTAGATTTCCATTCTATATTCCTAAAACTATTCAATCATATCATCAATTATGACTTGAATTTGCTCTAAATCTAAGCTTCTTCCTATTAGAATGACTTATTATGTATTTTCTTATGGGATTATAGGAACAATATCTTTTTCCGAAATCAGCTTTGGAAATTCTAAATGAAGATGATTAATGATTTGGAGGAAAGGAGTTTTAAAAGTAATGTATTTTAGGTCATTAATGAGGTTATTTTTTACTTAATTCTAAATTGAATTTATTGTATATTTATTTTAATAAATGACTGTAAATTAAAATTTCCCTAACTGAATACCTACTAATCTAATTTATGCTATTTTTTCCTTTTCTTGTTGTTGGAAATTATTTATTATTTTATCTAAATCACTTTAACTCATTTAAGACATTAGACTTTGTAGTTATAAATTCTCATTCTATATTTCAATATGTGCTTGAGACAATTCGTCCAACTACTATTTAATTTTTTGTCTTTCTTCTTAAAATTTTGTAAGTTTTGTTGAAATATTTACTATAAAAACATTTTCATTCTTTTTCGTCATTTTATCTTCAGTTATATGTTCATTCAATGATTTATTAAGTTTCCCTTTCAAATATTCCTGCCAAATATATATTTTTGATTCTTCTAGGTGGATTTGAACATAAGGATTATAAATTTAATATAGTTAGGCATCTAATTGGGCATAGAGTTCCTCAACATTAAAGGTTTTTTCCCCAGGACCCAGCCAAGTTTCACAACTAAATTTAACTTCTAATTAATTCTACTTAATCTACTTCGGTTGTGATGCTATGATACTTATATTCTTAAACTTTTCTTACAAGTCTTCTAATTATTTAGCAGTTTCTTAACATTCACTAAATTGAATGGATATTTCTTTAATATCATGTTAAATGAAATAATTTTTATTGATAAGTTTTATGAATTCTGATTGAAATAAACTTAAGTCTTTATCCTTTTTTTCTATTACTAAATAGAATTTGTCATATTTTAATGTTAATTTGATTTAAGAAATAAATTCATCAGGTAATTTTGTTCCATTTCCATCCTTTAAATCTTTGAGATTAATTATGACAGGATCAAAATTTGTTCCAAGAATATCTGTAATCTTTGATTGATATTATTTCACCAAATTATAGATTATGTTAGATTCCTATTTTGTTTGAGTTTCAATATTAAGTATATAATATTCATCTAATTTTTTTTATACATTATTCACAAAATAATCTATGTGACCCTTCACACTTTGTATTGTATTAGTAGGAGGTGGGATGGAGCATTATAATTTGTGAAAATCACATACAAAATCAAATCCAGATTATTATGCTTCATCTGCCAAGTCTTTCAATATGAATTAATCAAATATAAGCATCTACAAAGCAGGGGTGATTCCAATCTTTTCCTAACCTTTGAATTAATAAATCCCCCTATAAAACAAAAAATCTGCTTTCTCAAACTACGTTTCTTTAATCTAAAGTTATAGATCTTTAAATTCATTTTCTAATTCATTTTTATATTTTTCTCCCAATCTATGAGGAAAATAATGAGATAATTAGAAATAACCATTTAAATAAAGTTTATCAATGAGGTCAATTAACTTAGCTTTATAAGCTAAATCAAATGAATTCTCTTTTGTTATTCTTGCAGTTATTTCATATCCTGGGTATTTCTCTTATGTCCCTACCGTTTCTACTTGGTTGTTGGCAACTTATTTGTTCAACTAAATTTTCAATTTTGGATTAGGATATTAATGTACATATTTTTCTCCTTCATTTGAGACAACATCCTCCACTTGGGTACCATTTTCTACTTTTTTTCCATTTATTTACTTTCTTTGATTTAGGCGAAATCCGCTACTATGAGTTTTTCTCATAGAATCAGAGTTCATCATATAAAAAATTTATTCTTAATATTAATAAAATTTAAATCTATTTAAGAGGCTTTGAAGGTACAAACTTCCCTCTTTCTTAATTTAATCAAATAGAGGGTTTCTTTCTATAATTTAATAAATTTAAGTCCTTCATTTATATATAAATATTATATAATGGACCCATAACTGGATTAATACATGAAAATTAAGAAGGCTCATTTCATAAATTCAAGCATTAAAAGTAGTGATAATAATTGTACTTTAATAGCGAATATAAAGAAGGATTATAAATTCATAAAGGAAATAGGAGCAGGTGGTTTTGGTGTAGTGTTTGAGACTGAATAGAAATCAACAGGTATAAGATGTATGTTCATTAGGTATTAAAAGAGCAATTAAAGCAATTGCAAAAGATCGTGTAGTAGATAAGGAAAGCTTCAAGAATGAGTTATCGATCCTTAGAAAGATTGTAATATTTAAATTTGAGTAGAGGATCATCCAAATATTCTGAAGATGTATGAAGTCTACGAAACTGAGAAGACTGTGTATTTGGTAACAGAGTAAGTAAAATGAGTATGATAGGATGTGCGAGGGAGGGGAACTATTTTACTACATCACCAAGACTTAGCATTTGACTGAGATGCAAGCAGCCAAGATAATGAGATAAATATTTACAGCAGTAGCATATCTACATGAGCATAAAATAGTTCATAGAGATTTGAAGCCAGAGAATTTCTTATTAAAAAATAAGGATGATGAGTCTTCAATTAAATTGATTGATTTTGGATTGGCTAGATTTTTCAGGGAAGATGAAGTCATGACCTAGCCAAATGGCAGTCTCTTCTATATAGCTCCAGAGATCATTAAAGGCCAATATTCATATGAAGTTGATTATTGGTCCTTGGGAGTTATTTTATACGTGATGATGTGTGGATAGCCACCATTTCCAGGAAGGAATCCTTAAGAGACTATAAAGAATATATAGAAAGGGATATTCACATTTTCAAAGGCTGGATTCAAGGGAGCAAGTGAAGAAGTAATTTAATAAATATTGAGGAGAGGTTAGGGATTTAATTTAGAAATTGTTAGTGATGGAGCCTAAGAGAAGATTTACTGCTAAATAAGCTTATAATCATCCTTGGGTATAGTAATAGGTTAGTCATGAATTGATGAATTTGAGATTGCATGATGATACTATCAAAGGTCTAGAGAAAATGATAAATGCATAATAAATGAAGAAAACAATGTTATTATATTTAGCAACATTTATACCTGAAAATGAAGTAACTTCATTAAGATAATTATTTGTCTCATTGGATAAAGATGGGAATGGTATGATTTCATTGGAGGAAATGATTGAAGGATTGACTGGGTTTAAAAATATGAAACATAAAAATATGGATAAGAACTTCGTAACTCAATTGTTTAAAGCTATGGACATTGATTAAAGTGGATATGTGGATTACAGTGAGTTTATAGCTGCATTTCTGGTGTGTCCATAGTTTTAAAATGAAAGATTCATTGAAGAGCAATTTAAAAGAATAGATTAAGATAACAGTGGCAGAATATCTAAAAATGAATTGATGGATATTTTTCATACTGACACTATATCCATAAAAGACATAGATATTGAAGAATTGATTAAATAAGCAGATATAAATAAGGATGGGGAGGTATTAATTTGTTATTATGATAAGATTGATTATTAAGAATTCATGATCCTTCTAAGGGATAGATTTGCAGATTAGATTAAACAATGACTATTTGATAAAATTATTAATAATTAATATGAATCAATTTTTTCAGAAGAATTCTCTATTTAATATAAGTAATGCTATTTCTTTCTGAGTTGGACACTATTTTGGTAAAAGATAGAGACAAATCGTCTAATCCTAATTATGTTCTTCAAGAACTAAGACAAAAAAAGATCGCAGACACCACACTAATATAATCAAGAAAGACTCAAATTCTTTCCAAACATAAACTTTGATCCTATAATTTTAGAAATAATAAAATAATAATTCTTTTGATAGTTTCGAAAAATTTTGCACATTAGAAATGCTAAGTAGATCAACTACTCTAGGATGCAATTTTCAATAATTTGAGAATTAGAGAATCGCCAAAGTTTTAAGATCATCTCCATTCACATTCAAGGTTGCTTATTTATAAAATTACATCTTGAGTAAGTTTATAGGATTTCTTGATTAATTTAGTTGGGGAAGCACAATATGATTAAATGCTTTGATGTTTCTCCAATTAATTCAACATAAACTTTGAATTTTTATTAATCAATCAATAATATATTAAGAAATTCAACGTAGATCGGATGTCAAAACATTCAAGAAGATCAAATTCAATGTTTACTCTTTAGAATTTGAAAGGAATAAACAAACCAAGAATTGGTATAGATAGTTAATTAAGTGATGTGTTGGAAAAGCAATGTTGATTTTGTTTTTCATTATTTGAGAAAATCCCATAAATAAGAATATATGCAATGTATGCTCACATTGTTCTAATATTGGCTAGTGAAATCAATTAAGGATCATATAGGATTGAAAAAATTGAAATTCAATTGTAAACTTACACTTATTTTGTAGAATAAGGAAGAAACATAGTTCCAATATCATTAAACAATACAGAATTATGAGTACATTCAATTATAATGTCATAAATTTAACGCAATGTTAAATTCAAATCAATCTCCAAGATAACAAGGTTTCATTTTAGAAATTTTTGATTATCAAATAAATTCAAACATCAATGCTTATAGCTTTCAGTTACAAAAATCCTTAATCTATAAATCTAAAAGAAGGGAGTTAATCCATTAATGAATTATATTTCTCAATAACCCTAAGTTTTTTTGATTATTATTAATCAAATAAATTATGCAAGAAGAAAAAGTGCGTGTATATCAGATTTGACAATATAATAGAAATAGTATTTGCAATCTGTGAATATAATCTATTAATGTACTATATATTCATAAATCATATATTTCTCATTATGTGAATGGTAATACTCCTCTTTGTCTAAGAATTGCTTCCAAAGCTGAAGCACTCTATCCCTTTTATCTCAAATACCCAGCTAAGATCACTGTGTTATTCTTTTTATTGTAAACTCCATTCTCATCAACCTTTTTTGTTATTAACAATCAATACTTATCCAACATTAATTTATACACTTGAGTAATCGCTGCTATTCAGAATCATATTTGTATATTAGCACTTTCTTGGAACATAAATATCAACAACCTATTTTTCATCATTGATCATTCCTGCATTTTCTTGAATTCTGTGAGCCATAATATTAAAAAAGATTTAAATTTTTTTATATATATTTAATTAATTCACAATTGCTTAATCTGAAAGAACAAAAAGCATAACTTGTAATTAAAAGTAAATGATATTACTTTTTCTTCCATAAAATGATACATATAGCAATGAGAAATATTTTGCTTTTTATCGTGACAACACGTGATATTTAAAGAAAATTTTAGTTCTTGATCCTGTAAGAAGTACGATCAAAAAGGAATTTCTATAAATTTCAACTATCATTGATAATTTAATTCAATAAACTATTCTAATCATAAGACCTTTTAAATAGAAAATTATGAAAAAGAGATAATCTAAAAGTACTTTGTCTACTCAAAAAAGCCAATATAAAAAAGTAAATTCCAAACTTGAACAAAATTGGGGATTTGGATTTATTATGTAGATTAGATCAAGAGATTAATAAGATGAAAACATTGTTAAGTAATTAACTGTACAACTATTTATTTGTCTACATTATCAATTTTTTTTTCAGTTACTCTAAATAATAATGATAATTGGCAAATGAGTGTATTTTTGAAAATTCCGCTTGATAGTTTTAGAATCCTAAAGAATAATAGCATAATTATTAGTGTTAATCAAATAATTAATTATTACCAGAAATGACAGAATCAAAATTCAAATTCTTCAATATAGATCTCGATTTATTATCTAATCTGTTTAACCTGAAATGAATGCCATTCTTATATTAATTATTAAATAGAATTAATAGTAATTGAAATAATCTACCGATATCAATTGTTTATGATCAATTATAAATTTAATTTTAAAAATTCGTTAAAAAATGAATAATCAAGTCCAATTTCCAAAAATTGATTAATCTCCTAGAATATTTTAATCAGGAGTTCATTCATAAGTCAAGTCTAATTAAAGTTTGGCGAAATCTTGTTACAGGGATGAAAATGAAATGACAGGATATAGAAATTTCAAAAGTAAGTTAATGAATAAATTAGATGAGTAAATGACAGAAAGAAATTTTTTTAATCCTTAATAGTCTTTAGGAACTGAAATAACTATATCACTAAATCAAAGAGAGTGGCGAAGGAACAATTGCAAAGAATAGCTATAATAATTTATTGATAGTTATTATGCTGAAGGTAAAATTAAAATAACTGTTACATTTGATACTACTTTAGGAGAAAGTCAATAAAAAACAGAAAAAAAACGTTTTAATTTATTGAATTTGTCTATAAAATAAACAGCAATTGATGAAGAAGATAAATTGTGTTAATAAAGGATTTACCAATTTAAAGGAAAGTAGGAGAATAATCTATAAGGTCATATTGAAATGATTATATATGGTCATTCGTTTTTTCCCTATTTTGAAAAGTTAGTTTTGGAAGTGGGAGGAAAAATACTATTCAAATATGATGATTGTCTCTTATAAATACCTCCACCCTAAATTAGACAAGTAAATATTAACGATTTAGATCGATGTTTTGATACTATTTGCGACTATTTAGAAAATACTACAATTCTTCAAATTGAGTGTTCATCTAATGCAGAAGCATTAGCAAAATATAATATTTTAATCAAAAAAGAGGTTTATTAATTAATTGAGAGAAGTTTAAATGTTGTATGCTGGGATGTTGTATATTTGAATTTGGAAATAATAAAAATGAAAATTTAAGTCAATGAATTATTCTTATAACATGATTAACTTTATTTCTTAATCCAAAATAATGGAAAAAGTATAGTAGAATAATAAAATAAACTGAATGAAATCCTTAAATCAAAAGAAATTATAAAAAAGGAAAGTATAACAGACAGTATAATATTTTATGATTTGCCAGAGGAAGAAGATATCATTTAGATAAAAATCAATCATCTTAGAAGATAGTATCCTTAGATAAATATTGAAATATCCAATCATCAAACTTTATAGGACTAAAAACTGTAGCTACAATTTACAACAACTACTTGGTTAGTTAAAGATTAGGAAAAAACGGAATTTATAAAATAAGCCAAAGATATTAAATCTAAAATTGAAGAAATACATTTGCCATACAAAATTATTAAAATCCCCCAAAATCAAAAGGTGATTTGGGAAAACTATCTTTCGGAATACTTTTTAAGATATTCATCTTGTTTTTCAGTACATTCGAATGGTGATGATATAGAAATAGCATTAAAAACAAATTAAGAAAAATGGAGAGAGCTAGAAAAACAACTTAGTACTAAATTATAATCATGCACATGGCAAATTATTAAATTGGAAGCCAAACCTTTAATATTAAATTTGTTAAAAAATTGTAAGGAAAAAAATAAATTATTTAACTAAGTTTTTAAAAACCTACTTTCAGATTTTCAGGATAAGGTTAATATTACCATTAAAGAAGTAGATGAGAAAAATATTTTATGTTTAGCTGTTTTGGATAAACATTTTGAAATTAAAAAAGTACAGGAGATACTAGAAACTCAGTTTATGGCTAATTTGAGTGTGAAAAAACTTAATTTACTTTACAAAGAGAGTCTTGAATACTTTAACATTTAAGTTCCTGAGTAAATATCAAAAAATGACATTTTTGTACATCAAGGCAATTTAGATCAATAGAATAAACATCAAGCATTCTTTTTGGGTCTAAATTAGCACCTTAAAGAAACAAACGAGTTTTTAAAAGATTTAAAGAGTAAATATCAAAATGCATGGATTACATAAGAATTTAAAGTTGAAAATACATTAATTTATAACTGTTTATAATCGAAATATCGTTTAAAAGAAATTGAATTAAAGCTAGGAGCAACCATAGATTTTACTAAAGAACCTTACACTAATTTAAGTAAGATTGTCATTACAGGGTTCTAAAACTACATAATTGAATTATTAAAATAATTATCTATGTTAGAAAACAGAATTAAAGGACTTTCTATAGTTAAAAGTCTACCCCTTAATAATTAATAAATTAATTAATTAACTGCTAAGTTTTAATAATTGCAATAAATTTAATAAAAAACATCTAGCTATTTTGAATTCAAAAGTATTACTAGTTTCAATCCTGAAGAATCAATTTTGGAGAAGTTAACATTTGAAGGAAAAGAATTGTGTATTGTTAAGGGTGATATCACCCAAATTTAGTGCGAGGCAATCGTATATTAAATAATGAATGATAAGTGTGAATTTGGAGAAATTGGCTTGTAAAATCAATAAGTTAAAAATTTATTATCAATTACTAATAATGATATATTAAAATTTTTCAAAGAAATAATGAAGGATAAACAATTCTTAAATCCTGGGGAATTATTTTATTACAAAGTTAATACTGACTCCCATGTAGATCATATATTTAATATTTATCCTCCCACTTATAGGCAAGCAAAGACTTTGGTTCGTGACTAAAAAATAATACAGGAATTGATTTAGAATATTTTTTAATTGGCCAAAGAAAAGAATATCAAATAAATTGCCTTTCCAGTTATTAGCGTTGAAATTTTTGGTTTTTATATGAACATGGCCAGCTAAATTCTTTTGAAAGAAATCATAAATTGTTTGTTTCAAGAGGATTGTAATATTAAATAGATTTTCATACTTGAAAATGATGATTTAAGATGTAAAAGATTGACATATCAATTAAATCATCTTTTATCTGATAACCCATTATAAAAGACCGAAAATTATGTAAAATACTAATGGTAATGGTTTGAGTAAGATCATTTTGAAGATTATGACGATTATGAAGTTAATAGAAAAATTTGCAAATTTTACACCTAATTCGAGAAAGGTTAAGATTAACAATTTAATATATTATATCCTTACAGTAAATACCCTGGAACACATCTAATAGATTTAGACAAACAACGAATTTGGGACAAAACTCACAATAATTCAGAGCAAACTATAATTTCCATTGATAACTTTGGTGAGAGAAAATACTATATAGATGGAAAATAAGTTTCTGATGATTTAAATAGATATTTGATATAATAGGAAATCTAAGGAAAAAGAAAGTTTGATATATTCTATAAATTCTATGAAATATACCTGACTAAAGAAGGACACTACTAAAAAAATTTGTAGTTTGGAAATATTAGGCCAATATAGTTTATTCCATATGAGAACCGGAATGAGGAAAATGTTTTGATTAGGTAAAATTCTCAGTTTAAGATTGAGAAACTTATTGAAGCATCTAATAAGGAGGAAAATGGATCTAAAGTCATCTTCTTTGAAATTAATTAACAGAAATAAGTGAAATATGATCAGGTACTTGTTCACACTCTATATGACGATGAAAATATGGCGGAAACTAAAATATTGGAATTGTTGGAAAATACACCTAGATTAAAATCAAAAATTTAAGTAACGAATAGGAGGAGCACAGAATAGATAATCTAAGTTCTTTCTCCTAATCGAAAAATTGTAGCAAAGAGATAGCCACTCTAAGATAAAAATTGAATAAAATTGAAAATATATAGAAATATTTATTAAATTAAATTTCTTATAAAATATATGATAATTTTTAAGCATATCAAAAGTTATTCTTAAGTTTCCTCAATATTCTGCTTAAGTGTTGAATATATATTACATAAGACGATGCTAATCGCTACTTTAAATGAAATTATTTTTGAAAACTAACCCGGTTTTATATTTTAATACATTTGGGTTTCAGAAATGAGACAATAATAATAAGAAATAATTTAAGAATTTTTAAAATAACCTCTCCAAGTTTGCAATTAATTCTGGATATTCCTTAGTAATTAGTTAATAGAATTTGCTGATATTTCTGTTAAAATTCCTTTTTGACTAGAAACTTATTAAATGTAGGTAAATTTAACCAATTTTCTTTTGAAGTGCTTATTTGACATTGAGAAAAAAAAAGAAACAAAATAAACTTAGCTAGATCAACAACAGAATAGAGTTATCAACATTGTTTATTAAATTTTTAAGGAGCATAAAAATATTATAATAAATTTTTATATTATGTTTGATGTACAAATGTGATTTGTAAGAGCCGCCAACAGTTTTCCATAATGCATTAAATATTCAAGGAAGGCTTTTCAAAGCACAAAATTCCATTGATATAATACAGTTAAGGAAATATAGAATTTAGAATGTTATGGTGAGTGAAGGTTTGCAATAGTTATAAAATATATAAAAATTATCATTAAATGATCAGGTTTATAAACTTATGATTTTATCGTTCTATGACAAATCATTACCAATGTATGGAGATTGAAAATTAGCCAAACACTTATTCCAATCCAAAGTTGTCTGAAAAATGGAAAAATAAATCAAATTAAATCTAAATTTAGAATGAGTCGAAATTGTCCTACCATTCTTCATTATTTTATGTTTAGAATCCTTTTTAAACTTGAAATAGTAGCTTCATCGAAATTATTCTCTAAATATAACAAGATTGGCAAGTATATTAAAAATCGCATTATATAATAAAATACTTGTTTTCAATACTTTACAGTAGTTTAGTGAACGGCTTAATATTTACCCTTAAAGTACACAATCAAGTATCATTCATCTTTAAATCAAGCACGAGAAAGAAAAGAAAGCTTCATATGACATCTTCATATTATTTGTCATAAATTAATAATGATTAAAATCAGATTTAGAAGAATAGAAAATAAATGTATTTATTCAAAGCTCACATGGTCGTAATCCTATATTAATTTTAAGACCAACTTTGCTTTTAATTTTCATTCCTGATTAATCATATTAGAGTTGATATTATATAAACTAATCAATTATATTTATAAAAAATTTTAGAATCAGAAGACCAGGCCAATTTATTGTGCCAAATATTCACTTCTTATATGCCAAATCAAACTGTCTATGAACCCTTTTTGATTTAAGGTAAAAAAATATGAAAAGCGAAATAAAAATGTTACGGTTTAACGAATTTCTAAAAATTTGAAGTGTGAGAGTATTTGTTAGTTCAGATTTAAAACAAATTTTTGTTAATCTGATAAATAAAATGTTAAATTCAAGTTAGTATATTAGTATTAAGAATTATCTAGACACTTCAATCTTAAGTATATTCAGAAAATTATTAAGGCAATTCAATTTTATGTTTACTGTCATTCGAATCAAAGGAATATTAAAGTGAGATATAAAATAATTAAAAATAAATTGTTATGTATAATTAACTACAATTATAAAAAAATAAAAATTTAAATAAGGAATACTAATCTGAAATTGAGGTGCTCTTCACCTATTCTTGTTACAATTATTGTGTCTAGTGTCTTCATATTTCAAACTTTCTTATTTATCATTTAGTAATTTATTTCTGGGTGAAAGCTTATATATATTATTCTAATCATTGTGTAAGAAATCACTTTCATGCATTTCGAACTAAAAAAGCATCCTGTTAAATAAAGAATGCAAAAACAAATCTAAGTAAAGTACTATTTGGTCTTTTTAACCAATAAGGGAAGGTACATGTGTATATCAATTTCCATACTTTTTTTCATTTTTCTTTCTTTCATTGTTCTTCTGCTTTTCATTTTTTCCTTGTGATGGAGAAAGCTTTTAGAAGAAAACCAAATATTCTAAGCTTAAGCAAGTTGAGTGACTTTAGCCTGCTTTGGTGATCTCTGAATGCTAAGCTGATCAAAAACTTAAAATATTGAAAATCAACAGAGTAGAAATGAAGAACACATTCAGATTGTGCCTTTAACTTCATCACTTAAAGCCTTCAATACTAATTGAATTTATATTAGTATAAATATTAATGAGGACAATTATTTAAAAAAATAAATTCTGGTTCAAAAACTCAAAGATTATATGATCTAATTTAATTATTGTAAAAATTAATATTTATTCTGATTAATTTAACTTGAAAAAATTTTGAACTTATAATTAATACTTTCAATGAATAAATAATTCATGATATTAGCATTGTTGCTAGTTTTAGCAGCAAGTCAAACCTATAGTATAACATCATGCACATGTGCATAATTGTTATCAGAAGGAGATTGTTTAAAAAATACTTCACTTGGTTGTGCATGGGACAGTACAAAAAAAGCTTGTGCAGTTTCTACAACACCAGTCACTCCAACAGTGACCTATGCTGCATATTGTGATACCTTTGCTGAAACAGATTGTCCAAAAGCAAAACCATGTACAGATTGTGGAACTTATGCTGCCTGTGCATGGGTTGATAAAAAATGTACCTTCTTCACAGGATGCACAGCCTTTGCAAAAACAACAGACGGTGACTGTTAAGCAATAAGTAATAGATGTATTACAGATGGAACTCATTGTGTTGAAGTCGATGCTTGTAGCACATACAAGAAATAACTACCTTGCGTGAAGAATGCAGCTGGTAGCTTATGCTACTGGGATACAACAAATAACACTTGTGTAGATGCTAACACATGCGATAAATTACCTACAACATTCGCTACAGACAAAGATTGCAGAGATGTCATTTCAACTTGCACAACAAAGACAGGAGGTGGATGTGTCGACAGTGGAAATAATTGTAGTGATTAAACATTAGAAATTCAATGTGTGTGGAATAAATTAAAATCAGTTGCATGTTATTGGGATGGAGCTGCATGCAAAGACAGAATTTGTGATAATGCACCAACATCATTAACAACCGATGATACTTGTAAATCTTTTAGAACTGACGGAACATGTACAACTAAGGCTAATGGAGGATGTGTCACTAGAACCACTTGTGCAGCTGCTACTATCTAAGCTGCTTGTGTTAAAAATAGTTCAAATGGGGATTGCTATTGGACTGGAACTGCATGTGTTGATAAGACATGTACAAATGCACCAACAACTATGACAACCAATTCAGCTTGTGCTGGATTCGTAACAGGTTGTATCACCAAATCAGGAGGAGGTTGTGTTTCCAATGGAGCATGTTCAGCTGCAAATGTCTAAGCAGCTTGTGTGAAAAATACATCTGGAACTGATTGCATTTGGGATACTACATGCAAAGAAAAGACATGCGCAAATGCACCTACTACCAATAACACTCATGATTTATGTACATCATATTTATCAACATGCACTGTTAAATCTGGAGGTGGATGTTAATCTAGAACTTGTGCAAATGCTCCAACAACAATAACAACTAATGATGCATGTGAAGCATATTTACCAGCCAGCAACTGTATAACAAAGAGTGGAGGTGGATGCGTAACAAACACTACATGTGCAGTAATTACTTTAGAAGCTGCTTGTGTTAAAAATTCTTCTGGAGCCATTTGTTTCTGGGATTCTGCCAGTTCAACTTGTAAAGATAAAACTTGTGCTAATGCTCCTGCAACTAATACTACTAACGATTTGTGTGTTGCCTTTTTATCATCTTGTACATTAAACTCAACCAGTGCAGGTTGTGTTGATAAAACATGCGAAAATTCATTGGTATAAACAATTTGTGATAAAGATCTCAACAATAAAGCTTGTATTTGGAAAGGAAAATGCTATAAAAAAGAGTGTGTTTTGGCTTCATCAACCACAGCAACCCATGCAGATTGCTAAACTTATGATGTAGGTTGTACTTTGAGCAATACTGGTACTGGATGTGTTCCTCTACCCCTTAAATGTGAAGCTATCACAATTGAAGCTGCTTGTAATATTAGATTGTAAGTTACAAATGGAGTTAAATCCTATCCATTATGTGGTTGGAATGGTTCATCTTGTATTGATAAAGCTTGCTCTACTGCTCCAAAGACTACAGCAACAACATCTGATTGTGGTACATACAAATCAGGTTGTGTAGCAAATAACCCTGTTAGCGGAGCAATTTAAGGATGCTAAGACTTACCAACAACTTGTGCAGCTAGAAAATCAACTGAAAATTGTGAAATCACAAGAGTTGGATTCCCAACATGCTTATGGAATAGTGCTACTTCAGCTTGTGTTGAAAAATCTTGCACTACTGCTAGCGTTACAACAACAACAGGATTCTTGACAGTTTTTAGTTCTTCAAATTGTTCTACTTATTTGACTTCTTGTATTGCCAATAATACAGCAGATGGTTGCATTCCAAAACCATCAAGTTGTGGTTCTTTGACATCATCAGCTAATTGCACAACTGGTTCAAAAGCAAATGGAGATTGTTATTGGAATGGTTCTACTTGTGTTGATAGAACATGTGCAAACATTTCATTATCCACTCACTCTGGTTGTTAAGGTGTTTTGAATACATGCACAACGAATAATGCAAAAACAACTTGTTAAAGTTTAGCTACAGCTTGTACTTCTTATGGATCAAGCGAAAATTGTAAGTAAACTTCTGCTGGAAAAACTTGCATATGGACTGGAACAGCTTGTAGAAATGCAACATGTGCAGATGCAGCAGATACTGCTTCTTACCAATCAGATTCATAGTGCTCAGCTTATCCAACACCAAGCGATACTTGTACAGTTCTATACAAAACTTAAGCATTAGGATGTGTGACAAGATCAGCTAATTGCAGTGACTATGTATCATCAGCTTAATGCTATAGAACCTTAACAGCTGCATCAGATGACTGTACATGGAAATCCTCTCATGGCAAATGCTTTTCTAATACATATCTTCAAGGTGCATGCTCAACCTTTTAAGGTACCAAAACTTTATGCGAAGCTATTAAACTTGGTTGCACCAATACAAATAGTGCTGTTGAAACAGATACTTGCACATTCTCTTGTGCTCTTGTAACAGGAACAAGTTTAACCCATTCAGGTTGTTAAGGATATAGTACAACATGTACTGCTAATTCAGCTGGAACTGCTTGTCTTATATAAGCAGCAGCTTGCAGTACTTACACAGCCTAAGGTGATTGTGTTAGAAGAACAGATGGTTTATCATGCTTTTGGAATGCTTCTGCTTCACCTGCTGCTTGTCAAGATATTACTTCAACAAATTGTAATGCACTCACATCATTAACAAGCGCAACTCATGCCACATGTCAAGCATATAGTACTGCTTGTACTGTTATTTCTGATGGAACAGCATGCCAAGCATTATAAGCAGCTTGCTCTAGTTACTCAGCGCAAACTGCTTGTACTAAAAGAACAGATGGCTTAAAATGCTTTTGGAATGCTTCTGCCTCACCTGCTGCTTGTCAAGATATTACTTCAACAAATTGTAATGCACTCACATCATTAACAGGCGCAACTCATGCCTCATGTCAAGCATATAATACTGCTTGTACTGTTATTTCTGATGGAACAGCATGCCAAGCATTATAAGCAGCTTGCTCTAGTTACTCAGCGTAAACTGCTTGTACTTAAAGAACAGATGGCTTAAAATGCTTTTGGAATGCTTCTGCTTCACCTGCTGCTTGTCAAGATATTACTTCAACAAATTGTAATGCACTCACATCGTTAACAAGCGCAACTCATGCCACATGTCAAGCATATAGTACTGCTTGTACTGTTATTTCTGATGGAACAGCATGCTAAGCATTATAAGCAGCTTGCTCTAGTTACTCAGCGTAAACTGCTTGTACTTAAAGAACAGATGGCTTAAAATGCTTTTGGAATGCTTCTGCTTCACCTGCTGCTTGTCAAGATATTACTTCAACAAATTGTAATGCACTCACATCGTTAACAAGCGCAACTCATGCCACATGTCAAGCATATAGTACTGCTTGTACTGTTATTTCTGATGGAACAGCATGCCAAGCATTATAAGCAGCTTGCTCTAGTTACTCAGCGTAAACTGCTTGTACTTAAAGAACAGATGGCTTAAAATGCTTTTGGAATGCTTCTGCTTCACCTGCTGCTTGTCAAGATATTACTTCAACAAATTGTAATGCACTCACATCGTTAACAAGCGCAACTCATGCCACATGTCAAGCATATAGTACTGCTTGTACTGTTATTTCTGATGGAACAGCATGCCAAGCATTATAAGCAGCTTGCTCTAGTTACTCAGCGTAAACTGCTTGTACTTAAAGAACAGATGGCTTAAAATGCTTTTGGAATGCTTCTGCTTCACCTGCTGCTTGTCAAGATATTACTTCAACAAATTGTAATGCACTCACATCGTTAACAAGCGCAACTCATGCCACATGTCAAGCATATAGTACTGCTTGTACTGTTATTTCTGATGGAACAGCATGCCAAGCATTATAAGCAGCTTGCTCTAGTTACTCAGCGTAAACTGCTTGTACTTAAAGAACAGATGGCTTAAAATGCTTTTGGAATGCTTCTGCCTCACCTGCTGCTTGTCAAGATATTACTTCATCTAATTGCTCTTTAATCACAGGATTATCAAGTGCAACTCATGCCACATGCTAAGCATATAGCACTGCTTGTTATCTTAATGTTGCTGGAAATGCATGCTAAGCATTTAGCACATGTGAAGCATTAACAGGTTCAAGTCTCACTTGGGCTCTTTGTTAAGCTTATAGTACTACATGTAGTGTTAAAAGAGATGGAACTGGTTGTGTAACAATTTAATCTGCTTGTACTGGATACACAACAATGGCCAATTGTTATAGATCAACTGCTGGATATTGTACTGCTAATAGTGGTGATACTGCATGCCAAGCTATATCAGCTTCAACTACTTGTGAATCAATTAAATTAGGATCAGGATATACTTTTAGTGATGCTATATGCAATACTTTAAAATCTGGTTGCATAGCATTAGCCACATCAGGATGTTAAACCAAGACATGTGCTAATAAAACAACACCATTTGCTCATTCAGATTGTAATACTTGGTTAAGTACATGTACTTCAAACGCTGTTTCTTCACCAACTGCCTGCACAACTATGGCAGCCACATGTGCTAGTTTGACAACAGCAGCATGCGTTTACGCAGTTGAAGGTGAATGTGTTGTCTCAGGATCATCTTGTGTCAGAAAAACTTGTGATACAGCTTCAGCAGATACAAGCTTTGACTCACATGCTGAATGTATTGGATATCTATCTACATGCACAGTCGCAAGAACAGGAGGTTGCTAAGTAAGAGCTACTTGTGCCTCATACAAATCAACTTAATAATGTAAATTCAATTCAACTGGTGGAAAATGTTTCTGGAATCCTACTAATAAGACATGCGTTGATTTGAATTGTGGTAACATTGAAGCCACAACATCTTACGATACTCATACTGAGTGTGTAGCAGTTGATGCATCTCTCCTTTGCACAGTTAGAGCTACAAATGGAGCTGCTGTTGCTGGTTGTATGGCTAGAGGTGCCTGCAGTTCTTATTCAATAGAAGATTAATGCAAAACTAATTCAAGTGGAGGTGTCTGTGTTTGGAACACAAACTTAACTACACCAGTATGCTAAGATAAATCATGCACAACCGCTCCAACTGCAACAGCAACTCATGCTGATTGTGATGCCTATTTCTCCACAACTAGCATTAAATGCACAGTTGTTGCTACACCAGATACAAATGGTGGTACCCCAGTTTTAGGAGGATGTTAATAGACAGCAGCTTGTTCTACTTATATCCATTAAGAATAATGCAGATTCAACGCTACAGGAGATCTTTGTGGATGGAATGGAACTTAATGTGCAGATAAGTCATGTGCTACTGCACCTGCAACTACTGATTATGATGATAATGATAAATGCAGAGCATACTTTAATAATAAATGTACAGTTGCAAGCTCAGGATAAGGATGTGTTGATATTCCAGATACATGTGAATCTATGACATAAAAGTAATGTGTTTCTGATAAGACTGGCAGATCATGCTATTGGAATGGAACAGCTTGTATCACAAGAACTTGTGAAAATGCCCCAGATTCAACAGCTTCAGCTGATGACTGTAATACATATCTTGCTGGATGTACTTTGGATTCAGTAAAATGTAAGACAAAAGTTTGTGAAGATTTTGCTTTTGCCACCGATGCCTTATGCAAATAAGCCTTAAGCACATGTACAACAAATGGAACAAATTGTGTAACAAGAGGAACTTGCTTCTAAGCTTTGAACTAGGCTGGATGCGTTACTTCATCAACAAATCTATAATGTGAATGGATGCCAGCTGTAGGCACTAACTAAGCATATTGTACAGTTAAGACATGTAATACAGCCCCAGCAACATTAACCACTGAATCAGCTTGCGCAAGTTATTTCACAAATTGCACAACAAAGAATGGTGGTGGATGTGTTACCAAATCAACTTGTTCTGCTGTTACTATTGATGTTGCTTGTACAACTGCTCTTAATGGAACTGTTTGTGCTTGGGATAGTGCATAAAATAAATGCAGAGATAAAGATTGCTAGGATTTCAGTGGAACTACTCATGCTGCATGCCAAACCTAAAGAGCTGGATGTACCGCTGGTGCCAATGGAAAATGTGCTAGAGTCTAAAATTGTGAATAAACCACAATTAGAAGTGCCTGCATTGAGGGAACAAATGGACCATGTTTGTGGATAAGCAGCTACGTTAACACTGATGGATCCACAGGAGCTTGCTTTAGATATACCTCATGCAAGAGTTTGACTTGGAATTCTGATTCATCATGCAAATGGATAAGTAACTAATGCACAACAAATGGATCAAATTGTGTTGGAATTACTTTATGTTCTGAAACAAATACTGATGGTGGATGTGTTACAGGATATGATGGAGCTTGCATTCAATCAGTCCCAGCCTTGAATTCTTCAGATCCAAAGGTTTGCAAACCATATACATCTTGTGCTGATGCCTTCTACACAACTCATTCTGATTGTTAAATTGCTAGTAAGAAGTGTACAACAAATGGAACAACTGGTTGCATTGCCTTAGGTGCTTGCTCATCATACACTACCTAAGCAGGATGTTATTTCAACGACAAAGGAGCTGTTTTAACATCTGGAGCCATTACTTCAACAGGTATTTGTACTTGGGATACCACTGCTAGTAGTTGCAGAGATTAATCATGTGCTGATTTGACTGGAACAACCCATGCAACATGTTCTTCATAATTATCAACATGCACATCGGATGGTACAAGCTGCTTACTCAAAGGAGCATGCACATCATACACTACTTAAACTGCCTGCACAACAGCAGTTGGATCAGATGGTATTTGCTATTGGGAACTTGCTTCTGCTACAAATAACAACACAGCCAAATGTAGATTACTTGCTTGTGCTGATATTCAAAATGGTACATCAACCAATGTTTGTGCAGTTGCCTTGTCATCATGTGTTTCAAATGGAACTGCTTGCATTGCAAAAGCTAACTGCTCAACCTATACAACTAAGACAGCATGTAATTCAGGTGGATTAGATGGAATCTGTGTATTCACTTAATCAACTGCCACAGGAGCTGCTGCTGGTACTGGAACTTGTGCATTAATGACAGCATGCACAACTGCTAGTAATGATTAACTTGCTTGCTAAGCTGCTAAGGATAGATGTTCATGGACTGCAGCATCAGGAACTGGAGCAACAGCAGTTGCTAGTAAATGTGCCACTCACACTTGTGCTACAAACTAAGCTACCAATGGTGCTTGCACAAGATTCTTGAATTGGGATAAAAAGACTTAATAAATTTGTACTCTTGTTAGTGGAACATGCACAGCCACAGACCCATCAACTTTGTCATTAAATGATTGCTTCTAGGTTTCTGGATATACTTATACTTGGAATGCATCAACAAGCAAATGCGGAGTTTGCACTGCAGTTGTAGTTTAACCAAATACATCAGATAATAATACAAACAATACAACTAATTAAACAACAACTGATTCAGGATATATTCTTGGATTATCAACAATCGTTTTGGGATATCTCATGTTCTGATGAGAATGATTTATAAATTTATATAGGGAAAAATTATCTTAAATTTGAAAAAATATATCTTATTTTTGGTTCTCAATAAATTGATTAAATTTTTCTTCTGATATTGATAAGAAGGCTATGCTGTTTCCGTAATTTTTATATACTACTCTGATTTTGCGTTTAATTCTAACCAACTTCTTTGTTTAAGAATAAATTTAAATTATTTTCTTAAAATAGTTAGAACCAAAGATTTTAATAAGCATGTATTTGGAAATTATATTATGCTGCCTGATATTTAGTTAGGCTCCTATTGGTTGCATCAGAATGGTGAAGAAAATCGAACTCTATTGATTATGTATAAATATAAAAATAGCAAACTGTTCGATGTCAAATCGTTTCATGATTGTTAACCCAGGCTTCTTACATTCCTGACTTCAGTTCATAACATAGTTTAAAAACTTAAAAAAACAGCAAACATAATTATAAAATTATTTAATTTTTATGTAGGAAAGAGCTGATTGAGAAGTAAGAGAAGAAGAAGAAAACAATATCAATATATTATTTAATCCTGTTAAGGAGAGATATATACTAAAATCAATTCATCAGTTCTTCCTCAAGGCCACAAACTTCAACTTTTCTATTTTCTTAATTTCAACTTCTATTAATTACTTACAACTTCTAACTGTTATCATTGCTATGATTCGTTCCATCCATAGGTTCTTTAGGATCAAATCTCTATATGTTCCAAAGCCAAATGCTCATAGCTACCAAGAACACTAAGAATTGGAAATAACTTCCATTGATGACTAAAGAGGAATGCAATATTTTTTGAAATCTAGTTCTTCGATTTAGCCATGACTAATAGTTATACAATTACATCCTTAACTCATTTTCGCTTCCCTATAATACTTTTAAATGATTATCTATGAGCTTGTCTAAAGTTCCTCTTAACCACTCTAGACTAATTGTGTTAAGCTGCCAGTTCTAAATATCTTATAATAGAGTTGATAATAGATGCCATATTGATATTTTTTATTTCATATTCATTTCTCCGCAAATCCATTTCAACTTATTTGTGAGTTTTTTAACTCTTGTCAACATTTTGTTTATTTATTGCTTAATTTTTCCATTGATTTCTCTATCAATTCCTAGATAAATTTAGTGTTTCATTATAGGATATCCTTTATTTGATTGTTGAGTGTATTGATAATGATTTTTTATATACATTATTCCAGACTTTTATTTGCTGAAATCTAAATTCCACTTAAGACTTCTTATTCGATAATATCCAGTAATTATTTCGTTTTCATAAGATTAATTTAGAAAAGCAAATCGTCAGCATATGCAAAATTTTAAAGTTTAATTAATGGACTTTTTATTATAATTTTTTGAGAAACCAATCTAATTAGATATTATATAGTGGAGGAGATATAAGCGAGCCTTAGACAACTACATTTAAAAACCAGCATTTTTTTTAACCACAGAATCCTAATATTGTACATTACGGTGCAAATCTTTGAGAAAATTTATCTCATCCTCCTCAAGACATACCTTATTGTAGAATTTTGTATAATTTTTGGTCTATTTATTGTATTGTAAGCACTTTCTAAAATAAATAAATTTTAGTTTTATTTTATCTTCTTTATTGTGTGCATTGATAATGTTAAGGATTTCTCAATGTTAACATAAGTACTCTAACCTGAAATGAAACCACCTTGATATTTGCTTAGGTTTTCTTTTTTATATTTGCTAAGTTTATCTAAGTATAAATTTATTGAAGGAAATTAATACATTTATTAATCTAAATCAATTTTCATTAGACATGGGGGGGAATACTTTATTAAATGTGGAATATATCTTGCTTCACAAAGTTATATGTTGTGTTCAAGAATATTGTTGTTCCAAATGTCTTTTAAAAAATCCGTATTCGTTATTTGTTTTAAAAAAAGTATATGATATACCATCTCTAGATATTTCTTTATTTTTTGTCATTTTTTCTTCTATTTATTTGATATCTCCACTATCTAAGGATTTTAGTGTTGGTAATTTTTATGTTCTATCATGTTGGCTGTTCGGAATAGTACCCAAACAATTTTTAATAGTCATAGGAGGGTATTATAAGTTATCTTCTTTATCTAAATATTAGCAATATATTTCCACATCTTTTTTCTTTGGGTTAAGTATTATTAGGTGTTTCATTTTTTTAAGGTAATAGTTATATTTTCTTCCCTTTTGAAGTTTATAGCTTGTACTCTAAGTTAATCTGCCAATTCGGCTTTAAAACCTCTCTATTTGGGAGAGTTACCTTTATTTTTTGAATTACTGTCAGATGGCATTTTAAACCTTTCTAGTTTTTGAATTCTTATTTGCAAATGCTGCATATTAAGGGATCATTTGATGGTTAAGATTTCTCTTTGTTTTCATTTTGTTCTTTATTTTAACTTCTTCTAATAATTATTTAATGTCCCTTTTCATAATTAATTGATTAGAGTCTGTCTGATATCCTTGAATTCAAATCAATCAATTATTAAGCTATAGCTGATTGTACATAGTGATTAATTTTTACTATTCATCAATTTCAATCTCTTATCTTAAATTATTATTGTGTATGGTTATACTATGAGTTCCCCTTGTTGTTGCAAATATATTCTTTCCTTATTTTGTTTTCCATAACGATATATTTTTTTCCATTTTAATAATCAACTAAATTTAGTTAATTTTATATTAGATAATATATTTTCTGTTTTTACACTTGTTTCATATAAATCGATTTAATGTTCTATCTATCTTTTCAGTACATATGATTCTATAATTCCTTAAGTAAACAATTATAATGTAGTATAAATGTCATGAGATTGAAATCTTTTTTTAAAGTATGAACATCACATGGTTGCCTATAAATTGCCTCTCAACCTCTATTTCAATGGCATTTTATAAGTTCTAGCCTTTACGCACGGAGTTTATGATCTATTTTTAATAAAAAATTGATTCAAATCATTTTGTCTAACTTGATTTCTGAAGTTTTCTCTTTTGAAAGCTAAACACCATTAACTCATACGATCTTCTACTATCTCCTACTGAGGTTGTTAATTAACTTAATAATAATTACCATCTTCTTTTNAATTAATACATTTATTAATCTAAATCAATTTTCATTAGACATGGGGGGGAATACTTTATTAAATGTGGAATATATCTTGCTTCACAAAGTTATATGTTGTGTTCAAGAATATTGTTGTTCCAAATGTCTTTTAAAAAATCCGTATTCGTTATTTGTTTTAAAAAAAGTATATGATATACCATCTCTAGATATTTCTTTATTTTTTGTCATTTTTTCTTCTATTTATTTGATATCTCCACTATCTAAGGATTTTAGTGTTGGTAATTTTTATGTTCTATCATGTTGGCTGTTCGGAATAGTACCCAAACAATTTTTAATAGTCATAGGAGGGTATTATAAGTTATCTTCTTTATCTAAATATTAGCAATATATTTCCACATCTTTTTTCTTTGGGTTAAGTATTATTAGGTGTTTCATTTTTTTAAGGTAATAGTTATATTTTCTTCCCTTTTGAAGTTTATAGCTTGTACTCTAAGTTAATCTGCCAATTCGGCTTTAAAACCTCTCTATTTGGGAGAGTTACCTTTATTTTTTGAATTACTGTCAGATGGCATTTTAAACCTTTCTAGTTTTTGAATTCTTATTTGCAAATGCTGCATATTAAGGGATCATTTGATGGTTAAGATTTCTCTTTGTTTTCATTTTGTTCTTTATTTTAACTTCTTCTAATAATTATTTAATGTCCCTTTTCATAATTAATTGATTAGAGTCTGTCTGATATCCTTGAATTCAAATCAATCAATTATTAAGCTATAGCTGATTGTACATAGTGATTAATTTTTACTATTCATCAATTTCAATCTCTTATCTTAAATTATTATTGTGTATGGTTATACTATGAGTTCCCCTTGTTGTTGCAAATATATTCTTTCCTTATTTTGTTTTCCATAACGATATATTTTTTTCCATTTTAATAATCAACTAAATTTAGTTAATTTTATATTAGATAATATATTTTCTGTTTTTACACTTGTTTCATATAAATCGATTTAATGTTCTATCTATCTTTTCAGTACATATGATTCTATAATTCCTTAAGTAAACAATTATAATGTAGTATAAATGTCATGAGATTGAAATCTTTTTTTAAAGTATGAACATCACATGGTTGCCTATAAATTGCCTCTCAACCTCTATTTCAATGGCATTTTATAAGTTCTAGCCTTTACGCACGGAGTTTATGATCTATTTTTAATAAAAAATTGATTCAAATCATTTTGTCTAACTTGATTTCTGAAGTTTTCTCTTTTGAAAGCTAAACACCATTAACTCATACGATCTTCTACTATCTCCTACTGAGGTTGTTAATTAACTTAATAATAATTACCATCTTCTTTTTCTAGTACATTTTTGGTAATTCTCAATAAGAAGAATTATGATAATTAAAATAAATATCATAATAAATTAGACATCAATTATATTTTTTCAAAATAGGGGGGAACATAAATGTTCAGCATATATATGTTTCGACCAATATTCTACACAATTTAAATACTCTTCTTTGTTCAGCTCAAATCCTGATCCTCCAAACTTTTGTCCTAAGGCGTTTCTCACACATGTCATTGGCGGCATTGGTGTTTAGTCTGTTCCATCTTGTGGTTTTATACCTATGATGCCATAATCATAATCAATTGCTCCATTAATATCCTCGAGTCCTCGTTATTAATTTCTTGAAGTGAAATATTCTTTTGAGTAGAGGATTATGTCTAAATATTTTGCTTTTTGCAATTGAATAGACTCTATTGGGATAAACCTTGCTAAAAAAGGCAACTTATCATTTCAATAATAATCGATACTTCATTTTCATTTCTTGCTTTATATGCTGTCCTAATTAAATGCTCATTTTCTTTTTTTATTTCTAATGTATAGTTTGGTGTCTCTGTAAAATTTTCAAGAAACAAATGTTTACAAAATGGAGCATAACTAAAATAAACTATTTTATCTACCCATCCCTTAATTCTTCAACCCTGTATTATTCATTTACCTGTTCAATAAATTTATCTCTGTCATAAATAATTTGTTAGCTAGCATACTTTTCAAACTATCGATAACAAAATGGGTCCATAACTATCTTTTATGTTTGCATTGATATTTTATATAAATTTTAGATATAATAAGAATGAATTTAAAAACAAAATAAAGATGATGAAATGTAGTGATAATAAGATTATATCAGATTATGTGGTCAGAATTTAAAAGTCAAGTTATATTAATTTTCAAAGGTTATCATTAGTTATAGGATAGAATAAATTTGTTTAATAAAGACATGATCATTCAAACTTTCAATACAACTTGTGGAAGATAAAATAAGGCAAGAGAAAATAAGCTAATCGTTTGCAATATAAAACAAATTTTTTAACTATAAAAGAAGGTAGTTTTGGATTTGCCATGAAATTTGAAATATTAAATATTGTTTTTATATCTAAATTCATAAATAAATTCTATGATTATTAAATCTAGGAATTTGCCTCATTTGAAATTTTTATATAGTATCAATACTTTAAAAATTTTAGAGAAAAGTACTTTACATACCCTGCTATTATTTTGGTTCTTGGAAATATCATTGGTGAATAAACATTTTATTGAAGAGAGATTAATTTATAGCTTTTAATGAAAAATAATGAAATTTATAATAAAATGCTTTAATTATGAAACTTTAATTTAAAGTTTTAACTTTGTATTAATTATTTATCAAATAAGTTCAAATTTTAACAAATTCTATATCTATAATATTGCCTTCGTTAAATTTTGTAATTATGAAGCAAGAAAAACAAGAAAATAGATATTCTTATTCATTCTAAACTTAAGAAGCCGTATATATGGCTTTAGGTCTAACTATCTAAAATTGAGGGCCCTCTAAAGTATTTTCATTAAATGAGATTCTAAATATAATGCCATCTTGCTTAGCGTAGGATTTGCTAATTGCAAAATCTGTGATAGTGGAAGTGAATGCAGGAAACATAATTAAATCATATTACTTATGTTTTATTTTAAAAGCCTCGATTGGGCAAACTACTCCTCGAAAGAAAAAAATTCCTTGAAATAAATTAATACGAGTCTATGTTGTCCTGGTATTTTACTAAACTATATTTTAATGATTTTATTAAGACCTAGGCTTCTAAAATTGCCTTTTCATTCAAACTTTATAGAAGCTTATTAATAAATTTAAAAAATCCACTCGGTCATGCATAAAGATTAATTATATCCTCAATTTTTCCAGTTTTAAATTTCTCATGAATTTAAAAAGCTAATTCTTCTTAAGCATCTAATGACAATGTATATACTGTTTTTAGTGCATATTCCGTAGAATTTTTAATTATTATAAGAATTTCATCTTTGGATAGTATAGGAACACTATTCAAGGAAAATTCTTCAGAAAGGTAATAAAGCGCAGCATTCTATAGGAAACTAATATAAATTGATCTCTCTTAAAGTTAAAGAAGGTGATAAGTTCTGCTACAAGGTTGCAATAAACTCATCGTCTTAGTTTGTGATAAAGATAATAGAATTAGATTTTGATATTAATTCTTCATATTTCTTTGGGACCTAACAATAAATAACAATCGAATGAATATTCGGATAGGACATCAGCATATGGAGAATTTCATTTGCCAGTGACCCATGTAAAATCAAAAAAAGTAATATAATTTTCTTTTAAACAATATATATAAGACTTTGATGATCATTAGAAAAATGAAAATTTTAAATTTCTGGAAAACAGTTTATAATTCTTTAAGTCAATTCAGAATTTTCTTCATTTTCAATGTTATCATCCAACCAAATAACAGCTCTTTCATTATTTAAATTAGGTCTGTTTATATTGGTTAAAAAGGTGTTGATTACTTCATCCATAGCAATAATCATCTCTTCAATACTCTTAGTAAGATTTTAATCAATTTACCTTTACTATTTTTCAAAAAAACATTTCAATTCATTAAATTGCTTTCTAGTTTTATGTTAGCCCTAATGGAAATGGCAAAGCAATTTCAGTTACACCTTTCAAAATATTCAAAATTGGTTTTCCAAAGACCATTCCACAACCAACTTTAAAAATTTTTGCTGAAATGCCAATGAGATATTAAAATGAGCAATCAGGTTTCTATTGGAATCAATTAATATTTCCATTCTTAATAAAATTTCTTGAATTTCCTCCAGGATTCTAAATAGTTTTTCAATAATTTCTGAAGTGCTAAAAGTTACTTAGATAATTATTGAAATAATATTTTAGATAAAATCTCTAATTTATACTGATGTCAGTTTAATTTAATATGATAATTTATTTTTTTCTATGTTTATTTGATCCTTTAATCGAACTTCTAAATTTTTAATATTGTAATTAACTTTCTTGATTGTTTAAGAATTTAATTATCAATATGAATGAATTTTAAACTTCATATTCCACTATTTTGATACTTTCTATTATAAATTAATAACTTTTTTATGCAAAGAGTGTATTATTGTTTTTGGTTTCGTTTTATGAAAATCACATATTTAAGTAATAGCTCATATTTATAAATCAATTATCTATTAATTACTAATTACTAATTTAACTGACATAAAAATATTTTGCTATAGAATGAGAAATAAGTAATAAGTAAGTCATTTGATGACTAATATCTAAAATTTAAGTTAAATATTTCATAATTTATTGTTCGTAGTAAAATATAAAAGGTTGATACCAAAATTCATAAGAAATCAGATAATGAATTTAGGGTATTAGATAAATAGCTATTCAAACATTTTAGGTTAAATCATGATAATTAGAAATAAACATTTTATGCTTAAAATATTTCTGATATATTCAAAGACTAATAATGTTTATGTATAAGTTTCTATATATTTTCAATTTTATCTGCTTCTCATATGGAATAAACTATATTGGCCTAATATTTCCAAACTACAAATTTTTTTAGTAGTGTCCTTCTTTAGTCAGGTATATTTCATAGAATTTATAGAATATATCAAACTTTCTTTTCCTTAGATTTCCTATTATATCAAATATCAATTTAAATCATTCGAAACTTATTTTCCATCTATATAGTTTAAATTAATCATATTGTTTTACTATTTTTGCATTGTTCTCTGAGCTGATTTTAATTTCCATAAGTTTACTATGATAGAATATTTGGCTGATATTTAATTAAGCAAACTATTATTTTAGAGGATTGGGGTTCAGAACAAGAATCAATATATTTGAAGTTCTTACAATACTTATTTAAAATTATCCTAACATTTTAATTCATCTGATTTGCTTTAGCCTACAATACTAAAAGTTTAACTTTATTTATAATTCAACTAACAATTAAAAGATAATGGTACAATTCAAATTATTTCTAAGATTAAGTTTCCAAATTAAATCTATTTATCTTTGTTTGCTTGTTTATCATCCATAAAGCAATCACTTTTGTATAGATTGGATTTTAGATCATGGGTTCCGACCAAAATACTAGACCAAAACATTGTTATTTTCTCTTAACTCCAAAGAAGCACAAGTAAGAAGTAGTTTTGTCTTGGTTTTAATACAGTACCTAAAGATTGAAATTCTTCTCTGAATATTGAATCCAAAAATTCCTCTCTTTACTCAATTGATTATTCTTGGGTCTCTTTTTTGATTTCTTAATTTGAGCCAATAATGGCCATATTATGTAGGTAATTTATTAATTATTATAAGTAATTATTAAACAGAATTGTAATTAATTTATCTATTTGGTTTTAATACCTAATGTCGTTGTCATATCCTCCTCCTAACCAATTATTACAATGACAAAATCTTTTGTTATTTTTTTAAAACTAATTATTCAAGTCGTTTTCTAAAAAATTTAAAAGATTGAACTCCTGTGATCCTTTTCTACTCTGTGCTACTAATTGCCTTCATTTTCAACAACTTAAAAGTGATTTTGATAAGCATTACGAGTGCTGCTCTCCTAAAGAATCAAATAAAGCAATTGACTTTTTAATACTTATTAATACAACTTTTGCACCACTCCAAATAGCATAGCATGCAAATTAGGGCTGTTGCGCGTTTTTATATATAATCCAATAATATTCTGTTTCTTCTTATAAAATTGCTTGAAATAAAAAATGAGAATTTAGAAAATTCTTTTTTCAATACTTTAAATGCATCTTCTCTAGCTTCTAGTGAAAGAACATAGAAATTTCTTAATGACTTGAATTATAATCATACTGTTTTCATTGCAATCACAAAAATTAATTGCTAATTTTAAAATATCCATAAGATAATGAATAAATTATATTTAATTTTTTTTATACTTTTCATGTTAATTATCTTATGAACAAAGAATCACTCAGGGTTTCTCTCGTTAAATCTCCATAACTTATTAGTTCAAAAATCTTCTAGAGATTTGGAAATTTCAGAATGCTCAATATACTCTTCTATTATGATGCGCTATTTTGACAATAAAACATGTAAAGCCTATAAGTCCAGATTATATTAACTAATAAAATATGTTTCTTACAGGAGGCTTATTTAACTATGATAATTTTTTTAAAGATGAACTAAGGTATAAATTTCAAACGTCAGAAAGTAGAATTACATAGCTGTTTTCTCATTCCATAAACTTGAAGATAATTAAAGCCCTAATAAATCCTTATCTGAATCATGATTTTCATCTCCAGCAACAAAAGTATAGAGCTGAGTATTCCTTTCTATGAAGCATCATCTGCGCCTCCTCTATACAATAGGCAAAGCTATTGAACTGAGGTTTGAAATTGAAGGCTCATCGTATTCAAGATAATAAGGGAGATAGTATAGTCTCTCATTAAGAGTAAATCGTAATTCTAAAGCGCTCCCCAGCAACACAATTAATTTTCTAGTTCATCAAACCTATACACTCTTCTTAAAGGGTATTTCATTTTTATGAACTTTGCTAAGAATAAACTCTAAATACAAGGTGAGAGCAGAAAAATCGTTTCGCAACATTGATTCATTCTTTCAAGCATCATATCACTATTAAAGAGACCCCTGTTGTAATTACAACAAAAACTAAATTAATTCTACAAATGTTATGACACTAAAGAGCTATTAACCATTATTTGAATCACAAGTTTCATCCCCAAAAGTACACTAGTGTTGCCCTAAGCTATAAATTATCAAGGTGAATTGAGAAGTATTTTATCTCAAAATTTGTGAACTTTTTCACTTATAAGATCAAGAAAATCTTTTGTGCCTTTAGCGTTAGTTTTGCTTATCATTATAAGTTATTTAAAAAAAAATTATTAAGCAATTATTAATTGAGCAAAATAAAATGAAATTTCTTAGAGACTTATCAAAGATAAAAGCTAATATAGATAATAGAAGTATGTTGGTGTCCTTCAGATATTTCGCCTAATTTGAAAATAGATTCTAGATTAATAAAGATTGGATTATAAACTTGCTAAACCAAACTACGCTCTTCTAAAAGTTTAATAAGAATCAAATTTAATCCTTCATTATGTGAAAGAATATTTTAGTTTAATAAAAATCAAATTTAAACTTTCATTATATGAAAGAAGTTTTTAGAATTTTTAAGGATAAATAATAATTCATTAGGAAGTAATAAATATAATTAAATATGATAATCAAGGGTTTTAATAATTATATATTTAATAGAAAATTAAGTACTTTTTAAGTGGTAATAAATATTTTATATTGTTTATTATTTTAAGAAAATTAATTAATCATCAAGCTATTCATTATTCATATGCAGAGAGTTATTTTGCAGTAGTTTAGGTTTGGCTAAGTAGAAATGTAACTGTCTACTTGGAGATATTAATTAATTTCTAAAAAAATTATCAAAATATCTTTGAGGTAAGTTTACATAGTTCTTATCTTAATGATTAATATATGTACCTTATATGCAAAATTATTATTGAAAGTAGCTACTTTGGATGTAATTCATATAGAGCTTATTTAAGATTATTGTTAGGGATGGATATAATTAAGATCTCTAGGGGGTTGGAATATTGATTGATGATTAATAAATCTTTTCAGTCCTTTATTGTCTCTAATACTTTTAAAATCAATTGAAAATAATAACTAACAGGTTATGAAAATATTCAATCCCAATGTTTAACTTTTTTATCATTTAAGATTATTAGTAAGTTTAATTTGATTTTTTAATTATTTAAATGTATCTTTCTTCTTATCTTTGTTATTAATTGTATCATTACCTTTTTCTAAACTAAAGATCTAAATTTTACCAAACAATTAATAATCTTTATTTCGACTAAACCTATTTACTGTGTTTATATTATAAATTTAATAGTGTATCCGTATATAAATATTAATTTATAAACGTTGTTTCTAACATCCCAATATTATTCAAATATTTAAATACTAATAAAAAACACATATTATTCAAAAAGTTATAAGAAAATGATTAAAATTATATGTAATGTTTTTAATGAATATTCAAATTCACTTTTGCTTTTGTTTTAAGTATTCTAAAAAGCAACTACCCTTTGATTTAAACAAAGGTTTTAAATCTTTCCCTTAATGATTAGTGAATTGTCCTTATAGGATAAGTGTTCCTGATGCTTCAAATAAGGGATTCTAACATATTATAAGTATTGTACGATCAGGATTAACTAAATAATAATTAATAATACATACCATTTGGTAATAAGGAGCTATTCTGAAGAGGTAGTTTGAGCGAGGCAAGCAAATCTTTAAACTTGTAGAAATTTAACTATACTTTCTTATAGTAAAATTTCTACCGTTTATACTAATTACGGTTGGGGCTGAGCTAAAAAGTTCCTAGAGGTTGAGTGTCGAATTATCGTCGTAAATAATGCGATTCTAATTTTCAAAGGAAAATTTGAAAATTTATGATCCAATTTTCTTAGTCGGT